GCAGAGCCTGTCCTCAGCCAGCTCTTCTGTGCCCAGCTCTTCTGTGCCCAGAACTTCTGGCACTAGGTCGGAGAAGCCATCGGCTCGTCCGGCTCCGGGAGAACCTCTGGATGCTCATGTGAGGCCGTGGGGGGAACAGTTTCTCCTGGGAAGTTGGGTTGTTGTGAGCACGGAACGATGCTGGGCCCCTGGGATGGAGGAGGAGGGTCTGCCCCAGGGATCTGGGGTGGGAATAGCGTGGAAGGGCTGGAATCCGGCCTGGGAGCCCACGCAAACAACTCCAGGCTGGGCCTGATCCGTGCGGAGCACCCAGGGGGCTCATCCAGCTGTGTTTGGTGGACAGGGAATGTTGGGGTGCCCAGGGAATGTCGGGGTGCCCAGGGTGCTCATCCAGCTGTGTTTGGTGCACAGGGAATGTCAGGATACCCAGGGTGCTCATCCAGCTGCGTTTGGTGCACAGGGAATGTCGGGATACCCAGGGTGCTCATCCAACTGCGTTTGGTACCCAGGGAATGTCGGGGTGCCCAGGGTGCTCATCCAGCTGCGTTTGGTGCCCAGGGAATGTCGGGGTGCCCAGGGTGCTCATCCAGCTGTGTTTGGTGCACAGGGAATGTCAGGGTACCCAGGGAATGTCGGGATGCCCAGGGTGCTCATCCAGCTATGTTTGGTGCCCAGGGAATGTCGGGGTGCCCAGGGTGCTCATCCAGCTGTGTTTGGTACCCAGGGAATGTCGGGGTACCCAGGGAATGTCAGGATGCCCAGGGTGCTCATCCAGCTGTGTTTGGTGCACAGGGAATGTCGGGGTGCCCAGGGTGCTCATCCAGCTGCGTTTGGTGCACAGGGAATGTCGGGGTACCCAGGGAATGTCGGGATGCCCGGGGTGCTCATCCAGCTGTGTTTGGTGCCCAGGGAATGTCGGGGTACCCAGGGAATGTTGGGGTGCCCAGGGTGCTCATCCAGCTGTGTTTGGTGCACAGGGAATGTCGGGGTGCCCAGGGTGCTCATCCAGCTGTGTTTGGTACCCAGGGAATGTCGGGGTGCCCAGGGTGGGTACCAAAAGTCACCACAAACACAGGCCCAGCTTGGGGTTGGCTCTGCCGGCGTGGATGTGGCCTCGGAAAGCTTTGGGCTGGAAGAGCCAGATTTTTGGGGCCGTGGGATGGATTTGGGGGTGGGCAGGCATGTGGGGAATCAAGCTCCCGCTTCCCTGCGTTTCCAGCAAGGATTTGGGGAGCTGAACAGCTCCAGCGGTGCTGGGGGGCTGGAAACCCCCCACCCTGTTCCTTGGCCCTCCTGGGTGACCACTTAACCAGGTTGGAGCTGATCTGGGAGGTCTTTTCCAAACTTTCGGATTCTATGGTTGTTTTCAACCTCAGTGATTCCACGATGGGACATTCCCGGTGTGGAATTCCTCATGGAGCTGGTAACAAACCCCAAATCCTTGCCATCCCATGAGGCAGGAATTGCTGTGGTTGGCTTGGGTTGGGGGGCAGTGCTTTGGTGAACACCCCAACTGCCCTTCCAGCTGAGTTTTCCCGCTTTTCCCAGCTCTGTTCCCACCGTGTGGATCCAACTGCTGGGGTTTCTCTGGCACCGCTGGTTCCTGTGGTGTTTTTGGACCAGTAAGGGCCACAAACTGAGCCCAAAATTTCTGGTTTTCTGGGTTATTCAACACCCAAAGCGAAAGCATGAGCTGGAGTGGGATCCAGGGTGTAATTCCAGAGCCCAACTCCCGCCTTGCAACATCTCCCCTTGTTCAGAAGGTGATGCAATAACTCAGCCCTTGCCCAACCCCGGGGCTCAAGGGGCCCCTCGGCCCGGCTGCAGGACAGAGAAAATGCCTCTTCCTGCTTCTTTCCTCGGGTTCTTTGGACAAGCTGGCGAAAACCCGGAGCCTGGGAGAAGGTGTGGGCTCAGGGGAGGCGTTTTCGGGGGAGATGGTTGAGTTTTGAGGGGTTTGGGGAACCCGCTGGTCTCTCAGAGAAGTGACATTGGAAATTCCTGCCTGATTTGCGCTGTTTTTGGGTTTTAAGGTTCTTGGTTGAGCTGTCTGGATGAGAGATCCCCTCCCTGTGGGAGGTGATGTGGGGTCTTGGTGGAAACCACCACCCGAAAGGCCTCTTGGCTTTAGGCTCTTGAGTTTCTTTGGGATTTTTATCCCCAAACCACAGGATCCCTGGGGTTGGAAGGACCCTCCAGGGGTTCCATCCCAGGCGGTGTTGGATGTTGGGTCTGCTGACACCTCCGGGACCTTGCTCATCATCAGGTGCAGGACACAGGTGGTGAGTGGAGAAGCACCTCAAGGTGGTTTTGGGGTGATGGGGAAGGTTTAGAGGAACTTTTTGCACCCGGTTGAGCCACTGAGATGTGGCATCAACCTCGGCTTATCGGCCCTCCCTGCGGTGGCCTTGACGAATTTGTGCTCTTTGCTCTTCTGGAGATGTTGTTGTTTCTCACTCCACGACCTTCAAAACCTTTTCTGTAGCGAACCATCACCAGATCTGGGTGGATCCAGCTCCACCATGTCCAGGAGAGCTCCTGGCCTCCCTCTGACCGCTCCAGGACTCTGAAATTCACTTTTCCCCCCCTCCTTATCTCTGTTTTCTCGTGTGTTTTGGCCACGGGCTCGTGTGACGCTGGCTTTGAAAGCGCCTTCTCATCCTCTTTGAGTTGCTTTAAGTGTTGGGAGTTAAAAGAGGGGAGTTAAACCAGGAGGAGAAGCCCCGAGGCCCCCCCGGTCCGAGGCAGTTTGACCTTGTTGGGGGGGAGCCCTTGAGCTCAGGAACGAGCCCGGCTGGTCCCGGGAGAAGCCACGGGAGCCGCTTCTCCTGGATTACCATAGAGGGTAAATTTGAGCCTCCCTAAGTCCAAGACATTAAACTCCCTCATCTCCCGCCGTTTCCAAGAAACTGGGATTTGTGGGGAGGGCGAGCGAGCGGCTGGGAGGGAGGGAGAGAGGGAGGGAGGGAGATAAATCACCGCCTGTTTTCCTCGCGAGGAGGCAGCTTCTAAAAATAGGAGTCTCGCCGGAGCTCCGGAGAACAAAGGAGCCCCTGGAAAGGCTCCTGCCACCGGCCCTTCCCGGGTTTGTGGGAGCGCTGGGAGCCCGGGATTTGGGAGGGCCGGGTTTGTGCCACGCTGGGGATGCTCAGCCCTCAGGGTCTCACCTCCACCAGAGGTGATGGAATGACAGGAGGACAACCCTGGTGCTTCACATCCCTGCTCCTGCCCTGCCCTTCCCATCTCCATAACCTCAATTCCACAGTTCCTCCTGAACTCCACGTTCCTCCTGAACGCCACATTCCTCCTGAATGCCACGTTCCTCCTGGTTTCATGGCACATGACCAGGAGTAATCCATGGAATGAACACAACCATCCACCCAGGAGGGCACAGGGATGGTTCTGGGCTGGAGAGCAGCAAACCCAGCTCCTCGGCTGTGTATTCCCAAAGCCTTCCCTACTCCCTTCCCGAAGCCTCCTCTCTCTCTCGTGTTCCTGTTGGACATTCCGGCTCTCTGGGTCATCGACTGATGTTGGGGGGGAGGCTGAGCTGCTCTTTGGATGTCCCTGCTGTCCATAAACTGAGTCTGCTCTCTCCAGTGGGCCGTGGTCACATCCTCCTTCCCATGGTGTCCTCCTTCCCATGGTGTCCTCCTTCCCATGCTGTCCTCCTTCCTATGGTGTCCTCCTTCCCATGGTGTCCTCCTTCCCATGGTGTCCTCCTTCCCATGGTCACTTCCTTCCCATGGTGTCCTTCCCACGTGCTCCTGGTTATTTCCACCTCACTGCTGAGCCCCAACCCACTCATGAGCTGCTGGACACCCCATGAGCCGGGATGAGGAGGAGGAGGAGGATGAGGATGGGAGCAGGGATGTGGGACAGTTCCTTGTCCCAGCCTACTGGGCTGTCCATGACCTGGGATGATGGTGATGATGAGGATGGGAGCAGGGATGTGGGACAGTTCCTTGTCCCGGCCTGCTGGGCTGTCCATGACCTGGGATGAGGAGGATGAGGATGGGAGCAGGGATGTGGGACAGTTCCTTGTCCCGGTCTGCTGGGCTGTCCATGAGCTGGGATGAGGAGGATGAGGATGGGAGCAGGGATGTGGGACAACTTGTCCCGGCCTGCTGGGCAGCTTGTGATGCCTCTCTGTGGAGCAGGGACTTTGGGAACACGGACACAGCTCCATACTGGATACCATGGAGTTCAGCCATGGCTTTGGATCCCTCTCCAAGGCTCTGGATCCCTCTCCATGGAGCAGGGACCCTGGGAGCTCAGCCATGGCTTTGGATCCCTCTCCATGGAGCCCAGCCCTAGCTCTGGATCCCTCTCCATGGCTTTGGATCCCTCTCCAAGGCTCTGGATACCTCTCCATGGAGCAGGGACCACAGGAGCTCAGCCATGGCTTTGGATCCCTCTCCAAGGCTCTGGATACCTCTCCATGGATCAGGGACCCTGGGAGCTCAGCCATGGCTCTGGATCGCTCTCCATGGCTTTGGATCCCTCTCCATGGCTCTGGATCCCTCTCCATGGATCAGGCCCATGGGAGCTCAGCCCTGGCTCTGGATCGCTCTCCATGGCTCTGGATCCCTCTCCATGGATCAGGCCCATGGGAGCTCAGCCCTGGCTCTGGATTGCTCTCCATGGATCAGGCCCATGGGAGCTCAGCCCTGGCTCTGGATTGCTCTCCATGGCTCTGGATCACTCTCCATGGAGTGGGGCTGTCTCTCCTGCAGGAGCTCTGCTGGCGGCGGGTCCATCTCCCCGTTAACCTGCTTAGGGCAGGAGCGGCTCCACATCCAGAGCTGCGCCCGGGATTAAACCCTCTTAAGTGCGGCTCGGAAATCCGCCCGTAATCCGGGCCCGGCTGCGGGAGCGGAGAGGGGGTTGATGTGCTGGGAGAGCCCCTGTAACCCTCCCCAAAAACCCCCTGTATCCCGGTTTCTGCTGGAAAAGCCCCACCTGGGCCTTGCTGACCTCGGCGCTTTCCTCTCTTGCAGATGAGCCCGACCCCGCCCTCTCTGGAGCCGTCCCGGCCGTGGCTCACAGGACGGAGCTCGGGTGAGTTCTCTGGGGATGTGACGGCACAGGGAGTGTCCAGGAGCTCATCTCCCCCTCGCTGAGGGTGCTCCAGTTACGCAGCATCCCAAAATACCTCCCTGGCTGTGCCCGGGGGGGTTGTCCCACCTCCGAGGATGCCGGCAGGTCCCTCCGGAGCTGCAGCACCAGCCCCCTGTGCCAAGCAGTGGGGGCTGCTCCAGTTCCTCTCATTTGTCCTGCTTCCCAAGGAGCCATCCTGCTTCTACCCGTCCCAGATCACTCCTTGGAGCTATCCCGGTTCCCTTTGGAACATCCCAGTTCCCCTCAGAGCCATCCCAGTTCCACTTGAAGCCATCCTGGCTTCTCTCACACCATCCCAGTTCCCTCGGAGACATCCCAGTTCTCCTTGGGGCCATCCTGGTTCCTCTTGGAGCCATCCCAGTTCTCCTTGGGGCCATCCTGGATCCTCTTGGAGCCATCCCAGTTCCCCTTAGAACTATCCCAGTTCCCCTTGGAGCCATCCTGGCTTCCCTCACACCATCCCAGTTCCCCTCGGAGACATCCCAGTTCTCCTTGGGGCCATCCTGGTTCCTCTTGGAGCCATCCCAGTTCTCCTTGGAGCCATCCTGGCTCCCTTGGGAGCCGTCCCAGTTCCCCTCAGCCCATCCCAGTTCCCCTCAGCCCATCCCAGTTCCCCTCGGTGCTCCCAGGTCTGTCCCTGCCAGGAGTCCCAAAGCTGCCCAGGGGTCTCCCACTGGCTCCGAGCACCCTGGAAAAGGCAGGATTTGGGATTCCAGCCTGGGGCTCGTGCAGGGATGGGATCCTTGTCCCTCCCCATGGCACTGGGATCGTGCCGGGCCGGGATCGCTCCGGCTGAGCCGATGCCCGGCGTGTTTTAATGGGCTTAGTTTGGTCTCTGCTGTTCCCTGATCCTTCCTGGGCTGGCTCTTCCCTTCCCGAGTTATTTTTAATAACGTTCCCAGGGTTTGCAGGACGAGTGGGAATCCCTTTTCCCTGATAACAACGGCCCATTATCCCCACCACCATCCCTTATCCCGAGTGAAAACAGGGAAGGGTTTGGAGCTGGGAGGTCCCACCATGGGATGGGAGGGTCTGTTTGCCCCTAAACTCGGCTTTTTCCGGGAATAAGCTGGAAATAACTGGGTTTAAAGGGAAGGAGGGAGAGAGGCAGCGTGAGATCCGTACGGAGCCGGCGTTCCCGCTGTCCCCAACAAAGGCGCTTTGTTCTCCCGGCAGCGCAGCTTGGCCCGGGAGATCGCGGTTGGAGGGCCCTGGAGCAGCTCCTCGCACGAGGCCTCGGCTCTCTGGGGTTCTCCTGGGTGTCCAGCCCCAGGATCCCGCAGATTCCTTCCCCATGGATGGTTTATCCAGGGGCAGGAGCTGGGAGGTGGTTCCTGTCCCACCCTTGGCTGCGTGTCCGTGCCATGGGAGCCGTGAGGGAGCAGAACCTGGGCATGGAGTCGGAATCTCAGAGTTGTGGGGTGGTTTGGGTCTCAAAGGGCCTTAAAGATGATCCAGTTCCAGCCCAGGAGCTGGGACTGGGATTGGGATGTGGAGGAGTCCCCCCTCAGGGTTTGCCCTGACTCTGCTCATCCCCAGAGTCATCGCCCCCCAACCCCCGGGAAGCTGCAGGTTGGAGCTCCTGGATCTCCTGGAGCCCCGTTGAGGAGCCTGGATTTGGGGATTTGGGGCCATCCAAGGCTCTGCTCCCCCACAAGCCTCCCATGGTTCCTACAGAAGGGCTGGAGGCTCTTTGAATCCTCTCTCCTGTCTCCTCTCCTTGAGGCATCTTGGAGAACATCCAGTGCCTCAGTTGGACCCTCCCAAGGTCCCTTCTTCCCTGGAAAAGCCTCCCAACCCAAATTTAGGACTTCCAAGAGCTCCAGGCTGGGACACTGCCCATGGATGTGCTCATCCCCTCTAACCCCCAGCACGTTCCGGTGCTGTGGGCGTGGATCCCCCCATCCCGGTGGCATCAGGCTCCCCAGTCCCACTGCAGGGCTCACTCCATGGATTCTCACCTTCTCCAGCTGCCCGAGGGGGTGTTCCCAGCTTTGGGAAGGGTTTGGGAGTGGATGAGGAGCAACCACTTTGATCCCTTGGGTTCTCTGCACAGGAAGGTGAGACCTGGAGTCAAACCACCCTTTGGTCCAGGAGACCTTTGGTGTGGTCCATGTTTATTTTCATGCACTTGGAGGAGCTCCTCGGCCTGATGGTGTCACCAAGAGCTGGGTGAAAGGTGTCCCAGCTATCCCGAGGAGTTGGGAGGGGAAAGGGAAGATGGGAGGGAGTGGGTGGAGCACAGGGAAAAGATGCCCTGGCCCAAGGTTGATGTGATGGGAACCCAACGCTCCCATCACACCCAGCAGCAGGGAGAGCCGGGAAAACATCTTGGAGCCAGCCTGGAGTAAGAGGCAGGAACTCTTCCAGCTGCACATGGCCACGGCAGGGTGGGAAGGGATGGGCCTGTTCCCATCCCAGCTCTTCGATATTTGGGAGTCACCCCAAACCCCCGTGACACCACGAGGCTCCCTCGGCCTCCGGGGCGCCGGGGACATCGGGGTGACCCCTCCGTGCCCCCGTTAACTCTCCAACCTTCCTTGCAGCCCCGCGAACGAGGAGCACCTGGAGTTCCCGAAGGGCCTGTACAGGACGGACGCTCGGAGCGCCCTGGAGCTGCACAACATGACGGTGTCGGTGTCGGGCGGCGCGTCCTGGGACGGCCCCGCCCTGGAGCCCCGAGCGGGCCAGGGCAGGCAGGAAAGCACTTTAGAGAGGCTCTCGGGCCCGAAGGACTCGAAGGAGTTTGCCGGGGAGCCCCGGGGGGTGGAGGCCGTGCGGGTGGATCCCGAGCAGCTGGAGAGCGACCCGGAGGAGCCGGAGCGCGGGAAGGCGGCGGCGGAGACGCCCGGTGCTCGCGGTGCCGAGGAGAGGTATCTCAGAAACGAACCAAAGCAGCTCGAAGGGCTCGGCAAGGAGCACTCGGAGAAAGGCAGGAGGGGGGTCCAGAGGGTCGACTGGATCCCCAGGCCCAACAGGAGCCCGAGCCCTCACTACAAAGACATAAACAAGCCGACAGATGTAGCAGCCAACCTGCCCTTCCGGGGCCAGGCCGTGCGTGAAGTGCCTCCTCCGCTGCCCCCCACGGTGTTCAGGAAAACGCTCAACCCCGTCCTGGGCAAACCCAAACCCCCGGAGGGCTCCTCGTCCCACAGGAAGGGGCTGGTGGTGGACTCGGACTTGGCCGAGGTCACGCCGCTCTCGGCGGCCGAGTGGACGATCCAGAAGCCGAGCCTGCAGCTCGGCGCCGAGCTGGCCGTGGGCAAACAGTCGTGGACGGTGAACGCCGAGGACTCGGTGGAGCGGGTCCCGCTGATGTCCCTGGATCCCGCCCCCTGCAGCTCCTACGACGTGGAGATGAGGCCCTACGTGTGCAGCGTCCTGTTGGAGGAGCAGGGCAAGGAGGAGCTGGGCCAGGAGGAGGATCCCTCGGTCTACACCTGCATCGAGTGCAGCATCTACTTCAAGAAGAAGGAGCACCTGATGGACCACATGCTCCAGCACAACCGCGGGCCGGGCAGGGACCAAGACGGGGACGCCCTGGGGGGGCAGTGCCAGTTCTGCTGCAACGAGTGCGGGTGGGCCTTCGGGGACCCCGCGGCGCTGGAGCAGCACAAGAGGCTCCACCAGGAGTCGCGGGAGAAGATCATCGAGGAGATCCAGAAGCTGAACGAGTTCCCTGACGAGGGCCGGGAGGCGCGGCTGCAGTGCCCCAAGTGCGTCTTCGGCACCAACTCCTCCAAGATCTTCGTGCAGCACGCCAAGATGCACGTCAAGGAGCGGAAGGACCAAGGGGCCAAGGGCGCGGGTCTCTTCGGGGGCGCGGGCGCCGGGGAGGTGCGGGACGGCCCCGGGCACGGCCTCTACAAACACTTCAAGGCCAACGAGCACCCGGCCCTGCCGGCGCCGGCGCCGCCCCACGGCAGCGCCAAAGGGCTCAGCACCTGCGTGCTCTGCAGCTTCCCGGCCCCCAACGAGAACATCCTCAAGGAGCACATGAGATACGCCCACTCCCACCTCTCCTGGGAGGCGGAGGTGTACGAGGACGACCCCAACCAGCCGGGCACCAGCAGGGACGCCTACAGCCCGGCCCGGCCCGGCCGCTTCCCAGAGGCGGATTATTTCGGCAAAGCCGACCGGCTCTTCCCCCCCGCCCCCCGGGAAAGCACGTCCCACTACGACCTCCCCCACGGGTTCTCCCTGGCCCAGCCCCGGCTCGACAAGAGCAACGGGGCCACCAAAAAGGACTACCAGGCCTCGGGCTTCCACACCAGGAAGGCGGCCCCGTTCGCCGCCCCGCACAAAAGCCCGGGCCTGTCCGGCTTTCCCTCCGCCAGAGCTTATTCCCAGCTCGCTCTGCAGCAGCTGAAGAGAAAAGCGGCGGCTCAGCACCTTGAAGGAGACGGCGACGGCCTGCGCAGCCACCCCGGGGGGCCGGAGGAGCTCCGGCACAAGTGGGTGTTGGACGGCGGGAGCGCGGAGGAGGAGATCGCCGAGAGGGATCCGGGCGAGGGCGGGGCCGCCAGAGCCGTCACCATCCCTCAGGCTGCCTTGGACCTCAAGAGGACGTTCAGGGACACCCTGAGGGCCACGGACTCGTCGATAGCGTCAGAGGAGCAGCAGCAGCAGCTGAGGATGATGGTGCCCCTGGTGCTCCTGGAGGAGGTGAACCCGCACCCCAAGGCGGCCAAGCGGCCGCGGGGGAAGGCGTTCAAGAGGAAGGCGACGCTCCCGCCCCGGGAGTTGGCGATGGAGGAGCCCCTTCCCTTGGATGTGCTCCTGCTGGACGCTCCCCTGGAGGGTCCCCTGGAGCTCGACGACCTGCTGGACTCGGACTCCAGCATGTTGAAGAACGAGGAGAGGAAGTGTCCGTACTGCCCCGACCGCTTCCACAACGGCATCGGGCTGGCCAACCACGTGCGGGGCCACCTCAACAGGGTGGGCGTGAGCTACAACGTCCGGCACTTCATCTCGGCCGAGGAAGTGAAGGCCATTGAGCAAAAGTTTTCCTTCCAAAAGAAGAAGAAAAAAGGTAGTATGTATTCAATTCAGCGTGTTTCTGTTCTCTGGGGTTGCTCTCTGGGGTGTTCTCCTCCCACCGAGGACCGGGTATGTATGGTGTGGTGTTCCACCGAGCCGTGGCGGCGTTCGGTGGCCCTGGGGGCAACAAACACCCTCTGTCCCCCCCCTCTTAGAGGCCTGACCTGGGGGTTCGGTGCCGCCCCTGACTCTCTGTCCTTCCCCGCAGTTGCCAACTTCGACCCCAGCACCTTCAGCCTGATGCGCTGCGAGTTCTGCGGCGCCGGCTTCGACACGCGGGCCGGGCTCTCCAGCCACGCCAGGGCCCACCTGCGGGACTTCGGCATCACCAACTGGGAGCTCACCATCTCGCCCATCAACATCCTCAAGGAGCTGTTGGCCAACTCCTCGGAGCACCCGATGCTGCAGGCGGCCCTGGGGGCCGAGCCCTCGTCGCCGAGCCGGGACAGGGACGCGCTCGGCGGCTTCGCCCCCTCCCGCAAGAGCGTCCCCCCCGTGCCCGAGTGCGGCCTCGCCCGCTCCCCGCTGTCCCCCTTCCTCCCAGCCTGGGGAGAGGAGCCCCTGCAGCCCTACAGAGACGGTGAGTGGCCCCCGAGAGCCTCGCTGGGGGGTTGAGTTGGGGTGAGCTGGGGTCGGTCGGTGCGTCACCAGCTCTCTGTGCCCTCTGCAGTCTGATGTGGCACAGGGGTGGCTGCTGGAGGTGGTGGCAGGTGGATGTGCCACCTCCTGAGGGGTCTCATCCACCAGACCCATGGTTGGGGGTTGAGTCAGGGTGAGCTGGGGTTGGTCAGTGCATCGCTGGCTCTCTGTGCCCTCTGCAGTCTGATGTGGTGTGGGGGTGGCTGCTGGAGGTGGTGGCAGATGGATGTGCCACCTCCTGAGGGGTCTCATCCACCAGACCCATGGTTGGGGGTTGAGTCAGGGTGAGCTGGGGTCGGTCGGTGCGTCACCAGCTCTCTGTGCCCTCTGCAGTCTGATGTGGCACGGGGGTGGCTGCTGGAGGTGGTGGCAGGTGGATGTGCCACCTCCTGAGGGGTCTCATCCGCCGCCTTGGGTGTTGGAGCTTTGTCCTTCGGAACGTGTCGTGTTCAGGAACGAGGTTTCTGTTGGGAAACCCCAAAGCTTCACCCCCAGTGGGGCAGAGTGGGGTGTGGAAGGGAGGAGGGTGTGGTTTGGGTCCAGGACACAACCTCTGCCTTGGGGGTTGGTGTTCACCCCCCAGGTGTGTTGGTACCATGGGGGGAAGCTTGAGGGGTCCTTCCCAAATGGATTCGGGTCTGAGCCGCTCCCTCTCCCTCAGCACTGTTCAAATGGGATCAGTCCAGAGCAGAGTCCATCCCAAAGAGCTCCCAAGCCTCAAACCCCTGAGTTTGCACCAAAACCTGCAGTGGGCTTTCTTCCCAAAGGCTAAAAACTTAAATCTGTCCTCCCAAAGGCTAAAAATTTAAACCTGAGCTTGCATCAAAACCTGAAAGGGGCTGTTCTTCCAAAGGCTAAAAACTTAAACCTGTCCTCCCGAAGGCTAAAAACTTAAACTTGTTCTCCCAAAGACTAAACTCTTGCTCTTGCAAGAGGAGAAATCCCAAATCTGGAAGGCCTTGAAGCAGCTCCTGCTTGGGTTCTGCTCAGCCCCATCCGGTCTCAGATCCATCCCTACCGCTGTGATTGAGATGTCAAGGAGCTGCTAATCCCGGCTCTCCCGCCTGCTCCGTGGGCTGGGACACTCTGGAACGAGTCCTGAGCGTAACGAGCACGAATTAAACCCCGAACAAACCCAAACTCCTCATTTTTAGCACATCAACCCTTGGCAGATGAGCTAAGACCTCCCCAGTTAGGGAAGTCGGTGCCAACGAGAGGATTTTGGAGGCTCTGCCTCGTTCCAGCTGCCAGGGCCGGGATGTTCCTGCTGGCCAGGACTGTCCTCGGCAACTTTCAGGTCTCCCAGTGCCCAAAATTCTCTGGCACGAGCTGGTGCTGATGGTGCTGCTGCTCTGCAAACCAGGGCTCGGGGGTTGCACTGCTGAGAAGGGTGGGAAGGGTCTCCGTGCTCCGTAAGAACCGCCAGAGCAGAGCTGGGATCTGACTCGGATCCCACATCAAACAGGAGGTGTTAGGGGGAAAACAAAAATGGGTCATGTCTTGAAATAGGAGCTCACTCAAGGTCTTCTCAGCGTGTGATGTTGGCCCTGGGGTCGGGGACGTCTCCTGCTCCTGCTGCTCCCGGCTCCGGTGGCCTTGAAGTGCTGCTGGAGAAACCGGGTCGGGAATTGTGCCTTGTAGGTCAGAGGAGTTGAGTCGGAGCGGATTTTGGGTTAATTCAGAGGTTATTTATACCCAGAGGAGGTGAGGATGGACCTGTGGGGGAGCAGGACCTGCACAGGAGCTCAAATACCCCCTCAGGCCATGCTCCTGGGTTTGAATTCCGCGCTCTCCGTTCCCGCAGGAGTTTTATTCCCTCAGGGATGTCTCTGGGGGACAATTCCAAGAAAAAGGGCAAATTTGGAAAGCTTAAACCCACCCCCAACCCACCAGCCTGTGGAATCCTCTGTGTGGAAATCCCAGCCTGGAGTGCCTTAGTTCCCGCTCCAGGCCCTCAGGGAGACTCTCCATGAATCCAAACCCTCCTCGTTTTCCCTCCAACCCCAGCGGGATGGGCCGGGCAGGGTCTGTCACAACTGGACCTGAGGATTGGCAATATTTGTTCAACTGGGGCCGTGGGGAGGAGCTGAGCAAACAGGGGAGGGGCTTTGGAGGTGGGAATGCCGAGCTGGAAGCCGGGATTTTTGAGTGCCAGTGGCTGATCAAATCCCTGGGGGGGCTGGGAGAGCCCCCGGGAGCTGCTCGGGGTCCGCAGGGATGAAGCCTCGGCCGCTGGTCCCGAGGGAGAGGGAGCAGCTCCCGGGGGGGAACCCGCTTGGATTAACCTCCTGGGCTTGGGAATTAGGCTAATTCCCGAATTTATGGAGGGATTTTAGCACCATTAATGGGATAAAGGCCTTTAGTAGCTTGTCGTGGCAAGAGGATCTCCTGGAGCATCCGTGGCTCTGCTCCAGACCCCGTGCCGTGGTGGCCCTGGCACTGGTGGCCCTGGGACGATGTGTTTGATGCCAGTTCCTTAATTTATAGAGGGATTTTAGCACCATTTTAGAATGAGATAAAGGTCATTAGAAGGTTGTAGAGGCAGGAGGATCTCCTGGAGCATCAGTGGCTCTGCTCCAGACCCCGTGTCATCTCCTCAGGTGTCTCCTTGCCGTGGTGGGCCCAGGACGATGTGTTTTATGCCAATTCCTTAATTTATAGAGGGATTTTAGCACCATGAATGAGATAAAGGTCGTGAGAAGGTTGTAGAGGCAGGAGGATCTCCTGGAGCATCAGTGGGTCTGCTCTGGTGGCTCTGGAGGTGACACAGCAGTGGATGGAGGTGACAGCAGTGGATGGAGGGGTCACAGCAGTGGATGGAGGGGTCACAGCATTGGATGGAGGGGTCACAGTGTGGACAGAGGTGACACAGCAGTGGATGGAGGGGTCACAGTGTGGATGGAGGGGTCACAGTGTGGATGGAGGGGTCACAGTGTGGATGGAGGTGACACAGTGTGGATGGAGGTGACACAGCAGTGGATGGAGGGGTCACAGTGTGGATGGAGGGGTCACAGTGTGGATGGAGGTGACACAGCAGTGGATGGAGGGGTCACAGTGTGGATGGAGGGGTCACAGCAGTGGATGGAGGTGACACAGCAGTGGATGGAGGGGTCACAGTGTGGATGGAGGGGTCACAGCAGTGGATGGAGGGGTCACAGTGTGGATGGAGGGGTCACAGCAGTGGATGGAGGGGTCACAGCAGTGGATGGAGGGGTCACAGCAGTGGATGGAGGGGTCACAGCAGTGGATGGAGGGGTCACAGCTGTGGATGGAGGGGTCACAGTGTGGATGGAGGGGTCACAGTGTGGATGGAGGGGTCACAGTGTGGATGGGGGTGACACAGCAGTGGATGGAGGAGTCACAGCAGTGGATGGAGGGGTCACAGTGTGGATGGAGGGGTCACAGTGTGGATGGAGGGGTCACAGCAGTGGATGGAGGGGTCACAGCAGTGGATGGAGGGGTCACAGCAGTGGATGGAGGGTCACAGCTGTGGATGGAGGGTCACAGCAGTGGATGGAGGGGTCACAGTGTGGATGGAGGGTCACAGCAGTGGATGGAGGTGACACAGCTGTGGATGGAGGGTCAGAGCAGTGGATGGAGGGTCACAGTAGTGGATGGAGGGGTCACAGTGTGGATGGAGGGGTCACAGCAGTGGATGGAGGGGTCACAGTGTGGATGGAGGGGTCACAGCAGTGGATGGAGGTGACACAGCAGTGGATGGAGGGTCACAGCTGTGGATGGAGGGTCACAGCAGTGGATGGAGGGGTCACAGTGTGGATGGAGGGTCGCAGTGTGGATGGAGGGGTCACAGTGTGGATGGAGGGGTCACAGCGTGGATGGAGGTGACACAGTGTGGATGGAGGGGTCAGAGCTGTGGATGGAGGGGTCACAGCAGTGGATGGAGGGGTCACAGTGTGGATGGAGGGGTCACAGTGTGGATGGAGGGGTCACAGTGTGGATGGAGGTGACACAGCAGTGGATGGAGGGGTCACAGTGTGGATGGAGGGGTCACAGTGTGGATGGAGGTGACACAGCAGTGGATGGAGGGGTCACAGTGTGGATGGAGGGTCACAGCAGTGGATGGAGGGTCACAGCAGTGGATGGAGGGGTCACAGTGTGGATGGAGGGGTCACAGCAGTGGATGGAGGGGTCACAGTGTGGATGGAGGGTCACAGCAGTGGATGGAGGTGACAGCAGTGGATGGAGGGTCACAGCAGTGGATGGAGGGTCACAGTGTGGATGGAGGGTCACAGCAGTGGATGGAGGGGTCACAGTGTGGATGGAGGGGTCACAGCAGTGGATGGAGGGTCACAGCAGTGGATGGAGGGTCACAGCAGTGGATGGAGGGGTCACAGCAGTGGATGGAGGGGTCACAGTGTGGATGGAGGGGTCACAGCAGTGGATGGAGGTGACAGCAGTGGATGGAGGGGTCACAGTGTGGATGGAGGTGACACAGCAGTGGATGGAGGGTCACAGCAGTGGATGGAGGGGTCACAGTGTGGATGGAGGGTCACAGCAGTGGATGGAGGGTCACAGCTGTGGATGGAGGGGTCACAGTGTGGATGGAGGGGTCACAGCTGTGGATGGAGGGGTCACAGCAGTGGATGGAGGGGTCACAGCAGTGGATGGAGAGGTCACAGTGTGGATGGAGGGGTCACAGCAGTGGATGGAGGGTCACAGCTGTGGATGGAGGGTCACAGTGTGGATGGAGGGGTCACAGTGTGGATGGAGGGGTCACAGCAGTGGATGGAGGTGACACAGTGTGATGGAGGGTCACAGCAGTGGATGGAGGGGTCACAGTGTGGATGGAGGGGTCACAGTAGTGGATGGAGGTGACACAGCAGTGGATGGAGGGGTCAGAGCTGTGGATGGAGGTGACACAGTGTGGATGGAGGGGTCACAGCAGTGGATGGAGGTGACACAGCAGTGGATGGAGGGGTCACAGTGTGGATGGAGGGGTCACAGCAGTGGATGGAGGGGTCACAGCAGTGGATGGAGGTGACACAGCAGTGGATGGAGGGGTCACAGCAGTGGATGGAGGGGTCACAGCAGTGGATGGAGGGGTCACAGTGTGGATGGAGGGTCACAGCAGTGGATGGAGGGGTCACAGTGTGGATGGAGGGTCACAGTGTGGATGGAGGTGACACAGCAGTGGATGGAGGGGTCACAGTGTGGATGGAGGGGTCACAGCAGTGGATGGAGGGGTCACAGTGTGGATGGAGGGGTCACAGCAGTGGATGGAGGTGACACAGCAGTGGATGGAGGGGTCACAGCAGTGGATGGAGAGGTCACAGTAGTGGATGGAGGGTCACAGTGTGGATGGAGGGGTCACAGTGTGGATGGAGGGGTCACAGTGTGGATGGAGGTGACAGCAGTGGATGGAGGGGTCACAGTGTGGATGGAGGGGTCACAGCAGTGGATGGAGGGGTCACAGTGTGGATGGAGGGGTCACAGTGTGGATGGAGGGGTCACAGTGTGGATGGAGGGGTCACAGCTGTGGATGGAGGTGACAGCAGTGGATGGAGGGGTCAGAGCAGTGGATGGAGGGGTCACAGCAGTGGATGGAGGGGTCACAGTGTGGATGGAGGGGTCACAGTGTGGATGGAGGGGTCAGAGCAGTGGATGGAGGGGTCACTTTCTGCCTCCTCCTCTGCTCCTCCCAAGGCCTGGACCCCCAGGAGGTCCCTGGGAGACACTTTTGGAGCTGCTCATTGCTCTCAACAGCTTTCACCGAAGCCCTGGGTGGTGGGGGCAGGGAGAACCCCTTTTTTGGGGGATTTTGAGCCGTTTCTGGCGGTTTGTGGTTTCTGCCGAGGCTGCAGCGGGAGGTGGGGGAGGAGGGCTCAGCCCTGGGAGCTGTGAGGAGCCTGGGGGGGCTCAGCCCTGAGGACCACCCGGCCCTGGAGGGTCCTGGTGGGCAAACAGCCCTTCCTGGAGCTGCCCATGATGGGATGGGAAGAACCCAGGGGTGAGGGGAGGGGGTTTCACCGCTCTCAGCCCTTGGGCTGCTCCTCAGAAATGACCCCAAAACCCCTCTGGGAGCGAAACCAGCAAGCCAAAAGGAGGAAGTTGGTGTTTGGGGGCTGTGGTGAGAGCAGCAGTTGGAGTGCTGGGCAGCGGGAGCGGCACAAACCCGGGGAGAGGGGGGAATTATTTGGGATATTGAGGGGGATTATTTGGGATATTGAGGGGGGTTATTTGGGATATCAAGGGAGATTATTTGGGATATCGAGGGGGGTTATTTGGGATATCAAGGGGGATTATTTGGGATATCGAGGGGGGTTATTTGGGATATCGAGGGGGGTTATTTGGGATATCAAGGGGGTTCTTTGGGATATCGAGGGGGGTTCTTTGGGATATCGAGGGGGGTTCTTTGGGATATCGAGGGGGTTGTTTGGGACATCGAGGGGTTGTTTGGGATATCGAGGGGGGTTCTTTGGGATATCGAGGGGGGTTGTTTGGGATATCGAGGGGGGTTGTTTGGGATATCGAGGGGGGTTATTTGGGATATCAAGGGGGATTATTTGGGATATCGAGGGGGTTTATTTGGGATATCGAGGGGGATCAGTTCATCCCACGAGAATGGGGGTCACTCAGTTCATCCCATGGGAATGGGCGTCAGGATCAGTTCATCCTGTGGGAATGGAGGTCAGGGTCAGTTCATCCTGTGGGAATGGAGGTCAGGGTCAGTTTATCCCATGGGAATGGGGGTCAGGGTCAGTTCTCCAGGAACTACTCCGATGTGAGTCCTCCTCCATGGGGTCAGTCCCTCAGGAACTGCTCCAGGTCCGTATTCCATGGGGTCAGTCCCTCAGGAACTGCTCCAGGTCCGTATTCCATGGGGTCAGTCCCTCAGGAACTGCTCCAGGTCCATATTCCATGGGGTCAGTCCCTCGGGAACTGCTCCAGGTGCCTTTCCATGGGGTCAGTCCCTCAGGAACTGCTCCAGGTCTGTATTCCATAGGGTCAGTCCCTCAGGAACTGCTCCAGGTGCTTTTCCATGGGGTCATTCCCTCAGGAACTGCTCCAGGTGCTTTTCCATGGGGTCATTCCCTCAGGAACTGCTCCAGGTCCCTTTCCATGGGGTCATTCCCTCAGGAACTGCTCCAACTCCTTTTCCATGGGGTCATTCCCTCAGGAACTGCTCCAGGTCTTTTCCATGGGGTCAGTCCCTCAGGAACTGCTCCAGGTCTGTATTCCATGGGGTCAGTCCCTCAGGAACTGCTCCAGGTCCGTATTCCATGGGCTCAGTCCCTCAGGAACTGCTCCAGGTCCATATTCCATGGGGTCAGTCCCTCAGGAACTGCTCCAGGTCCATATTCCATGGGGTCATTCCCTCAGGAACTGCTCCAGGTGCTTTTCCATGGGGTCATTCCCTCAGGAACTGCTCCAATTCCTTTTCCATGGGGTCATTCCCTCAGGAACTGCTCCAGGTCCCTTTCCATGGGGTCATTCCCTCAGGAACTGCTCCAGGTCCTTTTCCATGGGGTCATTCCCTCAGGAACTGCTCCAGGTCCATATTCCATGGGTTCAGTCCCTCAGGAACTGCCCCAAGTGGGTCCTTCCCACCACCCTGGAGTCACCTCACCCTCAGAAAACCCCCAGGCTCTTTGATATTTTTTACACCTTAAACCCACAACTCTTCATTTTACCCCTGAAAGGCAAATCCAGCAGGTCTGCACCCCCCAGCTATCCCAATTTCCCGGTTCTGCTGGCGATTCCAGCCTCTCAATCCATGGCAATTCCCTCCCTGACGTGCCTGAACCCTCCCGGCCGGAGGATCCCTCGGCTCCTTCCCATCCTGGGGTTGCAACATTCCCTCTGGCTGGGGTTGGAATGGCTTCAAACCCTGGAAACCCTTTCCCCCACCCTGCTCTGTCACACCCCGTGCCCAGAGCCACTCCTGGCACTGCTGGTGGCTTCCCTGGGTGTCCTCCCTGGGACGTTCCCGCTGCTCCGTGCGGCCTTTCCCGGTTCCCTGTCCCGGTTCCCGGCGTGTCCTGGCGCTGCCGCCGCCCCCTCCCGGCTCCTGGAGAGGCTGTTTGTTGTCTCCTGGCTCCTCTCCTGGCTCGGGATGCCTTGGCAGCACCTCCAGGAGCACGTGGTGGTGCCTTTTGGCAGGCGCCGGGAAGTGTTGGGCAATCGCATCCTCTCCGGGAGCAGCTCCCGGCTCCTCCGACTCCTCCGGCGCTGGCACCGGCGCTGCTTTCCCAGCCTGGGCACCACCATCCCTCCCCTCCCCTCCCCTCCCTTCCCCTCCCTCCTTCTCCCCTTGTTTTCCCTGGATTTAACTCCTTGTGATCTCCCTCTGTATCCCAAACTGGGGGGGTTTCCCGGGCTGGATTCCTCCTCCTCCTCCTCCCGACCTGCTCCGGGGCCGCCCTGGGGATGTTCAGCCACATCCAGGAACAGGATGGGGATCCTTTTCTGGGTGAACTTTCCCCCCCCCTGCAGAGCCTTTCCTTTCTGGATTTGGACTGGGAGGAAGGGGAGGAAGAGGAGGGGGTCGGTTGGGTGGCAGGAGCTCAGGGAATGATCCTCCAGCTCCTCCACAGTTGAACCCCACGTGAGGATTCCAAGGTGGGGTTATCCCTGCCGGGATCCAGGCCCTGCCTGGGCTAAAGAGGGGTCTTCAGAGAGGGAAAGAACATTCTTGGGATCTCCTGGGGTGGGAGGAGACCCACGAGGATCGCCCAGATCAGGTCCTGACTCCACACGGGGCAACCTGGGAGGGGCTTTGAGGGATTCGAGGGATTTGAGGGGGTTTGAAGGATTTGAGGGGGTTTGAGGAATCAAGGGGCTCTGAGGGATTCAAGGGGCTCTGATGGAATCAAGGAATTTGGAAGGAATCAAGGACTTTTGAAAAAATCAAGAGGGTTTTGAGGGAATCGAGGGGCTTTGAGGGAATTGAGGGGCTTTGAGGGAATTGAGGAGTTTTGAGGGAATTGAGGAGTTTTGAGGGAATCAAGGGGGTTTGAGGGAATTGAGGGGCTTTGAGGGAATCGAGGGGGTTTGAGGCAATCAAGGCACTGATGGAATTTTAGGTGAACTGAAGGGGCTTTGGGGAATCAGGTTTTGAAGGAATCAAGGAGGGGCTTTAAGGAATCAAGGATCTCTGAAGGAATCGAGGGGCTCTGAGGGAATCGAGGGACCCTGAGGGATTCAAGGGACCCTGAGGGATTCAAAGGGTCTTGAAGGAATCGAGGGGTTTTGAGGGAATCAAGGGGTTTTGAAGGAATCAAGGGGTTTTGAGGGAATCAAGGGGTTTTGAGGAAATCAAAGGACTTTTAGGGAATCAGGGGGGTCTGAGGGAATTGAGCTGTCAGGGAACCTGAGGGGCTCTGAGGAATTTTAGGCACCTGTGAGTCTGGAGGGGGCTGGAGGTCCCACCTCCCTCTCCGGGTCGATGTTCCCCAAGGACCCTCCTCGTGCTCCCATTCCCGGGCCACCCTCCCTCTGTGTCCCATTTCCCTGCCCCCTCTCCCGCTGCCTGACCTACTTCCCAAGGTCTTTGATCCCTTCCTGGAATTCCAGGTGACTCCAGAGCTCCGGTTGCTCCCATTCCCTCCATCCCTGCCCGTGGAAAACGCGGCCGTTGCCCTCGGGGTCGCCTTTGCTCCCGGTCCCTGAGCATTCCCAAGGTCCCTACGGTGGGAATTGTCTTGGATTCCAGCCCCATTTCCACATGGATCAGCCATGGGAAACAACAGGAAATCTCCCCACCTGCCTCTCCTTGGGAGTGAGAATTCCCTGGAATAACCCATTCCAGGCTCGGCAGCCGGGGAGGGAAATCAGCCCCTCTTCCCTTCCGGGATGTTGTCGGGAGCCCCTGGTTTGCCCGTGGGGGATGTTACAGGGGAAAACGTGGATTTGGGATGTTTGGGGTGAGCCAAGGGGGCAGCTGCAGCCCCGTTGGGTCCAACGTGGCTACTCCACATCCCGGCGGGAACGGCGCCCGATCCCCATCCCTGGGGATCCCTCGGGAATTCCCAGTGCCGGCCTTGGCGTCGCTCCAGCTCTCCCAGCCAAGGAGAGCTTTGGAGTGTCGGGAGGGGAGGGAAAAGAGGAGCTGGGGCTGAGCCAGGGCCGGGAAGAGCCGAGCTGGGAGGGATCCGCCGGCTCCCTTGGCAGGAATCTCGGCAGCTCGGGATGCCAGGGAAAAGCGGCCGCTTCCAACCTCATCCCAGGCAGCTGCCAACAACCCAGCCGGCCTTCCCAGGGTGTCCCACACCCCTCGGGGATCTTCCTCAAATTCCAGGGCTCAAATTCCAGGGTTTTTTTTATTTTTGGGAAGTGGCACCGGCTGCTCCACACAGATCTTCCCGCTAATCCAGGGGTTGTGCACCCAGAGCTGATTCCCAGGAGTGCTGGGGTTGTCCAGGGGGGTTTTCCCTCCCCTCCCCTGTGTGGGATCCGTTGGGAATCGGGGTGAGGGGTCGGGAATCTCGGAGGGATCCCCACAGGTGTCACCTGAACACCCCAAACCCTTGGGATGAGACCCCCCCGGGAGGATCCCCTGGAACCTCCCGTGGGCTTTCAAACTCCCTAAAAACCTCGGGATTGGGACCATTGGGGGTCCTGAATCTCCCAGGAGCCAGTGGGGCATGGATGGAGCATCTCCCACCCCTTTCTAAGCTGTTTTGGGATGAAAAAAGCAGGAATTGGACCCTCCAGTTCCTTCCAATTCCACCTTCCCTGTGCTGAGGGAGCTCCTGGCGCTCTTGGAATGTTGGTGCCTCTCCCTGGCTGGGTTTTGTCGAGGCTTTCCCATCCCTTGAGGGGTTTCCTGGTGGAATTCCGGGCTGGATTGTCCAGATTTCCTGAGGATTTTCCAACCCCATGAGTACCAAAAATGTCAGGGAACACTTGTGGATTGGGAACACGCCAGGATCCAATTCCTTCTTCCCAGGGAGGAGGGTGGGGATGAGCAGAGCCCCATCCAAGGTGATCCCACCCTCCTCCACCTTCCATATTTCTCTTTAGGGCTCCATAAATAAGTTGTGTTTTCCATAAATCCCTTTGGTTCCTCTCCTGGAAGTGCTGGGAGGGGACAATTCCCACAGGGATCGTCCATCCCTGATCCCACCGAGCTTCGAGGGCTGTGCTTGTTGTGCTGGATTTGTGATCCAGGGGGATTTTGGGTCCAATCCAGGTGGATTTTGGGTCCCAATCCAGGTGGATTTTGGGTCCCAATCCAGGTGGATTTTGGGTCCCAATCCAGGGGATTTTGGGGGCCATTTCCACCCTTGGAGTGGGTTTTTTGGGAACACTTTGTGCCTTTGGCTCCGATCGGGTTGTTGTGGCCCCGTTTTTTTGGGGAGGAGGGGGAGGAGAAGGGGGCAGCGCCAGGGCAGGGGCTGAGGGTCCCAAATCCCTCCTGGATGGGGAATTCCCGCTCTTTGCTTTTTGTTGGAATGGTTTGACAGGAAACCCGCTGGCTCTGGCAGAGGGGGGAGGGGGCCTTTGGGGGCTTTTTCCAGCCTGGGGGGTCCCAGCCTTGGGAATGGGGGTGGGATGGGGAGAGGCTCCCCCACCCCCCCATTCCCATCCCCATTACCTCCTTATTCCCATTCCATTCCCATCCCCATTCCCTCCCTATTCCCATTCCATTCTCATTCCCATTCCCTCCCTATTCCCTTCCCATTCCCTCCCTATTCCTTTCCCATTCCCATTCCTATCCCATTCCCTCCCTATTCCCATTCCATTCCCATCCCATTCCCATCCCATCCCATTCCCATTCCCATCCCCATTCCCTCCCTATTCCCATTCCCATTCCCTCCCTATCCCCATTCCCTCCCCATTCCCTCCCCATCCCATTCCCATCCCCATTCCCTCCCTATTCCCATTCCCATTCCCATCCTATCCCCATTCCCTCCCCATTCCCTCCCCATCCCATCCCCATCCCCATTCCCATCCCATTCCCATTCCCATTCCCATTCCCATTCCCATTCCCATTCCCATTCCCATCCCATCCCATTCCCATCCCCATCCCCATCCCCTCTCCCCCCATCGCTCGCTCGGCGCTCGTCCCCTCTCCCTGCCGCCCTCTCCGTGTCTCTGCGCTCGGCGCGCTGGCCTGGCGGGCTCCCTGCGCGGTGCCCAAGATGGCGGCCTCCACCTCGGGCTCGGCTGCCGCCTCCCTGCCGCCCAAAGTCGCCAGCGGCGGCGGCGCCGCGGCCCTGCGACCGCGACCGCGGCGGGGACGGCGACCCCGAGCCCCCGGCCGCGCCCGAGCCGGGTGAGCGCCCCTTCCCCTGCGCCGGCCCTGCCCTGCCGCGCCTGGGCTCACCTGCGCCGCCCCCTCCCCTCACGCAGCCCCCGGTGCGGCGGCTGGCCCGGGGCCGGGAGGGCCCGGCGGGGGCGGCGGGAGCGCCGGGGGAGCCCACGGGGGCCGCGGCCGGCGAGACGCCGCCTTCCTTTGTCCGGGACCCGGCCCCGCTTTGTCCCCGGCGGGACCCCTGGGCGGCGGCCCCCGGGACGGGCCTAGGCCCGGGGCCCGCGGGGAGCGCCTGCTCTGGCCATCCTGGCCCCGCGGGGCTGCGGGGGGTGCAGGGCCTCTCTTGTCCCCCCCCCGGGTGTGCCCGGTTCCTTCGCCCACCCCCCCGGGGGATGCGGGGGGTGCCCGGTCCGCCTGTCCCGGTCCGTGCGGGGGATGCCCCGACCCCCCATCCCGGTCCCTCCATCCCGGATCCTCCATCCAGGATCCCCCCCTGGGGATGTCCCACCTCTCCATCCCATCCCCCCCGCGGGGAATGTGCCCGGTCTGTCCATCCCTGTCCATCCATCCCGGTCCGTCCATCCCGGTCCGTCCATCCCAGATCCACGGTCCCAGTTCTGTCGGGAATGCGGGAGATGCTCCGTGTCCCTCCATCCCTTGGGGGGGTGCCCGGTTTCTCCATCCCAATCCCTCCATCCCGGTGCTCCCGGGACATTCCCGGTCTCTTCTTCCCGGTCTCCCCAGGGGTGCCCGGTCCCACCATCCCGGTCCTTTTGGGGGTTCCCAGGGTTGGGAAGCGGCTCCTGAGGAGCCCCCCGGGGGTGTCCCCAGCCCTGTCCTCGGCCACCCCCTGCTGGGACCTGCCACTGTCCCTGTCCTGTCCCCTGCTGGGACCTTTCACTGTCCCCTCCCCTCAGGGACCTGTCCCCTGTCCTGCTGGGACTGCCACCTCTCACTGTCCCCTCCCCTCAGGGACCTGTCCCTTGGCCTACAAGGACCTGCCACCCCTCCCATCCTCCCACAGGGACTTGTCACCATCCTGTGCCATCCCCTGAGGGACCTGCCACCTCTCCTGTCCTCACCCCTGCTGGGATCTGCCACCTCTCACTGTCCCCTCCCCTTAGGGACCTGCCACCGCCTTTGTCCCCTCCCCCTTAGGGACCTGTCACCTTCCCTGTCCCCTCCCCTTTAGGGACCTGCCACAGCCTTTGTCCCCTCCCCTCAGGGACCTGCCACCATCTCTTTCCTGTCCCCTGCTGGCAAATGCCACCTCTCCCTGTCCCCTTCTTTCAGGGACCTGTCCTCTCACCCACAGGGACCTGTCCCCACCTCTGAGGGACCTCCCATCATCCTTGTCCCCTCCTCCATCCTTAGGGACCTGTCCCCTCCCCTTAAGGACCTGCCACCACCCCCTGTCCTACCCCTCTTAGGGACCTGCCACCACCCCCTGTCCCCTCCCCTTAAGGACCTGCCACCACCCCTGTCCTACACCTCTTGGGGACCTGCCACCACCCCCTGTCCCCTCCCTAAGGACCTGCCACCACCCCTGTCCTACTCCCTCTTAGGGACCTGCCACCACCCCCTGTCCCTTCCCCTTAAGGACCTGCCACCACCCCTGTCCTACCCCTCTTAGGGACCTGCCACCACCCCCTGTCCCTTCCCCTTAAGGACCTGCCACCACCCCTGTCCTACCCCTCTTAGGGACCTGCCACCACCCCCTGTCCCCTCCCCTCAAGGACCTGCCACCACCCCTGTCCTACCCCTCTTAGGGACCTGCCACCACCCCCTGTCCCTTCCCCTTAAGGACCTGCCACCACCCCTGTCCTACCCCTACCACTGTGCCTGTCCCCTCCCCTTAAGGACCTGCCACCGCCCCCTGTCCCCTCCCCTTAAGGACCTACCACCACCCCTGTCCTACACCTCTTGGGGACCTGCCACCTTCCCTGCAGGGAGCTGCCACCCTCCTGTCCTGGGCTGCCACCTCTGTCCCCTCCCCTTAAGGACCTGCCCCCATCCTTGTCCCCTCAGGGACCTGCCACCACCCCTGTCCTGTCCCCTGCCACCACCCCTGTCCTGTCACCTCAGGGACCTGCCACCACCCCTGTCCTGCCCCTGCCACCACCCCTGTCCCCTTCCCTCAGGGACCTGCCATCACCCCTGTCCTGCCCCTGCCACCACCCCTGTCCTGTCACCTTATGGACCTGCCACCACCCCTGTCCTGCCCCTGCCACCACCCCTGTCCTGTCACCTCAAGGACCTGCCACCACCCCTGTCCTGCCACTGTCCCTGTCCTGTCCCCTCCCCTTAGCAACCTGCCACCACCCCTGTCCTGCCCCTGCCACTGTCCCTGTCCTGTCACCTTATGGACCTGCCACCACCCCTGTCCTACCCCTGCTACCACCCCTGTCCTGTCACCTCAGGGTCCTGCCACCACCCTTGACCTACCCCTGCCACTGTCCCTGTCCTGTCCCTGCCACTGTCCCTGTCCTGTCACCTCAGGGACCTGCCACCACCCCTGTCCTACCCCTGCCACCACCCCTGTCCTGCCCCTACCACTGTCCCTGCCCTGTCCCCTGCAGGGAGATGCCACCTTTCCCTGTCCCCTCCTCCATCTTTAGGGACCTGTCCCCTCCCTTTAAGGACCTGTCCCCTTCCCCTGTCCCCTCCCTTTAAGGACCTGTCCCCTTCCCCTGTCCCCTCCCCTTAAGGACCTGTCCCCTTCCCCTGTCCCCATCCCTCGGGAAGCTCCCACCTTCCCCATCCCCCTCCCTGCAGGGTCCTGCCACCCTCAGTGTCACTGTCACCCCCCGCCATTCCCTCTCTCCCTCCTTTCTTCCCTCCATCCCTCCATCCCACCTGTCCCTGTCCCTGCCAGTGACATCCCAGTGGGATGGGTGTCCCCTGTCCCTGTGGGAGGGTTTATCCCCCTCAGAACATCCCAAATTCCCCCTGGAGCAGCCCCAACCTCAACCCCCCCATATCCCATTCCCCTTCATCCCTCCCTTTCTCCCTTCATCCCATCCTGTCCCTGTCCCTCCCAGTGACATCCCAGTGGGATGGGTGTCCCCTGTCCCTGGGGGGTGTCCCTTGTTCCTGGGGAGGGTTTCTCCCCCTCACAACATCCCAAATTCCCCCCCTCTCCCTGGGGGAGGGTTTTTTCCCCTTGGAACATCCCAAATCCCCCTGGAACATCCCACCCCACCCCGTATCCCTTTCCCCCTCCCCATCCTGACCCTCTCCTTCCCGGCAGTCCTGGCTCCCGAGGAGGACGAGCTGGTGGCCATGGAAGTGACTTCCCCCCCTCCCATCCCGAAAAAAAGCTCCGCTCAGCTGGACCCTCCCCCGCCCCGGATCGGGACCAAACTGTCCCCGGAGCCGCCCGGGAACAAACCGGAGCCTCCGGACGCCAAAGGTGGGTGATTTCCCGGGATTCCCCTCCCATCCCGCATCCTGGCACCGGGTTGGAGCCAGGCAGGGTCTGTGTGACCCCATCCAGGAGGATTTTCCGGGTCCTTTTGGTTAATTAGTGTGTTAATTAAGAGGGTGGTTGTGTCCTGCTCCAGGGTCGCAATTCCCGGTGCTTTTCCTTCCCTAAAGTTTTCCAGAGTTCTCTGGGACCGACCTGCCCTCCCTCAATCAGCCCTCCCTCTCCTAATTAACGACCTTCCCCCAAAATGATCCCTTTGAGATCCCTCTGAGGTCCTGAGCCCTCCCTGTTGGCTTCCAAATCCCTCTGGAAAAACATCCTGGAGCGGGAAAAGCGACTTCTCCCACTCTGGAGCAGCAATCCTTGTCCTCCCACAGCCCTGCTCGCTCTTCCCAGGTCATTCCCCCCCCTGCAGGGGGTTGTGGATCATCCAGAATTAGGGATGGGGGTGGTGAAATCCTCAGGGATATTCCTACCCCTGGGAATTCCACCCTGCAGGCAGGAATATCCGGAGTTCATTATCCTAATGCTCATAATTAGGGATGGGGGTGATAAAATCCCACAGGATGTTCCCCCCTCATGTAAGGTTATGGTGGAGCATCCCAATGCTCAAAATGAGGGATGGGGGTGGTAAAATCCCTTGGGATATTCCTGCCTGCTCAGGGATTTGTGGAGCATCCTGAATTAGGGATGGGCTTGATGAAATCCCCTGGGATATCAGGGATGTGTGGAGCATCCCCATGCTCTAAATTGGGGTTGGGAATGATAAACATCCCTCGGGATATCCCAGAGTTCACCATCCCAATGCTCAAAACCAGGGCTGGGGCGGGGGGTGGTCAAAATCCTTTGGGATATTCCTGCCTGATATTCCAGGAGTGTGTGGAACATCCAGAATTAGGGTTGAGGGTGGTAAATTCACCTCGGGATATTCCCTGGGGATCCAGAGTTCATCATCCCAGTCCTTAAAATGAAGGTTTGGGACTGTAAAAATCCCCTGGGATTGGAGCCCCAGCTTGTCCATCCACTACCCCTTGTGCTCCTACCCCAGCCATTCCCTGACTTTTGGTTTTTCCCAGTTTTCCTGCCGTTCCCAGCCCAGAGCCTGACGATGTGCGAGGTGTTTGGGGGCAGAAATATCCCAAATTCATCCTCCCAATGCTCAAACCTTGGGTTGGGAGTTGCCCAGCTCCCCCAGGATTGGATCACTAGCACATCCTACCCCAACCATTCCCTGATTTCCCTTTTTTCCCTGTTTTCCCTACCATCCCCAGCCCAGAGCCTGATGATGTGCGAGGTGTTTGGGGGCAGGAATATCCCGAGTACTCAAAACTTGGGTTGGGGGTTGCCCAACTCCCCCAGGACTGGATCAGCAGCACCTCCTGCCCCAGCCCTTCCCTGATTTCCCTTTTTTCCCTGTTTTCCTGCCGTCCCCAGCCCAGAGCCTGACGATGTGAGAGGTGTTTGGGGGCAGGAATATCCCGAGTGCTCAAAACTGTGACCCAGCTCCCCCAGGATTGAGTCACCGGCACCTCCTACCCCTCCATTCCCTGATTTCCCTGTTTTCCTGCCGTCCCCAGCCCAGAGCCTGACGATGTGCGAGGTGTTTGGGGGCAGGAATATCCCGAGTGCTCAAAACTGTGACCCAGCTCCCCCAGGACTGGATCACCAGCACCTCCTACCCCCTCCATTCCCTGATTTCCCTGTTTTCCTGCCGTCCCCATCCCAGAGCCTGACGACGTGTGCGAGGTGTTTGGGGGCAGGAATATCCCGAGTGCTCAAAACTGTGACCCAGCTCCCCCAGGACTGGATCACCAACACATCCTACCCCCGCCATTCCCTGATTTCTTCCTGTCGCCCCATCCCAGAGCCTGACGACGTGCAGGTGCTTGGGGCAGGAATATCCCGAGTACTCAAAACTTGGGTTGGGGGTTACCCAACTCCCCCAGGACTGGATCACCAGCACATCCTGCCCCAACCATTCCCTGATTTCCCTTTTTTCCCTGTTTTCCCTACCATCCCCAGCCCAGAGCCTGATGATGTGCGAGGTGTTTGGGGGCAGGAATATCCCGAGTTCACCATCCCAATGCTCAAAACTCAGGTTGTGGGTGGCCCAAATCCCCCAGGACTGGATCAGCAGCACCTCCTACCCCAGCCCTTCCCTGACTTTTGGTTTTTCCCTGTTTTCCTGCCGTCCCCAGCCCAGAGCCTGATGATGTGCGAGGTGTTTGGGGGCAGGAATATCCCGAGTGCTCAAAACTGTGACCCAGCTCCCCCAGGACTGGATCACCAGCACCTCCTACCCCTCCATTCCCTGATTTCCCTGTTTTCCTGCCGTCCCCATCCCAGAGCCTGACGACGTGCGAGGTGTTTGGGGGCAGGAATATCCCGAGTACTCAAAACTTGGGTTGGGGGTTACCCAACTCCCCCAGGACTGGATCAGCAGCACCTCCTACCCCAGCCATTCCCTGATTTCCCTGTTTTCCTGCCGTCCCCAGCCCAGAGCCTGACGACGTGCGAGGTGTGCGGCGCCTGCTTCGAGACGCGCAAGGGGCTGTCGAGCCACGCGCGCTCCCACCTGCGCCAGCTGGGCGTGGCCGAGTCGGAGAGCAGCGGGGCCCCCATCGACCTCCTCTACGAGCTCGTGCGCCACAAGGGCAAGGCCGACGGCGCCGCCCTCGTCCCGCCCCTGGCCAAGAAATCGGCCTCCCCCAAGGACCCCGGGGCCGCCCCCCGGCCCGCGCTGCTGGCCCTGGCCAAGGCCGAGCGCCCGCCCGACGGCGCCGTCAACAAAGCCATCAAATCCCCGCCGGGCTTCGCCAAGGCCCTGGCCCAGCCGGGCTCCCCCGTGCTCAAGAAGGTGCCGCCCGCGCTCTCGGCGTCCCCGTCTCCCAAGAACTCCGAGGAGAAGAGCTCCAAGCTGGCGCTGAGCCCGCTGCCGGCGTCGCCCAACTCCCAGTGGCCGCAGGAGGAGGACGGGCCCCTCAACTTGAGTGAGTTCCTGTCGCTTTTCCGGGGGCTTTCCCGGGGGCTTTCTGAGGGTTCCTGAGCCTTCCCGTCCTCTCCCTGCCGTTTGGTTGTGGCTGTCTTGGCCTTGCCTGTCAACGGGCATTCCCGCTGGGATTTTGGGAGTCTCTCTGCGCTCCCAGCCCTTCCCGTCTCTTCCCTGGTTCTCCCGGCTGCTCTGGGCGAGCTGGAGCGCCCTGGGGTGCTGCTCCTGATCCCGATAAATCCGAATCCCGATGCGGGGGTTTGGCTGGCATCCCATTCCCACATTCCCCGCTCCTGGAAAACCTCCAGGACTGGTGCTTCCATGTCCTTCTTCATCCTCGGTTTCCATCAGGGACTGATTCCCCACACCTTGGGCAGCATCCCGCTTGGCTCTTCCCGCCTTTTCCCGGAGCGCCATGGCTTCCTGGGGATGTTTCATCCACAGCTCCAAGGGCTGTTGAGCTTCTTGGGGTTGATAGCTCCTCATCCTCGTTTCCAGGCTTTCCCAGGGAGCACATCCCACCAGTGGCAGCACCAACAGGCGCCGCTCCCCTGAGAATCTCTGCTCCAGTGGGAATCCTGGAGCCTTTGGAGGTCGTTTCCTGCAATAACACGGAAAGCAGCCTCCAAATATTTGCTGTATCCGCCCATTCCCTCATTCCAGGGGCAGCCTTAAGGCCTGAATCCCTGCAAACCCCGTGGCCGGACCTTTCCCAGCGTTCAGCCCCACTTCCAACTTTGGGGATCATCCACATCCATCCCCTGAGCACCACAGTAAATCGGTTAAAAAACCAGAATTCCCAGAACTCCCAGCAGCGTTTCTTGGGATGCCCCTGGTTGATTCATTTCCCTAAATTCTGTTTGCCATCGCCAGCTCTCCCAAATCCCATCCCAGATTTATCCCCAACCCCATCCCAGTTAATTACACGACAACTGATTGTCTTGGGGGGCAGAGCCGGTGGCAATATTTGTGTGGCAGCCGGAATTCCGGGCAGTTTTCCCTCTGGAATTCCACTCTCTCTGCAGCCTCAGGGTTGGAGCCAGCGCGGGTTCTGTGGGGAATTCTTCCCGAAATTCCATTTGCTGTCGACGGTGCTCCCAAATCCAATCCCATATTTATCACCAAACTCATCCCAGAATGTGTTTGGGACATTTGGGAAAATATTTGCAAAGGAGGCAGCCGGAATTCCAGGTGGTTTCCCTCCTTGTTTTTTTAGCACCCTCTGGAATTCACTCCCTCCACGGGGTTGGAGCCGGTGTGCGACATCCACTGCGAGAAATCCCATTTGCCATCGCCAGCTCTCCCAAACCCAATCCCGCATTTATCCCAGTCAATTGCACAACAGCCAGTTGTCTCAGGAGGTGTTGGGCAGGAGGCAGCCGGAATTCTGGGCAGTTTTCCCTATGGAATTCCGCTCTCTCCGCAGTGTCGGGGTTGGAGCCGGCACGCGACATCCTCTGTGAGAAATCCCGTTTGCCATCTCCGGCTGTCCCAAACCCAATCCCACATTTATTCCCAACCTCAACCCAGTCAATTGCACAACAGCCAGTTGTATCAGGGGGTGTTGGGCAGGAGGCAGCTGGAATTCCAGGCACTTTTCCCTATGGAATTCCGCTCTCTCCGCAGCGTCGGGGTCAGAGCCGGTGCACGACATCCGCTGTGAGAAATCCCATTTGCCATCGCCGGCTGTCCCAAACCCAATCCCACATTTATTCCCAACCTCAACCCAGTCAATTGCACAACAACCAGTTGTCTCAGGGGGTGTTGGGCAGGGGGGCAGCTGGAATTCCGGGCGGTTTTCCCTATGGAATTCCGCTCTCTCCGCATCATCAGGGTCATAGCTGGTGCACGACGTCCACTGCGAGAAATCCCATTTGCCATCTCCGGCTGTCCCAAACTCAATCCCACATTTGTCCTCAACCTCATCCCAGTCAATTGCACAGCAGCCAGTTGTCTCAGGGGGTGTTGGGCAGGAGGCAGCCGGAATTCCAGGCAGTTTTCCCTATGGAATTCCGCTCTCTCCTCAGCGTCGGGGTCAGAGCCGGCGCGCGACATCCGCTGCGAGAAATCCCGTTTGCCATCTCCGGCTGTCCCAAACCCAATCCCACATTTCTCCCAGTCAATTACACAACAGTTAATTGTCTTGGCGGGGCTGAGAGGGTGGCACTGTTTGCGCAGCCGGAATTCCGGGCGGTCCTCCCTCTGGAATTCCGCTCTCTCCGCAGCGTCGGGGTCGGAGCCAGCGCGCGACATCCGCTGCGAGTTCTGCGGGGAGTTCTTCGAGAACCGGAAAGGTCTGTCCAGCCACGCGCGCTCCCACCTGCGCCAGATGGGGGTCACCGAGTGGTCCGTCAACGGCTCCCCCATCGACACCCTCCGGGAGATCCTCAGGAAGAAATCCAAGCCCTGCCTCATCAAGAAGGAGCCGCTGGCCCCGGGCCTGGAGCCGCCCAAGCCGCTGGGGGAGGACGGGATGGATCCCAAGGCGCCGGCTCCGGCCGGGAAGGTGCTGCAGGGGCTGTCCCTGGCCCCGCTGGGCGGGAGGCCGGGCAAGCCGGGGGCCGGGGGGGCCCTGGCGCTGACGCCCCTGGGATCCAAAGCTCCCGGAGCCTTCCTGGCTCCCAAGCGGCCGCTTCCTGACGACCGGCTGGGCCCCCACGGGGAATCCAAGCACAAGGCCTTCGGCCCCCCCGAGCTGTCCTTCAAGGCCAAGGCTCTGCACGACAAGGCCTGTGAGTGAAGGGGGATCTGGGGGCATTCCTGGGATTGGATTGTCGGGATGGGGAGTGTGGAGAGGGAAGGGGAGGTTTGGGATCGGGGTAACCCTGGACTGAGTGAGCCTCTTGAGGTGGGGGGTTCCCTCTATCAACTGGTCCCCAGCGGGACCAGGGGTGATGGCAGAGTTGGAAAACTGGGAATTTCGATCCCATGGAGGATTCTAAATACCATCCCTGATTCCCGTGACCCTGCAGCCCTGTAATTTATCCCCCAGTGTCGGAGGCGTGCTGCGAGCTGTGCGGGCTGTACTTCTCTCCCATATTCCCTAACCCATATCCTGTGTAATTCCCAGTATTCCCTGTAATTTTCCCTGCAGCCTCCGAGGCGTGCTGCGAGCTGTGCGGGCTGTACTTCTGTCCCATATTCCCTGTAATTCCCATTATTCCCTGTAATTTATCCTCCAGCATCTGAGGCGTGCTGTGAGCTGTGCGGGCTGTACTTTTCTCCCGTATTCCCTATCCCATATTCCCTATCCCATATTCCCTGTAATTCCCATTATTCCCTGTATTTTATCCCCCAGCGTCCGAGGCGTGCTGCGAGCTGTGCGGGCTGTACTTCTGTCCCATATTCCCTAACCCATATCCCATATTCCCTAACCCGTATCCCATATTCCCTAATCCATATCCCATATTCCGTATCCCATATCCCATATTCCCTGTAATTTATCCCCCAGCGTCCAAGGTGTGCTGCGAGCTGTGCGGGCTGTACTTCTGTCCCATATTCCCTGTAATTCCCGTTTATCCCTGTAATTTATCCTCCAGCCTCCGAGGCGTGCTGCAAGCTGTGCAGGCTGTGCTTCTGTCCCATATTCCCTATCCCATATTCCCTATCCCATATCCCATATTCCCTGTATTTTATACCCCAGTGTCCGAGGCATGCTGCGAACTGTGCGGGCTGTACTTCTGTCCCATATTCCCTATCCCATATCCCATATTCCTATCCCTATCCCATATTCCCTGTAATTCCTGCAGCGTCCGAGGCGTGCTGCGAGCTGTGTGGGCTGTACTTCTGTCCCATATTCCCTGTAATTCCAGTTATTCCCTGTAATTCCTGCAGCCTCCGAGGCGTGCTGCGAGCTGTGCGGGCTGTACTTCTGTCCCATATTCCCTATCCCATATCCCATATTCCCTGTAATTCCTGCAGCCTCCGAGGCGTGCTGCGAGCTGTGCGGGCTGTACTTCTGTCCCATATTCCCTGTAATTCCCATTATTCCCTGTAATTTATCCTCCAGCCTCCGAGGCGTGCTGCAAGCTGTGCGGGCTGTACTTCTGTCCCATATTCCCTATCCCATATCCCATATTCCCTATCCCATATTCCCTGTATTTTATCCCCCAGCCTCCGAGGCGTGCTGCGAGCTGTGCGGGCTGTACTTCTGTCCCATATTCCCTGTAATTCCCGGTATTCCCTGTAATTCCTGCAGCCTCTGAGGCGTGCTGCGAGCTGTGCGGGCTGTACTTCTGTCCCATATTCCCTATCCCATATTCCCTGTAATTCCCGTTATTCCCTGTATTTTATCCCCCAGCCTCCGAGGCGTGCTGCGAGCTGTGCGGGCTGTACTTTTCTCCCATATTTCCTATCCCATATCCCAAATTCCCTGTAATTTATCCCCCAGCCTCCGAGGCGTGCTGCGAGCTGTGCGGGCTGTACTTCTGTCCCATATTCCCTATCCCATATCCCATATTCCCTGTAATTTATCCCCCAGCCTCCGAGGCGTGCTGCGAGCTGTGCGGGCTGTACTTCTGTCCCATATTTCCTATCCCATTCCCATTATTCCCTGTAATTCCTGCAGCCTCCGAGGCGTGCTGTGAGCTGTGCAGGCTGTACTTCTGTCCCATATTCCCTATCCCATATCCCATATTCCCTGTATTTTATCCCCCAGCCTCCGAGGCGTGCTGCGAGCTGTGCGGGCTGTACTTCTGTCCCATATTCCCTATCCCATATCCCATATTCCCTGTAATTTATCCCCCAGCCTCCGAGGCGTGCTGCGAGCTGTGCGGGCTGTACTTCGAGAACCGCAAGGCCCTGGCGAGCCACGCCCGCGCCCACCTGCGCCAGTTCGGGGTCACCGAGTGGTGCGTGAACGGCTCCCCCATCGAGACCCTGCGCGAGTGGATCCGGCACCGCCCGCACAAGGCCGGCGCCTACCGGAGCTACATCCAGGGGGGCCGGCCCTTCTCCAAGAAGTTCCGCAACTCCGCGCACGGCCGGGAGCACCGGGGCGGCCCCCTGGGGCTGCAGCCCGCGGGCGTCACCTTCCTGGGGAAGGGGCTCCCCGGGGAGCTGCCCCACGGCGACCCCGCCAAGATGCTGGACGGGGCGGGAGAGAGGGCCCTGATCACGTCGCCCCTGTCGCTGGTGAAGCTGGAGGAGCACCAGCGCTCCAACATCAGCAGTGAGTGTTGGGAGAGGAGGGGATTCCGGCGGGGGACGGCATGGGGGTGGGAAGAGGGTGGGGAGAATCCCTGTGGGAAGGGCACTGGAGTCTGGGAGAATCCCTGCAGAGGAGGGCACTGGAGTCTAGGAGAATCCCTGAGGAAAGGGCAGTGGGATTTGGGACAATCCTTGCAGGAGAGGGCACTGGAGTCTGGGACAATCCCTACAGGAGAGGACACTGGGCTGTTGGAAAAGGATTGGGACAATCCCTGCAGGAGAGGGCAGTGGGATGTGGGAGAATCCCTGCAGGAGAGGGCACTGGAGTCTGGGAGAATCCCTGCAGGAGGGGACTGGGATTTGGGACAATCCCTGCAGGAAAGGGCACTGGAGTCTGGGAGAATCCTTGCAGGAGGAGGGCACTGGAGTCTGGGAGAATCCCTGCAGAGGAGAGAGGCAGCTGGGGGGGCACTGTCTGGGAAAGAGGACTGGGTGGGAAATCCTGCGGAGGGCTGGAGGAGAGGAAGCACTGGAGTCTGGGACAATCCCTGCACAAGAGGGCACTAGGATCTTGGAGAATCCCTGCAGGAGAGGGCCAGGGATGTGGGAGAATCCTGGAGAAAAATATTCCCTGCAGGAGAGGGCACTGGGGTGTGGGAAAATCCTGAGGGAGAGGGCATGGGACACTGGGAAGAGCCCTGCAGGAGAGGACACTGGGCTGCTGGAAAAGGATTGGGACAATCCCTGCAGGAGAGGGCAGTGGGATGTGGGAGAATCCCTGCAGGAGAGGGCACTGGGGTCTGTGGCACCAGGAGAATCCCAGTCCTAACCCCTCTGCACCTTCCCAGCAGCTCCAGGAGGGAATTTTCTCCTGAGAACTCCCCCTCTCTTCTTCTTCTCCTTCCTCTCCTTCCTCTCCTTCCTCTCCCTCTCAGGGACCCCATTCCCATGTCCAGCACCAGGAAAATCCTTTCTGGTCCTTTCTGCCCATTCCCAACGATTCCAGGGGAAACTTTACCTGAGACCTCCCCATCTCCTCCTCACCCTTTTCCTTCCCTTCTTCTTCTTCCTCTTTCTCCTCCTCCTTCTTCCTCCTCCTCCTCTTCCTTCTCTTTTTCTTCCTCCTTTTCCTCCTCCTTCCTCCTCCTCTTCCTCCTTCTTCCTCTTCTTTCTGCTTCTTCTTCCTTCTCTTTCTCCTCCTCCTTTCTCCTTCTCTTCCTTCTCTTTTTCTTCCTCCTCTTCCTCTTTTTCCTCCTCTTCTTCCTCCTCCTTTTCCTCCCTTTCCTCCTCGTCTTCCTCCTTCTTCCTCCTCTTCCTCTTTCTCCTCTTCTTCTAGTTTTTCTTCTTCCTCTTCCTCCTCCCTCCTCCTCCTCCTCCTCCCTGTCCCATTCCCAGGCAGGGTCAGGGCTGGAAGCGCAATCCGAGCCATGCCGTCGATGCCACCTTCGCCCCACCCCCGCCCTTCCCAAATTCCGCCCTCCAATCCTGGTTTGTGCCTCATCCCAGAGTTTGAGCGGAGGCAGGCGAGGCCCCTGGATGCCGCCCTGCACCGGGAGGAGGAGGGCTCGGAGTTCCAGCAGAAGCTGGAGGAGACGCGGCCGCCGCCGCCGCGGATGCGCCCGGTGCCGTCGCTGGTGCCGCGCCCGCCCCAGACCTCGCTGGTCAAGTTCGTGGGGAACATCTACACCCTCAAGTGCAGGTGGGATCCCTCCCCGCTCCGCAGGGAACCGCTTCCCTCTTTTTTGGGGCGCTTTGAGGCTCTGGGTGTCCCTGTCCCCCCCGTATCCCATCCCTAATTCCCGTTATCCCACAGAATGGGTGTCCCTGTCCCTGTGTCCCTAATCCTGTATCCCATCCCTAATTCCCGTTGTCCCACACAGTGGGTGTCCCTGTTCCTGTGTCCCTAATCCTGTATCCCATCCGGAATTCCCATTCTCCCTCAACCTCTGAGGCTCTGGGTGTCCCTGCATCCTTCTGGATCTCCCTAATCCCGTATCCCATCCCTAATTCCCGTTATCCCACACAGTGGGTGTCCCTGTGCCTGTGTCCCTAATCCTGTATCCCATCCCTAATTCCCGTTATCCCACAGTGGGTGTCCCTGTCCCCCTGGGTGTCCCTGTGTCCCTAATCCTGTATCCCATCCCTAATTCCCATTATCCCTCAGCCTCTGAGGCTCTGGGTGTCCCTGCATCCCTCTGGATGTCCCTAATCCCATATCCCATTCCCTGATCCTGATATTCCCTGGCAGCCTCTGAGTCCTGGGTGTCCCTTTGCCCCCTGGATGTCCCATATCCCATTCCCTGATCCCAGTATTCCCTGGCAGCCTCCGAGCCTCTGGGTATCCCATATCCCATTCCCTGATCCCAACATTCCGTGGCAGCCTCCGAGGCTCTGACCGCCCCCGTGTCCCTCTGTGCGTCCCTGTGTTCCTAATCCCGTATCCCATCCCTAATTCTTGTTCTCCCTCATCCTCCCGAGGCTCTGGCTATCCCTGTATCCCAACCCCAATTCCCAATATTCCCCCAGCTGCCTCATCCCCCTTTGTTTTTGGGGGGTTGGGTGGGGTCTCTCTGCCGTGTGACCCCCCAGGCCGACCACGCTGTGCCCGCAGGTTCTGCGAGGTGGAATTCCAGGGCCCGCTGTCGATCCAGGAGGAGTGGGTGCGGCACCTGCAGCGGCACATCCTGGAAATGAATTTCTCCAAAGCGGATCCGTTGCGGAGCGAGGCCCCCGCGCCCCCCGAGCCCCCCGCCCTGGCCGAGGCTCAGTAGCGCCATCCCAGACCCGGCACGGGGAAAAAGCGGCCGCGGGAGCCGCCGGAACATCCTCACACCCCCCCCCTCCCCACTCCCCGCTCCCACCATCCCGTAGTTTTTGGGAAAGGGGGGAAGAGGGGGCGGGCGGGGCCCGGATGGATCGCTGCCTTCGCCCCTCCGGAGCGTTTTCCCCCCTCCTCGTCCCGGGGATGAGCTGGGGGTGGGGCCACAATCCCGGCCACAAGCACTACATGGATCCCGGATCCCGGATCAGACCCTCGGGAATCCCTCGGGACGCGCGCGGCACTCGCCGGATCGGGGCGGGAACCACTCGATGCCGGGACGGGGCGCGGGGGAGGCCGAACCTTCTCCCCCTTCCCCCCACCTTTCCTCGCTTCCCAAAATCCGTGTTTTTTTAACCCAAAGAACAAAACGGTGTCGCCTTTTCCCGGTGGCGATTCGGGCCGGAGCCGGGGCCGGAGGGAATTCCGGGTGCGTTCCCGGAAAACGCTGTGGATTTTGTACATGACCCCTTCGAGAGTTCCTGTATATTCCAGGTTTTTTTTTTTCCATAGGCGCCGGTCGGGTTTAGTGGCGCGTAGATGTCGGAATCCCTTGGGTTCCGGGGTTGCATGTTCCCAAAATCCCCCTTTTCCCGCACCGAAACGCCGCCGCCTCCCTCCCGCCCTTCCCGCCGCGGCCAAACGAAAATCCCACCGGATTCGCCCTCCTCTTCCCGCTGCTGATTCCCGGGAGTTTCTCCGTGGGGGAGCTCACCAGTGGGAGCTGGGAAATCCCTGGGGAATTCCGGCGTTCCCACCCGGAAGCGGCCGCAGCGGCGCCGGGAGGATTTGGCTCAGTTTCCCCTTTTCCCAAATTTTTTTTCCCGGTTCCACCGTTGCTTTGTTGTTTTTTTTTTTCCCAGTTTTTTTTTTTTTTTTTCCTCGTCCCAGCTCCATAGACCCGACTTTTTTAAACTCTAGACTCGTGTAGAAATAAGGAATATTCATTTTTATTTGGGAATCCCGAAACTTCCGAATTTCGGAAGGAATTTTAACGGATAAATATTTTTTCCTTTTTTTTTTCTTTTTTTTTTTTTTTTTTTTTTATTTCCACTTTTTCGGGACGTTTCTGGTGATTCCTGTACCCGGGAGTGTGGGACGATGGATTAAATTGTTCTGGAAATGAAGCCCGGGGGGAGAGCGGAGTCTCTGGATACCCGGAATGTCGGGATGGGGGGTGGGGATCGGGGTTTGGGGCTGGGATAACGGGGACGTGGATTGGGATGAGGACACAGCTCGTGGGTGTTGGGACCTGGACGTGGTTGTGCCGTGGGATACTGGGAATGCTGGGATCAGGATGCAGCTTTGACCCCAGGCAACGGGACAGTGGGATCGGGACGTGGCCTTGTGACCTGGATTGAGGGGACATGGATTGGGATGAGGCCAATTGGAACCTGGACGTGGCATCGTGACCTGGGATGTGGGAACATGGAATGGGATGGGATGGGATGGGATGAGATGGGATGGGATGGGATGGGATGGGATGGGATGGGATGGGATGGGATGGGATGGGATGGGATGGGATGGAGCCACGTCTCGTGGACACTGGGAGCTGGATTGGCCTCGTGTCCCGGGATCTTGGGACACTGGGCTCAGGATGTGGGACATGGAGCGGGACCAGGCCACGTTTTGAGGGCGTTGGAAGCTGGGAGTGGCTGTGTCCCGGGATGTGGGGACATGGATTGGGATGAGGCCACGTTTTGAGGGTGTTGGAAGCTGGGAGTGGCTGTGTCCTGGGCTGTGTCCCAGGATGTGGGGACATGGATCGGGATGAAGCCGTTTCTCATGGACATCGGGACCCGGATGTGGCCTTGTCCTGGGATTCTGGGACACTGGGGCAGGGATGTGGCCTCGTGACCTGGCCCATGAGGACAGCGGGGTCAGGATGGGGTCGTGTCCCCAGGGAACTGGAGACAGGAGGGTGTGACACGTCCATGTCCCCTGGGAATGGTGACACTGCGGGGGTCGGGATCTGTCGGTCATGAGGACCTGGGGGTGGGGCGGGGCCACTCCCAGGCCCCTCCCACCCCTATGGCCACACCCACAGGTGACACTGGGAGGGGGGAACCCTCGGGTGTCCCCACAAACTCTGGGTGTGTCCCCTTGCGCCACATGTGATGCCACTGACAAGCACAGGCGACACAGTTGACACACACGTGACAAACACGTGATACAGGTGACACATACCTGGCAAACACATGACACACACGTGATACACCTGACAAGCACAGGTGACACAATTGACACACACACGTGACAAACACGTGGCACAGGTGACATGTGACACACCTGATGAACACGTGACACTGGTGACACGCACGTGACAGGTGACACACGTGACACACATGTGACACACACATGACACAGGTGACGTGACACACCTGATGAACACGTGACACAGGTGACACGCACGTGACAGGTGACACACGTGACAGACACGTGACACCGGTGGGTGACCCCGCCCTTCGCCGGGCCCCCACGTGGGGCCGCCCCACACTCTCCGCCCACGGGGCGTGGCTTAGGCGTATCCAGCCAATGGGAGCTGTCTCACGGCCGGGAGGGGCGTGGCCGTCAGCGCCGGGCGCGCCTGCCACGCTATTGGCGTTCAGCCGGCTCAGCCCGCCCCCGCCTCAACCAATCGCAGAGCGGAGTTGGAGCGGTCACGCCCCCTTCTTCAGCTGACACCTCTACCAACCAATCGCCGCGCGGGGGGTGCGGTGAGCGACAGCCAACACCCGCCAATGGGAGGCGCGATCCGCACGGCGCGGGCAGCGGGCCAATGAGCGCGGGGGAGGCGAGGAGGCGCGGCCAATGGGAGCGAGGGGGCGGGGCCCGCGCGCCGCCGTTACCGCCCGGGAAGGAGGAGGCGGCGCCGCCATCATGAGCTACGGTGAGGCGGGGGGGCACCGGGGGGGCCGTGAGGGAGCGGAGGGGCACCGGGACATGGCGGGGGCTCTGAGGGAACAGGGGTCAGGGCTGACTGCGGCACGGCGGGGCACGGGGCGGCGGCGGCCCCGGCGGTGTCCGTGAGGCGGCGGGGGAGGAGCAGGACCCGGCGGGCCGTGAGGGGACGGGGGGACAGCGGGGCTGTGGAGGGCACCGAGGGCGCCCTGAGGGGCCGGGACCCCGCGGGGGGGGATGGAGCGGGGCTGCTGCGGCCCCGGGAGGGTCTCAGAGGGGCCGAGGGGGGGTCGGGACCTGGCGGGGACCGTGAGGGGCTGGGGGGGACACGGAGCGGAGCCCGCGGGAGCCGCCCCCGCCCAGACCCGGCCCGGGAGGAGACTCCGAGCACCGGCCGGGCCCTCCCGGTTCTGACCGGGACCGGGACAGACCCAGTTCCTGATGGGAACGGGACAGGGATAGATCCAATTCCTGATGGGAATGGGACCTGGACAGACCCAATTCCTGATGGGAACGGGACAGACATAGACCCAATTCCTGATGGAACCGGGACAGACCCAATTCCTGATGGGAACGGGACGGGGATAGATCCAATTCCTGATGGGAACAGGACAGACCCAGTTCCTGATGGGAACAGGACAGGGATAGATCCAATTCCTGATGGGAACGGGACAGGGATAGATCCAATTCCTGATGGGAACGGGACAGGGATAGACCCAATTCCTGATGGGAACGGGACAGACATAGACCCAATTCCTGATGGAACCGGGACAGACCCAATTCCTGATGGGAACGGGACGGGGATAGATCCAATTCCTGATGGAACAGGGATAGGGACAGACCCAATTCCTGATGGGAACGGGACAGGGACAGACCCAATTCCTGATGGAACAGGGACAGGGACAGACCCAATTCCTGATGGGAACGGGACAGGAATAGACCCAATTCCTGATGGGAACAGGACAGACCCAGTTCCTGATGGGAACAGGACAGGGATAGATCCAATTCCTGATGGGAACGGGACCTGGACAGACCCAATTCCTGATGGGAACGGGACAGGAACAGACCCAGTTCCTGATGGGAACGGGACAGGGACAGACCCAGTTCCTGATGGGAACGGGACCTGGACAGACCCAATTCCTGATGGGAACGGGACAGGAACAGACCCAATTCCTGATGGGAACGGGACAGGAACAGACCCAATTCCTGATGGGAACGGGACAGGGACAGACCCAGTTCCTGATGGGAACGGGACAGGAATAGACCCAATTCCTGATGGGAACAGGACAGGGATAGACCCAGTTCCTGATGGGAACGGGACAGGGATAGATCCAATTCCTGATGGGAACGGGACAGGGATAGATCCAATTCCTGAGGATAGCTGGGACAGGGACAAGCCCAATTTCTGCCAGAAAGTGGATTTATTTCCCAATCCAGCTCCACTCAGCCCCCCAAAACCCCCAAACCCCCACCCGTCCCGTCCCTCCCCTCTGTGCCCATTTAGTGTCATTTTACCTTTTTTCCCTTTATTTGGCCATTTTAATTCCTTTTCTGGCCCCTGGGGCAGGGATTCACCTCTGTATTCCATGGGAATGTTTGACTGAGGCTGGAGTGGTGGCACACTGGGAAAAAGAGAGGGAAAATTAATTAATTAGCTCATTTTTTGTGATGAGGAGTCACTAATGAAGGACAAAATCCCACCAGGAATCTCCAGGTGACATCAGGTGACAGGACAAGGAAAACCAGGGCAGAGCACTGGAATGTCAGTCCTGGGATGGCAGGAATGGGACAAAACCTCCCCAAAGTGTCCCAATTCCCCCATTTCAGGCAGGAAATTGGACTTTCCCTGTCATTTCCCTTCCACTCCCAAAATTCTCAGCCCTGGGAACCCTTCCCAAAAACTCAGCTTTGAATTCGAACTTAGGGTTTGTTTTTTTGCCCAAAAGGTGCTTTTTTGGGGCCACTGGGGCGACACCAGAGGGCCGATTCCTGCTGGATTTGGTGGAAAACTGGGGGATTTGGGGCTCTGGGACTGTCCCTAATTGCTTTGTGCTCTTTTCTAGGTTATGGGGACTGGAATTCGGGCACGAGCAGAGGCAAGTGCAGGATGTTCCTCCCTCCTCCCCCTCTGGAGCCTTTCCCGGAGCTCCCGGGATGCTCCTGCTCGGTGACGTGGCCCTGACCCCACAGGGCATCTCCCTGTGACCTTTCCCCCCTTTTATCTCCCAAATTCCCCCTGGAGCCAACAGGAAAAGGTGTCACTGGAACAGGAAAACTGTTCTGGGCGAAATATTTGGGGTTTTGGGGGTGGTTTTCCCTCAAAATAAACATTGGAGAGGCAGCAGATCCCAAACTCCCTCTTGGCACTGAGTGAAAGGCCTGAGGGGAGAAAAACCCCAAATTTGAAGATGTTTAAACTGAAAAAAAAAAGCTGGAAATGGGTCTTGGATGTTTTGAGTTGTGGTTATTCCCATCTGGATGGTTATTCCCGTGGGGTTATTCCCATGGGGTTATTCCCAATGGGGTTATTCCCATGGAGTTATTTCCAATGGGGTTATTCCCATGGAGTTATTCCCGTGGGGTTATTCCCAATGGGCTTATTCCCATGGAGTTATTCCCAATGGGGTTATTCCTATGGAGTTATTCCCATGGGGTTATTCCCAATGGGGTTATTCCCATGGGGTTATTCCCATGGGGTTATTCCCATGGGGTTATTCCCAATGGGGTTATTCCCATGGAGTTATTCCCAATGGAGTTATTCCCAATGGGGTTATTCCCAGTGGGGTTATTCCCAATGGGGTTATTCCCATCTGGATGGTTATTCCCATGGGGTTATTCCCATCTGGATGGTTATTCCCATGGGGTTATTCCCAATGGGGTTATTCCCATGGAGTTATTCCCATGGGGTTATTCCCAATGGGGTTATTCCCATCTGGATGGTTATTCCCATGGGGTTATTCCCAATGGGGTTATTCCTATGGGGTTATTCCCACCCAGAGCAGTTGGATGGAGGCTGTACCAGGGGTGTTTTTTTTGGGGGTGATTTATACGAAGAAATCATTCCCTAAAACCTCTCTGAGCTCAAAGGGTTCAAAATTCTGGGTGAATTAAACAGAAAATTGGTGGTTTTTTTTTTTAAAAATGACTTTGGCTTTGCTGGGGGCGTCCAACGGAACCCCTGGGAAGAATCCTGAATCCCGGGTTTTCCCTCCAGGTTACGAGGGCTACAACTACGGCTACGGCTACGGGCAGGACAGCTCGGGAGCAGGGTATGGATACGGAGTGGCCGCCGGCAATTCCTGGGAAATGGGCAGCTCGGACGCCGAGCCGGCCCCCGAGGGCGGCGACGGGCCCGGCAAGATGGGCCACCAGCGGCTGGACGGGGGATCCCACCCCGAGCCCGAGGGCGCACCGGGCGGGCGCTTCGGAGCCGCGGGGGACAGGTGAGTGCAGATCCCCCTTCCCGCCCGCCAGCCCAAACCATTCCATGATCCCGTGGAGTCTCGCCTGGGGACAGGTCTCAGGGGTGACCACAGTGGTTGGGTGGGTGGTTGGACTGGATGATCTAGGAGGTCCCTCCAACCCAAACCATTCCATGATCCTGTAGAGTCTCACCTGGGGACAGCTCTCAGGGGTGACCACAGTGGTGGCTGGGTGGTTGGACTGGATGATCTTGGAGGTCCCTCCAACCCAAACCATTCCATGATCCCGTGGAGTCTCACCTGGGGACAGCTCTCAGAGGTGACCACGGTGGTGGCTGGGTGGTTGGATTGGGTGGTCTTGGAGGTCCCTCCAACCCAAGCCTTTCCATGATCCCGTGGAATCTCACCTCGGGACAGCTCTCAGAGGTGACCACGGTGGTGGCTGGGTGGTTGGATTGGGTGGTCTTGGAGGTCCCTCCAACCTGAACCATTCCATGATCCCATGGAGTCTCACCTGGGGACAGCTCTCAGGGGTGGCAGTGGCAGTGGTGGGTGGGTGGTTGGACTGGGTGAGGTGATCTTGGAGGTCCCTCCAGCCCGACCCATTCCATGATCCCATGGAATCTCACCTGGGGACAGCTCTCAGTGGTGGGTGGGTGATTGGACTGGATGATCTTGGAGGTCCCTCCAACCCGACCCATTCCATGTTCCTGTGGAGTCTCACCTGGGGACGGCTCTCAGGGGTGAGTGGGTGGTTGGATCGTGTGAGTTGATCTTGGAGGTCCCTCCAGCCCGACCCACTCAGTGATCCTGAGGAGTCTCACCTGGGGACAGCTCTCAGGGGTGACCATGGCAGTGGTGGGTGGGTGGTTGGACGGGATGATCTTGGAGGTCCCTCCAACCCAAACCATTCCATGATCCTGTGGAGTCTCACCTGGGGACAGCTCTCAGAGGTGACCACAGTGGTGGGTGGGTGGTTGGACTGGGGTGAGTGATCTTGGAGGTCCCTCCAGCCCAAACCATTCCATGATCCCGTGGAGTGTCACCTGGGGACAGCTTTCAGGGGTGGCAGTGGCAGTGGTGGCTGGGTGGTTGGACGGGTGAGGTGATCTTGGAGGTCCCTCCAACCTGAGCCATTCCATGATCCCATGGAGTCTCACCTGGGGACAGCTCTCAGGGGTGACAGTGGCAGCAGTGAGTGGGTGGTTGGACCGTGTGAGGTGATCTTGGAGGTCCCTCCAACCTGAGCCATTCCATGATCCCGTGGAGTCTCACCTGGGGACAGCTCTCAGGGGTGGGTGGGTGATTGGACTGGATGATCTTGGAGATCTCTCCAACCTGAACCATTCCATGTTCCTGTGGAGTCTCACCTGGGGACAGCTCTCAGGGGTGACCACGGTGGTGGGTGGGTGGTTGGACCGGGTGAGGTGATCTTGGAGGTCCCTCCCGCCCAAACCATTCCATGATCCCATGGAATCTCACCTGGGGACAGCTCTCAGGGGTGACCACAGTGGTGTGTGCTGACCGGGTGTGAGTGGAGTGGTTGGACTGTGTGAGTTGATCTTGGAGGTCCCTCCAGCCCGACCCACTCAGTGATCCTGAGGAGTCTCACCTGGGGACAGCTCTCAGGGGTGGCAGTGGCAGTGGTGGGTGGGTGGTTGGACTGGATGATCTTGGAGGTCCCTCCAACCTGAGCCATTCCATGATCCCGTGGAGTCTCACCTGGGGACAGCTCTCAGGGTGACCACAGTGGTGGGTGGGTGGTTGGATGGGGTGAGGTGACCTTGGAGGTCCCTCCAGCCCAAAACATTCCATGATCCCGTGGAGTGTCACCTGGGGACAGCTTTCAGGAGTGGCAGTGGCAGTGGTGGGTGGGTGGTTGGACGGGGTGAGGTGACCTTGGAGGTCCCTCCAACCTGAACCATTCCATGATCCCATGGAGTCTCACCTGGGGACAGCTCTCAGGGGTGGGTGGGTGGTTGGACTGGGTGATCTTGGAGGTCCCTCCAACCTGAGCCATTCCATGATCCCGTGGAGTCTCACCTGGGGACAGCTCTCAGGGGTGGCTGGGTGATTGGACTGGATGATCTTGGAGATCTCTCCAACCTGAACCATTCCATGATCCTGTGGAGTCTCACCTGGGGACAGGTCTCAGGGGTGACCATGCTGGTGGGTGGGTGGTTGGACCGGGTGAGGTGATCTTGGAGGTCCCTCCAACCCAAACCATTCCATGATCCCATGGAATCTCACCTGGGGACAGCTCTCAGGGTGACCACAGTGGTGGGTGGGTGGTTGGACCGGGTGGGGTGACCTTGGAGGTCCCTCCAGCCTGACCTGCTCAGTGATCCTGTGGAGTCTCACCTGGGGACAGCTCTCAGGGGTGGCAGTGGCAGTGGTGAGTGGGTGGTTGGACCGTGTGAGGTGATCTTGGAGGTCCCTCCAGCCCGACCCCCTGGGTGACCCTGCAGAACCTCAGGGCCGTTTCTGCTGCAGGTACGACCCGTACGAGTCGTACGACTCGAGGTCCTCGGTGAACGACCGCGACTTGTACCGGCCTGGCTACGACTACAACGACTACAACGACTACAATGATTACAACGATTACAATGATTATAATGATTATAACGATTACAATGATTATAACGATTACAACGATTACAATGACTACAACGATTACAACGACTACAACGACTACCCCGACTACCCCGAGTCAGAGCAGGACAACGACGCGTCCTACGAGGGTCCCTACGACGCCTTCTACGGCCCCCGGCGGGAGCAGTTCCAGGGCCGGGCCCGGGACGGCTTCGGGCAGCGGGGCCAGGGCTGGGGCCGGGACGGGCGGCCCCCCAGACCCTCGGGAGCCTCCCCCTACCCCGGGAGGGGCTCCTGGCCCGAGCCCCGCGGGCCCCCCGGCTCCAAACGCCTCCCGTCCCTCTTCTCCCACAACATCCTGCCCGAGCCCGGCGGCTTCCCCGGCCACAGGGGCTTCCCCGGAGGGCGCTGCCCGGGAGGGATGGCCCGGCAGAGGGTCCGGAGGAACTGGAAGATGTGGGACTGGGATTTCAAGGTGAGCAGCAGGGGGGGTTTGGTGGGATTGGCCCCCACAGAGGGTCAGGAGGAACTGGAAGATGTGGGACTGGGATTTCAAGGTGAGCAGCAGGGGGGGTTTGGATTGGAGGGATGGCCCGGCAGAGGGTCCAGAGGAACTGGAAAATGTGGGACTGGGATTTCAAGGTGAGCAGCAGGGGGGGTTTGGTGGGATTGGTCCCCACAGAGGGTCAGGAGGAACTGGAAGATGTGGGACTGGGATTTCAAGGTGAGCAGCAGGGGGGTTTGGATTGGAGGGGGTTGGTGGGATTGGCCCCCCCAGAGGGTCAGGAGGAACTGGAAGATGTGGGACTGGGATTTCAAGGTGAGCAGCAGGGGGGGTTTGGATTGGAGGGGGGTGTGATGGGATGACCCCCCAGAGGGTCAGGAGGAACTGGAAAATGTGGGACTGGGATTTCAAGGTGAGCAGCAGGGGGGTTTTGGAGGGGGATTTGGGCCCCGCTCACCTCGTCCCCAGCACACCCCGAGTGGGGAAGGGCTTGAGAATTCCCTACGAATCCGGAATTCCAGGAGGGCTTGGCTTTGTATCCTGGTGGGGTTTTCCTGGGATGTTTGGAGCTTAAAAAGTGTTGGGTTTGGAGTGTGGGGGGAAGGTTCCTGCAGGGCTTTAGGCCCCAAATTAGGGGATGGAGGGATGAAGGGATGGAGGGATGAAGGGATGAAGGGATGGAGGGATGAAGGGATGAAGGGATGGAGGAATGGGTGCCCTTCCCAGTCAGCCCTGCCCCTCAAGGCCTTGAGGCAGGGAGTTTAAATGAGGAAAATGAAAGTGTTGGCACATTAAAAAGGGAGGAAAATAAGGTGTTGAGGCATTAAAAAGTGAGGAAAATAAGGTGTTGGCACATTAAAGAAAGGAGAACAAGGGATGAACACGTTAAAAAATGAGAATGAGGTATAGACACAGTAAAAAGGAGGAAAATAAGGTGTTAACACATAAGAAAAAAGGAAAATAAGGTATAAACACATTAAAAAATGAGAAGAATAAGGTGTAGACACACTAAAAAAGGAGAAAAGTAAGGTATGAACACGCTGAAAATGAGGAAAAGAAGATATTTCGGGTTGTGGAGGCAGCAGCTCCTCTCACAGGGAATAACCTTGGAGTGTCCTGTGTGGGGATTGGACTGGTTGATCCTCATGGGTTTCCTCCAGCCTGGGATATTCCATGATTTTAGAACTCAGGGAGTGTTTGGATGAGGCTCTCAGGCACAGGGTGGGATTTTGGGGTGCCCTGAGCAGGGGATTGTCCTGACTGACACTCATGGGTTCCCCTCCAGCTGGGGATATGCCCGGATTCCATGATTTTAGAGCTCAGGGAGGGTTTGGACAAGGTTTTCAAGCACAGGGTGGGATTTTGGGGTGCCCTGGGCAGGGATTGGACTGGATGACCCTCGTGGGTTCCCCTCCAGCTCAGGGTGGGATTTTGGAGGATCCTGAGCAGGGATTGGACTGGATGACCCTCGTGGGTTCTCCTCCAGCTCAGGGTGGGATTTTGGGGTGCCCTGAGCAGGGATTGTCCCAACTGACCCTCATGGGTTCCCCTGCAGCTCAGGGTGGGATTTTGGGGTGCCCTGAGCAGGGATTGTCCCGGCTGACCCCTGTAGGTCCCTACAACTCGGGGTGGGATTTTGGGATGCCCTGAGCAGGGGATTGTCCCGGCTGACCCCTGTAGCTCCCTCCAGCTCAGGGTGGGATTCTGGGGTGCCCTGGGCAGGGGATTGTCCCAGCTGACCCCTGTAGCTCCCTCCAGCTCAGGGTGGGATTTTGGGGTGCCCTGGGCAGGGGTTGGACTGGATGACCCTCCTGAGTTCCCCTCCAGCTCAGGGTGGGATTTTGGGGTGCCCTGGGCAGGGGATTGTCCCGGCTGACCCCTGTAGGTCCCTGCAGCTCAGGGTGGGATTTTGGGGTGCCCTGAGCAGGGGATTGTCCCAGCTGACCCCTGTAGGTCCCTGCAGCCGGGTCCAAGCCCCCATCCCAGGATCCCTGACCCCTGTGCCCTGTCCCAGCTGCAGAGGAGGAGGCTGCGCCGGGAGGCTCCGGGCAGGAAGCGGAAGCAGCCGAGCGGTTCGGACGAGCCCGACAGCAAAGCGGCCAAGACGGACGGGTCCGACAACTCCGACTCGGACAACGGTGAGGGGGTGAGGGCACGGCGGCCTCGTGGCCTCCCCAGCCCTGGGGGGGACGATCCCGGCTCCCACTGCCCCGGGGGACGCTCCTGGTGCCGGGGGGGGGACACGAGGTGGGGTCCGAAGGGGCCTCGTGGCGCTCAGGGTGTTGTTCCTTCCAGAGGAGGGGACGGAAGGAGAGTCGGGGGACAAGGAGGAGAAGGAGGGATCCAGAGGGGTAAGGAAAGCTTGGAAACGACTTCAAAAGTGACTTTAAAAATGGCTTTACTGCGGGTCAAAGCTCTGCTTGGAGGTGGTGAGGGCAGATCCCCCCCCCGGGTTGTTCCCAAAGGGAGTTGGGGGGGTGGAGGCTGGAGGAGCTGGGAGGAGTGGATGGAGGTGAAATGCTCCATGGAGGGAAATGTGGGAATTCCAGGGGATTCCCAACCTCCCCCACCATCCACGGCCTCAAAACGCGGTCAAATTCCCATCCCTGAGCGCCTTAATTATGGAAAATCCCCAAAAATCAGTTCCCTGCACCGGATATCCCTGCACTCAGGGATTGGGAGAGGCCAAATCCAAGGGAAGTGGCGCCCTGGGGGGGCAGCAGGGAAAGGTCTGGAGCAGCTCCCAGACCTTCCAGGTGAGTTTAACTTCCCCACCTTTTGTTTTCAGGAAGGGGAAGATGAAGAAGGAAGAGACTCAGAGAAAGGTGAGTTGAGTTCAGCTCCAAAGCTCTTCCTGCAGCGTCACCCCCTCAGTCCGGGGCTCCCACGTTCCAGAGGGGATATCCCAGTAAATCCAAGTGAATCCCATCCTCTGGGAGCAGGGAATGCTGGAAATCCCTGCTAGGGAAGAGCAGGATCCCCAGGCCAGGCCAGGGTGGTGGAGCTGCTGGGAATCAGCTGGGCCCGAGGTTTGACATTGGGGGAGGTTTTTTTTTGGGAGGGGAGCTGGAAAAGATGGAATTTCCCATCTTGGAGAGGTGGGACCGGTGGGAGAAACGCCACAATTCCCAAGAAAAAAAGGAGGAAGGCAGGGAGGAAACCTCCTGGTGGGATCCTCGGTGCATAAACCTGATCCTGGGATGCTCCAGCAGCTCCTCCATCCCAAAAATCCACACCGTAAAGGGGTTTTTCCCAGATCCCAAGTTTATCCTCTTGTCCGTGTTCGCTTCGGGGCTGAAAAGTCCAAGCTTGTGGTGCTTAAAACCAGCAAATCTGTCACTTAATTAGTCCTTAAAACCAGCAAATCCGTCACTAATTAATCCTTAAAACCTCCTTAAAGCGCTCGTTGGGAGCGAGGAAGGGCCGGGAAACCACGCTGGGATTTTCCTGCCTCTCCCACCCACCAACCTCGACCCGGGGCTGCTTTTTTTCGGGAAAAGCCAGTTGGGCTGGAACAAAATTCCTTTGAAATCCCCCTTTTTCCCCCTCCCCTTCCCCCAGGAGGTCTGAGCATCCAGGAGGAAATCAGCCAGATCAAACAGAAACTCCAGGCGGGGAAAAAAACCCAGGACCGGCAAAAGAAGCGGCACCGGGATCGGATGGTGGAGAGGTAACGGCTCCCAGCCCCTTTTTTGGGGAGTATTTCCTTTCTCAGGGATTGTTTCCTCTCTTTAGGGATTGTTTTCCATGTTGGGGTTGGTTTTCTCCTCAAGGATTGGGGGCTGGGTCCGTCCTGTCGTTCCCGGTTGTCCCAGTCTTTGTGTGTCCCTCCTGGAAGCCCCTGGGCTCTTGGAAGATAAAAAACTGGGAAGACCTCTGGGAAACATCCTATAAATTCCTGGAGACCCTGGGCTCTCCTGCCATCCTTCCTTGGAAGATAAAAAACTGGGAAAACCTCTGGGAAACATCCTATAAATTCCTGGAGACCCTGGGCTCTGTCTTCCTTGGAAGATTAAAAAAACCTGGGAAAAGCCCTTGGAAACATCCCATAAAGGCTTGGAGACCCTGGTCTCTCCTGCCACCCTTCCTTGGAAGATAAAAAAACTGGGAAAACCCTTTGGAAACATCCCCTAAAGGCTTGGGAGCTCCCCAGAGTTTCACCTGCTGCCTGTTCAGGGGGATCCAGTGGGAGGGGAGGAGGCAGGACGGGATATTTTGGCTGGAATTTCCCCTCCCTTCCCTCCCCTTCCCGGCAGGATCCAGTTCGTGTGCTCCCTGTGCAAGTACCGGACGTTCTACGATGATGAGATGTCCTCCCACCTGGAGAGCAGATTCCACAGGGAGCACTTCAAGTTCGTGGGAACCAAACTGCCCCAGCAGACGGCGGAGTTCCTGCAGGCCAGTCTGCCTGGGGGGCAGCCCTGGCCTGGCCAAGCTCCTTCCCTTCTGTCCTTCCCTTTCCCTTCTTTTCTTTCCATTCCCTTCTTTTATTTCCATTCCCTTCTTTCCTTCTCTTTCCCTTCTTTTCTTTCCATTCCCTTCTTTTGTTTCCCTTCCCTTCTTTTCTTCCCTTTCCCTTCTTTCCTTCTCTTTCCCTTCTGTCCTTCCCATTCCCTTCTGTCCTTCCCTTTCCCTTCTTTTATTTCCATTCCTTTCTTTCCTTCCCTTCCCTTTCCCTTCTTTCCTTCCCTTTCCCTTTTTTCCTTCCCTTTCCCTTCTTTCCTTCCCTTTCCCTCCTTCCCTTCCCTTTCCTTTCTTCCCTTCCCTTTCCCTTCTGTCCTTCCCTTTCCCTCCTTCCCTTCCCTTCCCATCTTCCCTTTCCCCCTTTCCCTTTCCCTTTCCCTTTCCCTTCTTTCTTCTCCTTCCCTTCTTTCTTCCTTCCCCTTCCCTTCTCCTTTTCCCTTCCCATTCTTCATTTCCCCACAACGTTTATCGTTCCTCATTACTAATTCTTCTGGAGACTCCGTGAATCTCCTGCCCTGGGTGGGCTCCTGGTGGGATCTCTGGGACTTTTGGGATGAGGGCACACCTGGAAGCGTGGGGGGACACCCCCATGAATCAGGAAAACCGTTCCCTGCAGGAATACGTGGCCAACAAAACCAGGAAAACGGAGGAGCGTCGGAAGGGGATCAAGGACATCAACGCGGTGATCCAGCAGATCTACAGGGACCAGGATCTCACCCAGGGTGGGCAGGGGGGCTGCAGAGAGCCCAATATCCCTGGGATATTCCCTGACCCATTCCCAGGCCCATTCCCTGCCCCATTCCCTGACCCATTCCCTGCCCCATTCCCATTCCGCACCCATTCCCTGCCCCATTCCCTGCCCCATTCCCTGCCCCATTCCCTGCCCCATTCCCATTCCCTGCCCCATTCCCTGCCCCATTCCCTGCCCCATTCCCATTCCCTGCCCCATTCCCTGCCCCATTCCCATTCCCTGCCCCATTCCCTTCCCCATTCCCGGGCCCATTCCCATTCCCTGCCCCATTCCCTGCCCCATTCCCTACCCCATTCCCTACCCCATTCCCAGGTCCATTCCCAGGTCCATTCCCAGGTCCATTCCCAGGCCCATTCCCAGGCCCATTCCCTGCCCCATTCCCTGCTCCATTCCTTGCCCCATTCCCATGCCCATTCCCTGCCCCATTCCCTGCCCCATTCCCATTCCCATTCCCAGGCCCATTCCCTGCCCCATTCCCTACCCCATTCCCTGTCCCATTCCCATTCCCTGCCCCATTCCCATTCCCATTCCCTGCCCCATTCCCATTCCCTGCCCCATTCCCAAGCCCATTCCCATTCCCATTCCCTACCCCATTCCCATTCCCTGCCCCATTCCCAAGCCCATTCCCATTCCCTGCCCCATTCCCATTCCCTGCCCCATTTCCATTCCCTGCCCCATTTCCATTCCCTGCCCCATTCCCATTCCCTACCCCATTCCCTGCCCCATTCCCGGTTAATCCGGCTGCCCTGGCATTCCAGAGGTGGGCATGGAGCACTTCCTGAAGAAGGTGGAGGCCGCTCACTGCGCCGCCTGTGACCTGTTCATCCCCATGCAGTTTGGGAGCATCCAGAAGCACCTCAAATCCCTGGATCACAACCACAACCGCAGGGTGAGCGGGAGCAGGGCCTGGGGGGGCCATCCTGGATCCTGGAGGGAGGGCCCTGAATCCCGGGAGAGCTTCTCCTGGATGGTCCCGGGGCTCCAGGGGCTTCATCCGGGGAATCTCTGGGGAATTCTGGGGAATTTGTGTCCCCAGAACCTTTTTCCTGCAGAATCTTCGCTTAATTGTCATGGATTTGTGTCCCCAGAACCTTCTTCCCACATAATCTTTGCCTAGTTTTCATGGATTTGTGTCCCCAGAACCTTTTTCTTGCAGAATCTTTGCCTAGTTTTCATGGATTTGTGTCCCCAGAACCTTTTTTCCCCAGGTTTTTTGCTTAATTTTGATGGATTTGTGTCCCTAGAACCTTTTTCCCACAGAACCTTTGCTTAATTTTGATGGATTTGTGTCCCCAGAACCTTTTTCCCACAGAACCTTTGCTTAATTTTGATGGATTTGTGTCCCCAGAACCTTTTTCCCCCAAAATCTTCGCTTAATTTTCATGGAGTTGTGTCCTCAGAACGTTTTTCCCACAGAATCTTTGATTAATTTTCATGGATTTGTGTCCCCAGAACCTTTTTCCTGCAGAACCTCCAGTGAACTCCGTGTCTTTCCCCCCCATTTCTTGCCAACCAAGCCACCTTTGATCCTTCCCAGCTCCCACACGGGCTGTTATTCCAGCCTTTCCTTGGGAGGGCTGATCCCAGGCGGCTCTTCCCGGTGTAAAACCCCCTCATCCGTCACATTTGGTCCTGGATCCGCTTCCCTGAGGGCATTTTGGTGTCATCTCTCCCAGGCCATGATGGAGCAATCCAAGAAATCCTCTCTGGTGGTGGCCCGGAGCATCCTCAACAACAAACTCATCAGCAAGAAGCTGGAGCGGTACCTGAAGGTGGGAATTGCTGCTGGAATTGTCTTGGAGCTGATCCCTGTGAGGGGGTTTTTGGGGGCTTTTCTGGGAATTGTGGTGGATTCCTGGATGATGCTCGTGGAGTTTCCTGCCCCCTCCTGGAACCTGAGCCCTGCTGATGGGGGGAGTCATGGGATGGGTTGGGTGGGAAGGGACCTTCGGGATCATCCCATTCCCACCCCATTCCAAGGGCAGGGACGCCTTCCACGGCCCAGGTGGCTCCAACCTGGCCTTGGACATTTCCAGGGATGTGCCATCCACAGCTTGTCTGGGAATTCCAGCCCAGGCTCTCACCAGCCAAGGATTCCTCCCCAAAATCCACCTCAATCCCCTCTTTTCCAGGGGGAGGCCATTCCCTGTGTCCTGTCCCTCCATCCCTTGTCCAAACTCTGCTGGAGCCCCTGGAATGTGCTGGAAGGTCTCCCTTGGGATCCCTCCCTGCTCCAGGGGAACATTCCCAGCCCTCCCACCCCATCCCCAGAGCAGAATCCTGGAATCCTGGAATGCTTTGGGTGGGAAAGGACCTGAAAGCTCCTCCCATTCCCATTTAATTCCAAGGGCAGGGACACCTTCCATGGCTCCAACCCGGCCTTGGGTACTCCCAGGGACGGGAGCAGCCACAACTTCTCTGGGAATTCCATCCCATCCCCTCCCAGGGAGGAATTCCCTCCCGGTATCCCCCGCTCAGCTTGGGTTTGTGTTCTGGAGGCAGCAGCTGCTCCGGGAGCTGCTCATTTCCCGCTGGGAGGCTCCGCAGGGTCTGTGCCGTGGGAGGTGTGAATTCCTGCAGCTCATCCGCTCCGGCAGACGGCTGTTTCTGTCTCCTTCCCTCGCCAGGGTGAGAATCCCTTCACGGATGATCCGGAGGAAAAGGAGGAGCACGAGGAAGGGGAAGGGGGAGCCGGCGGGAACGCGGAGGAGGGAGCGGCGGAAGGAGCGGAGGAGAACAAGGACGAGGAGGGAAACCCCGAGGAGGAGGAGGAGGAGGAGAACCCGGAGGGGGAAAACCCCGAGGAGGAGAACAAGGATCCCGAGGAGAATCCCAAAAAAGAAGGGGAGGGAGAGGAAACGGGGCCAGAGACAGAGCGGGAGCCCCGGGCACAGACAGAGCCGGACAACGTGGAGCTGAACTCCCCGGATCCGGAGGAGCCCATCCCTGGGGAAGAGCAGCAGGAGCAGGAGGAGGAGCAGGAGGAGCAGGAGGAGGGAATCCAGGAAGCCCCTGCGGCCCCAGAGGACGAGGCCGTGGAATGACCCCGCGGGGGAAGGACCCGACGTGCGTGTTGGATGCTCCGGAACCCGCCGTGTCCGTGGATGTTTCCCCTTCTCGTCCCGCCCGACCCGCGGGGCCGGGGGAGCCTTTTTTCCCTGGAAAGTGATATTAATTATTATTATTAATTATTATTTTGGGGGTTTTTTTTGGGGGGGAACTAGAGGATTTTTTTGTACCGAATCTCCACGTTTAGTCGCTAGTTTCGTGCGGTCTCTGTTCGTAGGTGGCTTTGTAGGAGATTTTTCCTTTGGAGCATGTGTGGAAGCCGGAGCCGCTCCGGAGCCTCCTCCCCTGGTGATGGCTTCGTGTCCGTGTCCAGCAGAGCTGTCCCCTCGGCCTGGCCGGCTGGGAACATCCACGTTTCCCTTCCAGGGGGGTTTTCCGTGGCTTCCTGTGCCTGTGGACGGCCCCGTTCCCGATGTTTTCCCGGCCCTCCTCCCGCGGAGCGAAGCGTTCGGTGGTTGTTGACGTCGTGTTGTTTGTAAAACGGTTCCGTTTCCCCAGGTCGATGTGTCGGTGGGTGGAGATAAAAAAAGGACTTATCCCGAGTTTACCCACGGCTCTGCCTGAGTTCCTGGTGCTCCAGGAAAAGCCTGGGAGAGGCTGGAGCCGCTCCACGATCCCGTGTTTCCTGGGTCGTTTGGCTTCCTGGAGTTGTGGATCCTCCTCCCTGAAACGAGGGATGAACGTGGGAATGGGTTTCCATGGCACCCTGCAGGTTGTTCCAGCCCGGGGAGACGGAGCTGGGAGCGTTCCTGCGGGATGGGGTGATGGACACGGACGTGTTTCCTCCTGGAATCACCGGCCTTGGAAACCTCCGGCTTGGTGGGAAGGGTTTGTAGGAGGGAAATTCCCCCCACTCTGGGAAGGGGGATCCAGGTGATGATTTCAAAACAAGGTGCTGAGGTTGTTCCCAGATTCCCAGCTTTTCCTCCAGTGTGGATCCCTGGAGGGTTCAGCTGCTCCCAGGAAATCTGGGATGGAGAGAGGGAGGGGATAAGCTCTGTGGTTGGAGCTCCAGGAGGGGTTAACATTCCACTTGGGAGATTTATTATCCATGAAAACAGCCCAGCCCTGGAGATGCCCATCCTGGCATTCCCTGCAGCTCCAATTATCCCTGGGAGAGTCTTTTCCAATCCCAATTAACAGCCCCAGGCACTCATTGCCTCATCGGGGCTCTAAGGAATTTGGCTCCAAGGAATTTGGGTCCTTCCCTGCGGTGGGAACAGCCCAATCCCGACCCCTCTTCTTCCTCCCACTTTTTTCCCTGGGTTTAGTGGAATTTTTTGCCAGTTTTGAGGGGGTTTTCATGTTAATCCCAAACCCTTGGTGGGTGTTGGAACAATCCAGATCCAGGTGCCTCTGTGAGGGTGTCGGGGGTGGGTTTTGGGAGCTTGGAAAATCTTGGAATTGTCATTCCACACCTTTGTGCTTGGAGCCCAAACCTCCCTCAGCTGCTGGTGCCTTGATTCCTTAAAATTCCTGGTTTTCCCCTCCTTCCTTAGGGAGGTTTCCAGGTTCTTCCTGCTTTTTTTTATTCCCATAGAAACCCCCTGATCCAGATTTAACGACCTGGTCCCATCCTGGTGGGAACAGCAGAGCTTGGATGTGTTGGGAGAGTCAAGGATTGATTTTGAAGGGTGGGTTTTGTTAAAGGTTGATTTTGAGGAATCAATGTTTGAATCCAAGCGGATTTTCCCAAAGCATTTTAAGGATTTCAGGTTTAATAAGAAAATGGAGATGCTTTAATGGGGCTGAGCTGCCTTAACCTTCAGTCTTGGATCAATCTTGGATCCTGGAATGGGTCAGATCTCCCTGAGTGTTTTAAAACCCACACAAAATCCCCCTTTATTTGTAATCCAGGGAGTTCCACCTTCCCCTTCCTGCCTTAATTCCTTAATTCCCCCTTCCCACATCCCAGATTTTCCACCACCCTGACCCGACAGCTGAATTTTGGGAAGGGGACCCAGTGAGGGTTGAGTGTCCAACAGGCTCTTTCCCAGCTGGTTTTTTGGGATGAGGCTCCTCCCATCGATCCAGATCCCTCTGGAACTTCCAGCCAGGACCAGGAGGGGCCTTTGGGCCGTTCCCACTCTGGTTGTGACACAGGGAGTGAAAATCTGGGAAGAGCTGCTTGGAATGGATTCCCTGCTGTGAATTTGGGGCACGGCCTGATGGAGCTTCCTTGGGGGTTCCTGGATTTGGGATGGGATATTTCCCTTCTGAAGGGCAGGACAGGGAATGAGGCCTCAGGAGGAGCTGGAATTTGGGGGGTGCTGAGCCTGGAATTTGGGGGTACTGAGCCTGGAATTTGGGGGTGCTGAGCCTGAAATTTGAGGGTGCTGAGTCTGGAATTTGGGGAGTGCTGAGGCTGGAATTTTGGGGGGTGCTGAGCCTGGAATTTGGGGGTGCTGAGCCTGAAATTTGAGGGTGCTGAGCCTGGAATTTGAGGCTCAACCAGCTCCTTGGGAACAGCCAGAATCTCCAAGGGATGCTGAGCCCAGAGCTTGAGGGTGCTGAGCCTGGAAATTGGGGGCCACTGAACCTGGAATTTGGGGGTGCTGAGCCTGGAATTTGGGGGTGCTGAGCCTGGAATTTGGGGGTGCTGAGCCTGGAATTTGGGGGTGCTGAGCCTGGAATTTGGGGCTCACCCAGCTCCTTGGGAATGTTTGGGGCTCAGTGGCTGCCCAGTAACCCCGAACGTTGCTGTGGGTTTGTGTTTTGGGGCAGAATCCTCGGATTTGGCGCAGATCTCGGGGTGCTCATGGAAGTGTGTGTGGCACTGGGGTCCTCCATCGCTGCTCCTCGGGGATGTGGGGGGTGGATTCCAAGGACTCAGTGGGAACCAAACCCCCCCTTGGTGGATCTTGCTCTGCCCACGATGTGCAGGAACATCCAAGCACCTCATCCCTTGGGATTCTGTGGACTGGGAGCACTGGAGGAGTGGGAATCAGCCGGGAAGGGGCTGAAACCCTCTTGTGCCAACTTCCCTGGAAATGCTTTCCCTGGATGAATTATCCCTTAGGAAAACTGAGTGCTGACTCAGCATTCCCAGAGCTGCTCCCAGGGAAGGGTTTTGGGATGCAGGGGCTCCATTTCCCCCTCCTCAGGGTGGATTTTGGATGCTGCTGCTTCTCCTCAAGGAAAAGGGAGCTGATTTATTCCTTTGGCTTGTTCCCCCTCTATGCTCCATCTGACTTATCATGGAATCCTGGAATGGGTTGGGTGGGAAGGGACCTTAAATCTCCTCCCATCCCACCCCATTCCAAGGGCAGGGACACCTTCCATGGATCAGGTGGCTCCAAGCTGCTCCCAGGCTGGGAATGAGCCGGGACCTGAGGTGGGCATAAAGGAATGAAATGGGTCTGGAAGAGGATGTGGAGCTGGAGGAAAACCACGCTGTGGTCACAGTGGCTTTCCGGGCACAGTCTGGAGCTCCTCACCCATTTCAGGTGCTTTGAACCTGCTTTATTGTGGTTTTTGGGGCAAAAGCTGAGGAAAAAGCTGGGGGAGAGGCTGGGATGGGGATGGAGGTTCCCATTGCTGGGAGGGGACAGGGATGGAGGGACATTGTCAGTGTGAGGGGATGGAGGGATGGAGGGACATTGTCACTGTGAGGGGACAGGGATGGAGGGACATTGTCACTGTGAGGGGATGGGGGACATTGTCAGTGTGAGGGGATGGAGGGACATTGTCACTGTGAGGGGATGGGGATGGAGGGACATTGTCACTGTGAGGGGATGGGGATGGAGGGACATTGTCACTGTGAGGGGATGGAGGGACATTGTCACTGTGACGGGATGGAGAACACCACTGCTGTGAGGGGCTGGGGGACATTGTCACTGAGGGGATGGGGACACCGTGGCTGTGACGGGCTGGGCTCACAGCCGGCCCTCAGGTCAGTTCTGTCCCGGTTGGGTCCCGGTTGGGTCCCGGTTGGGTCCCTGTTGTGGCCGCTCCCGCCCCAGCCCCGGGGTCTCCATGGCGGCCCCGCCTCCCCCTCAGCGCCGGCCCCGGGCGAGCCCCGCGGCGCCGCCCAATCAGCAGCGAGAACGGCTCTGATTGACAGGAGGGCGCGCCGGCGGCCCCTCCGGGAGGAAGCGCCTCCGCCAATGGCATCGGGGGAGGCCGCCGAGCCGGCCAATGGGAGCGGCGGCCGGGCCGCGCCTCTGGGCGAGCTCCACCAATGAGGAGCTTCGTGGGCGGGTTCTCGCCACCGAGGGGCCCAATGGGCGGCGAGCGCGGCGCGCGTGCGCGGTTGGCGCTCGGGCGGGCTGTGCGGCGGCGCCGGGCGGAGGCGGAGGCGGCGATGGAGCCGGGATACGGCGGTAGGTGCGGGGCGGCCCCGCGGCCACGCCGTGCCGTCGGGGCGGCGGCGGCTCCGTCCCTCCGGTGCCTCAGTGCTCGCTCCGTTACCGGCGGGAGAACCGGGCGGGGGGCGGAGGGGGGTCGCCCAGCCGCTGCGGGAAGCGCTGCGCCCGCCTCCCGTGAGGCGGCTGCGCCGGTGATTGGCTGAGCGCCCTGTCGCTCAGCGCTCGGGCGCCGCTGATTGGTTGGGCGGGCGCTGTGGGGGGCCGACGGGGGGGGGCTGTTCCCTGAGGGGAGCGCGGGGCGGGGGGGGCGGAAATGGCGCCGGTCCCATTTCTGAAGACGACACAAAATGGCGGTCGCGGCCCCGCCCCCGCCGCGTGCGCCTCAGTTTCCCCCTCGCCTTCCCTTCCCGGTGCCGCTGGATGCGAACCCCGAGGGTCCTGTGCCCTCCCTGGGGAAGTCACTTGTCCCTCTCAGGGGGTCCCGTTCCCTCCTTGAAGGGGTCTCTTGTCTCCTCCTCAGGGAGAGCCGTCCCGTTCTCAAAGAGCTCCGACTCCCCTCATGGGTCCCCCCAAGGATCCTCCCACTCGGATCCCGCTTGGATCTCCCCTCTCGGGTTCCCCCCAGGATCCACTTGGTTCCGTGTGGGATCTCCCACTTGGAGACCTCTCGGGTCTCCCCTTGGATTCCCCCCGAAATCCCCTGTGGATCTCTGGATTCTCCCCCCCGGCCTCAGATCCCTTCCCTGGATCCCCTCCAGAGGTGTCTTTGCCCCCCGAGGTGTTTGTTTCCTCATCCCTGGTGTAAGAGCATCCAGCAAGGAATTGTCAATGGAAGCACCAGGGGAGCCGTTGGGATCCCTCTGGAATCCCATCCGGGATCCGAGCGGCACCAAGAGGCTGTTGAGGCTCTTCAGCCTCGTTCCCTGGCCCGGGGAGGGGATTTTTGAGGGGAAAATCCCGTCCCCCTCCACCGAAAGGGCGTTGACTTCATTGGTGTCATCGGGATCTGCGGATTCCACTGGGATTTAACGTCCCTTTTAACCAAAATCGAGGATGGAGAGGTGAAAATCGGTGGAAAGTCACTGAAAACAAGGTTTAACAGCTGGATATCGGTGGTTTAAAGCCCCTGGATGGAGTTTATTTGGATGTCAGAGCGGGGCATCCCGGGTCTGATCCGGCAGCATCCCAGATCCTGGATGCTCTTCCCACCTGGATTCATCCCTCCCTTCGCCATATCCTCGTTCATGGACACAAAAGATCCCACACGGATGAGTTTTACTTCAAATCATTTACACAGAGATCCCACCAGGACGATTTTTCGCTCCCTGTTGGCAGCACTTCCCTGGTTTCCATCCCACGATGGGGATTGCAGCGGGATTTGTAACCAGTCCAGCAGTGATGCTGCTCCTGCCTGGCCTTCCCTGATCCTTTCCTGCAGGGATCCTTCAGAATTCATGGATACAACCTCTGGCTCCTCCAGGTTGGGAATCTCAGCTCCGGCATCTCCATCAAGTTTTTAAATCCTTTTCCAGCGTTTTCACTGTTTTTTTTTTTTTTGGGGAATAAAACTCGAGTGAGAAGCAGCACCAGGATTAAAATCACCTTAAATAAGAATTAAATCGTCCTGGTTTCTCTTTACCAAGAGCTGAGCAAGTCTGGATGAACAGCTTGGAAGAGTTCAGGCACCCTCAGAGCTATTCCTGAGAAAGATTACCTTGGATTCATGGACTTAATGAGCTGCTTAATGAGGGATCTTCCCTTTGCCTCCCAGGACTATGAATAGAGCAAAACCCCAGCGCAGCTTTGGAGGGGTTTTATTGTGGATTTTTCCTGTTTTGTGGTGTAAAAACGAAGGAATTCTTGGAGGTTTTGGTTATTTGGGGTTTTTAAAAATAGATGGAAGCAGGAAAACCGACCCATGTGTTTTTAATTCCCCTGTTACCCCCCAGCCTTGCACGTGATATATCCATTTAATTGAAATAATTCATCGTTCCCAGGAGGCAAACTCTTCTCCCTGGATAAGTCCCTGCCTGGAAATCAGGAATCATCACCCAGGGCACACTCAGCTCCATAAAATTCACCACTTGGTCCTTTCCACGTTGGGTTTTTTTTTCCTGCTTTGCTCTTAATTCCGTGGGTTTTTTCTCCCAAGGGACGGCGACGAGGATTTACTCCAAGAGTTTTCCCTCCTGGGGGAATGTTTATGGAATATTTAGTTCCAAAATTTATTCATTGGGCTGTTAATTACTGTGGTTGTTGTTATCCCAGATCTGTGTTCCTGGGAAGAGCAGGATAATGGCTCGGGAAACACCCCGGGACATAAAAACAAGGAGAATCCTGAGGGACAGAGAACCAGGACTCCTTTGGGCTGGATTTTGGGACAAAGCAACCTCTCTTTTCCCGGAGGTTCCGTGCCAGGGCCAGGCTGGTTTTGCCTCCTGGATCGACATTCCCGAGGATTTCTTGGAAACAGCTCAAAACCGGGAGTGAGGGGAGCTGGGATTGATCAGGAACGCGGAACTGCTTTTGGTGTCCCTGGGAAACTGGGGGACCTGCCTGGAAAAACCTTTCCCTGTGCTGGGATCGCTGCCCTTTCCCACTGCTGGGATGATCCCTGTGGCAGCCAGGCCTGGGAATCGCCGGATAGCAGGGATTTGAATCCAAGGAGGGGGGGTTGATGTGCAGGATGGAGCCGGAATTCCACACCTGATCCTCCCCAGGAACCCCCAGACCAGCTGGAAAAGCCCATCCTGGCCTCTGGAAAAGCTCATCCCGCTGGGAAGAGGAGCTGAACTGGGAACAACCCCCACGCTCCCACGGTGGGAAGGGGAATTATCCAGGAATGAGGCTCGGACTGTGCCGGAGTTTCCGGGCTCTGCTTCCTGTTTTGCTGCTCCTGTGGTTTTCTAGGAATCAAACTTCCCTCAGGGATTGTTTTCCCCGTGATTTCCATGAATTCTGGCTGCTTTAGGTGCTTCCCCATGGAAAAAATTCAGAGGGAAAGAGGTCCTGGAGGTGTTTGAGGGGTTTGTGCTGGGAGAAGAGTTCCTAAAATTGGGAATTGTCTTAAAAAGTAAAGGATTTGCAGCGTTGGGGGGTTGTCAAAAAACAAAACCAAAACAAAACAAAGCAGGAGTTTTAGGAAAATTGGGGTCTGCCTCTAAAAAGTCAAAGTTACGGAAAAATTGGGGGCTCCCTCCAGGAAATAGGGAAGATTATGTGGAATTGGGAGGTGATTCCAAGAATGGAAAAGCTTTGCAAAACTGAGGGGGGGGCATCTCCAGAAATGGAGAAGTTTGGCAAAACAGAGGGTTCCTCCAAAAAAAGAGAAAAGCTTTGCAAAACTGGGGGTTCTCTCCCAAAAAATGTCTTCCAGAAGCTTGGAAAAATCGGGATCACCTCTGGGAATATGAAAAGCTTTGGAAAATCGGGGCTGTCTCAAGAAAATGGGAAATTATGCAGAGCTGAGGAGGGGGCTCTGAAACCAGAGAAATTTGGCCAAAAATGGGCCAAAAATAAAGAAGTTCTGCCAAGTTGGGGGACCCCTCCAAAAACTGGATATTCCCAAGGGAAAAGGAGGCTTCTGCTGCTGTGTCCCAGTGGGAACATCCCTGCTCCGGTGCCTGGGAGGGTTTATCCCAGTGGAACTCGGTGCCCTCATTCCCTGGAGCTCCTGGAATTCTGCAGGACATCTCCTTGGGGCGTTTCCTGAGCGGTGGAACGTGGGATGGCAGCTGGAATTGGGGGCTCTGTTGGGATGGGGGTCAGGGAAGGGACAGGAAGAGCTCCCCCTGCTCACAGCTCTGCTCTTTCCCTGCAGGATACGGCACCTGGAACACCGGCACCACCAGCACGCAGGGTGAGCTGGGGGGAACCCCTTTCCTTCCCCCTTTCCTTCCCCCTTTCCTTCCCCCTTTCCTTCCCCCTTTCCTTCCCCCTTTCCTTCCCCCTTTCCTCCCCTATTTTCTTCCCCTCTTTTCCTCCCCTCTTTTCCTCCCCTCTTTTCCTCCCCCTTTTCCCTCCCCCTTTTCCTTCCCCCTCTTTTCCTCCCTCTTTTTCCTCCCCCCTTTCCTTCCCCCTTCCTTCCTCTTTTCCTTCCCTCTTTCCTTCCCCCTCTCTTCCTCCCCTCTTTTTCCTCCCTCTTTTTCCTCCCCCCTTTCCTTCCCCCTTTCCTTCCCCCTTTCCTTCCCCCTTTCCTTCCCCCTTTCCTTCCCCCTTTCCTTCCCTTCCTCTTTCCTCCCCCCTCTCTCTCCTTTTCCTCCTCCTTTCCTCCACCCTTTCTTCCTCTCTTCTCCATTTTTCCTCCTTCCTCCCTTCTTTCCTTCCCCATTTTTTCCTCTCCCTTTTTTCCTCCCCCCTTTTCTTCCCCCTTTTCTCCTCCACCTCTTTTCTTCCCCTCTTTTCCTTCCCCCTTTTTTCCTCTCTCCTTTTTCCTCTCCTCTTTTTCTTTTCCCCTTCTTTTCCTCCCCCTTTCCTTCCCCTCCTGTTTTTCCTCCCCTTTTCCTCCCCTTTTTCTTCCCCCTTTTCCTTCCCCTTTCCTCCCCTCTCTTTCCTCCCCCTTTTCCTTCCCCCTTTCCTCCACCCTTTTCCTCCCCTTTTTTCCTCTCTCCATTTTTTTCCTTCCTCCCTTCTCCTTCCCCATTTTTTTCCTCTCCCTTTTTTCCTCCCCCTTTCTTCCCCCTTTTTCTCCTCTTTTCCTTCCATCCCTTTTTCCTTCTCCCTTTTCCTCCCCTTTTTCCTTCCCCTTTTCTTCCCTCCTTTTCCTTCTCCTTTTTCCTCTCCTTTTTCCTTCCTTTTTTCCTTCTCCCTTTTCCTTCCTTTTTCCTCCTTTCCTTCCCTTTTTCCTCCTCCTTTTTCCTCCCTTTTTCTTCTCCTCCTTTTTTCCTCTCCTTTCTCCTTCCTCTTCCTCTCCTTTTCCCTCTTTTTCTCCTCCTCTCTTTTCCTTCTCCCTTTTCTTCTTCCTCCTTCCTTCCTTACTTCTTTTCCTCCCCTTTCCTTCTTTTTCTCCCTTTTTCCTTCCTCTTTTCCTCCTCCTTTTCCTTCTCCCCTTTTCCTCCTTCCTTTTTCCTCTTCTTTTTCCTTCTCCCTCTTTCCCTCTCCTCTTTTTCCCTCCTCTTTTTCCTTCCCCTTTTTCCTCTCCTCCTTTTCCTCTCCTCCTTTCCTTCCCCCTTTTCTTCCCTCCTTTCTTCCTCCCTTTTTCTTCCTTCCTCCTCTTTTCCTCCCCCTTTTCCTTCCCCCTTTCCTCCCCCTTTTCCTCCCCCTTTTTTCCCCTCTCCATTTTCCTCCTCTTTCTCCTTCCCCTTTTTTTCCTCTCCCTTTTTTCCCTCCCCCTTTTTCTCCCCCTTTTTCCTCCTTTTCTTCCCCCTTTTTCCTTCTCCCTTTCCTTCCTTTCCTTCCCCTTTTCCCTTCCCCCTTTTCCCTCTCCCTTTTCCCTCCCTCTTTTCCTTCCTCCTTTTCCTCCCCCTTTTCCCTCCTTCCTCTCCTTTCCTTCCTCCTTTTCCTCTCTCTTTTCCTCCCCTTTTTCTTCCCCCTTTCTTTCCTTCCCCCTTTTCCTCTCCCCTTTTCCTTCTCCCTTTTTCCTTCTCCTTTTTTTCCTCTCCTTTTCCTTCCCCTTTTCCTTCCCCCTTTTTCCCTTCCTCTTTTCCTCTCCCTCTTTTTCCTTCCCAATTTTTTCCTCCTTCCTTTTTCCTCCCCCCTTTTCCTTCCTCTTTTTCTTTCCCCTTTTTCCCTCCCCCTTTTTCCCTCCTGTTTTTCCTCCCCCCTTTCCTTCTTCCCCTTTCCCCTTTTCCTCCCCTTTTTTCTTCCCCCTTTTTTTCCTTCCCCTTTTTCCTCCCCCTTTTTCCTTCCCCTTTTTCCTCCTTCCTTTTTTGTCTCCTCTTTTCTTTCCCCTTTTTCCTCCCCTTTTTTCTTCCCCCTTTTTTTTCCTTCCCCCTTTTTCCTCCCCCCTTTTTCCTTCCCCCCTTTTCCTTCCCCATTTTTTCCTCTCCCTTTTTTCCTTCCCTTTTTCCTTTACCTTTTCCCTCCCCCTTTCCTTCTCCCCCTTTTTCCTCTTCCTTTTTCCTTCTCCCTCTTTCCTTCACCCTTTTCCCTCCTCACTTTTCCCTCCACTGTTTTTCCTTCACGCTTTTCCTCCCCCCTTTTTCCTTCCCCTCTTTTCCTTCCCCATTTTTTCCTCTCCCCTTTTCCTTCCCCCTTTTTCCTCCCCCTTTCCCTCCCCTTTCCCCCCAGCAGGAAAGCAGGAGATGCTCCTGAACCCTTTTTCCAGCACATCAATTTTTGCTGCTGTTTTCCTGCATCCCGAGGGGTTTTCTGGGCTCCTTGGAATTATTTCCCATCCCAAACACTCAAACCTGTGTCCAATCCCCCTAAAAAGCACCTTTATTTCCTTATCCCCCCTGGACCTCCCCCCTCCCTCCTCTCCCGTTCCCTGCCGAGGATCCAGCGCTTTTTCAGCAGATTTTGGACATTTTCTCCCGAGCTCTGCCTTTTTGGGGTGTTCTGGGAGCTGAAATGTCCCTTTGGGGTGATTTTTGGGATGATTTTGGAGCTGAAATGCCCTTTTGGGGTGATTTTGGAGCTGAAATGTCCTTTTGGGGGTTATTTTGGAGCTGAAATGTCCCTTTGGGATGATTTTGGAGCTGAAATGCCCCTTTGGGATGATTTTGGAGCTGAAATGTTCCTTGGGATGATTTTGGAGCTGAAATGCACCTTTGGGATGATTTTGGAGCTGAAATGCGACTTTTGGGTGATTTGGGGGTGATTTTGGAGCTGAAATGCCCCTTTTGGGGTGATTTGGAACTGAAATGCCCTTTTGGGGTGATTTTGGGGTGATTTTGGAGCTGAAATGTCCCTTTGGGGTGATTTTGGGGTGATTTTGGAGCTGAAATGCCCTTTAAGGTGTTTTTGGAGCTGAAATGTCCTTTTGGGGGTTATTTTGGAGCTGAAATGCCCTTCTGGGTGATTTTGGGGTGATTTTGGAGCTGAAATGCACCTTTGGGGTGATTTTGGAGCTGAAATGCCCTTCTGGGTGATTTTGGGATGATTTTGGAGATGAAATGCTCCTTTGGGGTGATTTTGGAGCTGAAATGCCCCTTTTGGGGTGATTTTGGGGTGATTTTGGAGCTGAAATGCCCCTTTTGGGGTGATTTTGGAGCTGAAATGCCCTTTTGGGGTGATTTTGGAGCTGAAATGTCCTTTTCTGTCTGTCCTGCCCAGGTTCCTACGCCACGAACGCCTCGAGCTGGCAAGGTGGGTGTGCAGAATCCCGGGATTTGGGAGCCCTTCCAGCTCTTCTCCCAAATACTCCCTCAATCTTTTTAATGTGAAAAAGTCTAATATTTTATTACCAAAGTATTTTATAAAATACTTTAGGCTTTATGGTAATGAAAAGGATGATATTTAAATATATTGTATGACGTAAAATAGAATTGTTCCCTTTATAGCAATGTCTATAATATTTTACTTTCAATATCTTTTATAATATAAGACATAATTTAGTAGTAAAAATTCTTTATAATATAAAAATCTTTGTGATATTTTATTATCAATGTGTAATATGGGATATCTTTTTAGTCTTTGTAATAAAAAAACCTACGATATTTTATCTTTTACAATAATATCTTTTTAGTCTTTATAATGGTAAAATATTAAAAAGTATTTCTAACACTTTAATTATAGTATGATATTAAATGGCCTTAGTCTTTATAATATTAAAAAGGGTTTATAACCCTTTATTATTAATATATTATGATGTCAAATATCTTTAGTCTTTATAATATTAAAAAGGGTTTATAACCCTTTATTATTAATATATTATGATGTCAAATATCTTTAGTCTTTATAATATTAAAAATATTTATAAGACTTTAATTATATCATGATATGAAATATCTTTAGTCTTTATAGTATTAAAAAGTATTTATAATCCTTTGTTATCAATATATTTTGATATCAAACACCTTTAGTCTTTATAATATTAAAAAGAGTTTATAACACTTTACTATCAATATATTATGATACCAAATACCTTTAGCCTTTATAATATTAAAAGGGTTTATAACCCTTTATTATCAATATATTATGATATCAAATACCTTTAGTCTTTACAACATTAAGAAGTATTTATAAGAATTTGATTATGATATGAAATATCTTTAGTCTTTATAATACTAAAGTATTAATAGCACTTTATTATCAATATATTATGCTATCAAATATCTGTAGTCTTTTTAATTGCAAAAATTGATTGTAACATTTTATTATCAATATATTCTGATCTCAAATATCTTTAGTCTTTGTAATAGTAAAAATTGATTATAACACTTTATTATCAATATATTATATCAAATATCTTTGGTCTTTATAGTATTAAGAAGTGTTGACAAGACTTTAATTATATTATGATATGAAATATCTTTAGCCTTTAAAACATTAAAAAGTATTTATAACACTTTATTATCAATATATCGAATACATTTATTTTTTACAATACTAAAAACTCTTTATAATATTTTTATACCGGGATGTTTTAGACTATAAACCACGTTTTTAATCGTTACAGTCAGAATATTTGGGAGCAGTTTGGGAGGATTTCAGTTGATTGAAGTGGATTTCAGTTACAATCCAAATATTTGGGAGCAGTTTGGGAGGATTTCAGTTGATTGAAGTGGATTTCAGTTACAATCACAATAATTGGGAGCAGTTTGAGAGGATTTCAGCTGATTGAAGTTGATTTCAGTTACAATCCCAGTATTTGGGAGCAGTTTGGGAGGATTTCATTAATTGAAGTTGATTTCAGTTACAATCCCAATATTTGGGAGCAGTTTGGAAGGATTTCAGTTGATTGAGATTGATTTCAGTTACAATAACTGGGAGCAGTTTGATTGAAGTGGATTTCAGTTACAATCCCAATAACTGGGAGCAGTTTGGGAGGATTTCAGCTGATTGAAGTGGATTTCAGTTACAATCCCAATAACTGGGAGCAGTTTGGGAGGATTTCCGCTGATTGAAGTTGATTTCAGTTACAATCCCAATAACTGGGAGCAATTTGGGAGGATTTCAGCTGATTTCAGTTGATTTCAGTTACAATCCCAATAACTGGGAGCAGTTTGGGAGGATTTCAGCTGATTGAAGTTGATTTTGGTTGATTGGAGTTGATCTGAGTTGCTTTCCCGCAGGCTATGAAGGCTACGATTACTACACCCCCCAGAGCTCGGCCGCGCCCTCGGCCGCCTCCTACGGCTACGGAGCCGCTTCCGGCGGCTGGGACGCCCCCAAGGCCTCGGAGCTGGGAATGGGCTCCGACGGAGCCGCCGCCGCCGCCTACGGAGCCGACGGAGCCGGCGCCGAGAACTCGGACTCCATCATCGCCAAGATCAACCAGCGCCTCGACATGCTGTCCAAGGAGGGCAGCGCCGGCACCGCCGACGGCACCGCCGACGAGCACCAGGGGTGAGGCGTTCCCGGGATACTGCTGGGATAGGGGAGGAGCACCAGGGGTGAGGCATTCCCGGGATACAGCCGGGATATAGGGAATGAGCACCAGGGGTGAGGCATTCCCGGGATAAGGGATGGGATATAGGGAATGAGCACCAGGGGTGAGGCATTCCCGGGATAGGGAATGAGCACCAGGGGTGAGGCATTCCCAGGATCGGGAATGGGGGAGGGAATGAGCACCAGGGGTGAGGCATTCCCGGGATCAGGGATGGGACAGGGAATGAGCACCAGGGGTGAGACGTTCCTGGGATCTGGGCTGGGATGAGCACCAGGGGTGAGGCATTCCCGGGATAAGGGCTGGGATAGGGAATGAGCACCAGGGGTGAGGCATTCCTGGGATACTGCTGGGATAGGGGAAGGAGCACCAGGGGTGAGGCATTCCCGGGATAAGGGATGGGATATAAGGAATGAGCACCAGGGGTGAGGCATTCCCAGGATACGGCCGGGATATGGGGAATGAGCACCAGGGGTGAGGCATTCCCGGGATACAGCTGGGATATGGGGAATGAGCACCAGGGATGAGGCATTCCTGGGATCAGGGCTGGGATAAGGGATGAGCACCAGGGGATGAGAAGGGCTGGGAAAGGATGGGAAGGGCTGGGAAAGGATGGGAGGGAATGGAAGGGGATGAGAAGGGCTGGGAAGGGCTGGGAAAGGATGGGAGGGAATGGAAGGGGATGAGAAGGGCTGGGAAAGGATGGGAGGGAATGGAAGGGGATGGGAAGGGCTGGGAAAGGATGGGAAGGGCTGGGAAAGGATGGGAGGAATGGAAGGGGATGAGAAGGGCTGGGAAAGGATGGGAAGGGCTGGGAAAGGATGGGAGGGAATGGAAGGGGATGAGAAGGGCTGGGAAAGGATGGGAAGGGCTGGGAAAGGATGGGAAGGGCTGGGAAAGGATGGGAGGGAAGGGAAGGGGATGAGAAGGGCTGGGAAAGGATGGGAGGGAATGGAAGGGGATGAGAAGGGCTGGGAAGGGCTGGGAAAGGATGGGAGGGAATGGAAGGGGATGAGAAGGGCTGGGAAAGGATGGGAGAAAGTGGAAGGGGATGAGAAGGGCTGGGAAGGGCTGGGAAAGGATGGGAGGGAATGGAAGGGGATGAGAAGGGCTGGGAAAGGATGGGAGGGAATGGAAGGGGATGAGAAGGGATGGGAAGGGCTGGGAAAGGATGGAAGGGGATGGGAAGGGCTGGGAGGTGCTGGGAAGGGAGCGAGGGAAGCGATTCCAGGTACCGAGCACGTCCCTCCCCCCAGCTCCTTCCGCTTCGAGTCGTTCGACTCGTACGAGTCCCGCTCTGCGCTGAGCGAGCGCGACCTGTACCGGCCCGGCTACGCCGACTACGGCGAGGCTGCGGCCGAGCGCGGCGACTCCTTCGGCGGCCACTTCGACTCTCGCCGGGACCAGCCCCGCAGCCGCGGCGGCAACAACGGCTTCGGGCTCCTGCGGGGCCGCGGCCAGAGCCGGGGCCAGCCCCGCGGCCGCCTCGGCGCCTTCGGCCGCCCCGAGCCCTTCCCGGGCTCGTCCAGCTCGGAGCGCCTGTCGGCGCGGTGGAACGAGCTCAACTACCTGGGGGCGCGCGGCATGGGCGCTGCCGGAGCCGCCGGAGCCGCAGCCGGAGCCGGAGCAGGAGCAGGCCGGCTGCCCTCCCTCTTCTCCCAAGCGCTGGTTCCCGACTACGGAGACTACGGCGACTACGGGGACTACGGAGATTACGGAGATTATGGAGACTACGGAGACTACGGAGACTACGGAGACTACGGGGATTACGGGGACTACGGAGACTACGACTACGGCATGATGGGCATGGGAATGGGAATGGGGCGCTACGGGAACGTCCCCTACGGGATGGGCCGGCAGCGCGGCAGGGACAGGATGGGCGCCGCGCCCTGGCACGGCGGAGCCCTCACGGTGAGCCCGCCCGGGATCCCTGCTGGGCTGGGAGGGGGGATTCCTTGGAGAAGGCACGAGGTGCTGGGGGGGGATCCCGCTGGGGAGTTGGTTCGGGGTCTGTGCTGGGCGGAGCGGGACGTCACGGAGTTGGTTTGGAGGCATTTGCGCGTGGAGCGGCCTCTTGAGGGCTCATCCCATCCCAAATTCCCAAATCTGCTCTCCACGGACATGAAACGGCCTGGGAGTGCTCACCCCATCCCAAATCTGCTCATTCCATCCCAAATCTGCTCATCCCATCCCAAATCTGCTCATCCCATTCCAAATCTGCTCACCCCATCCCAAATCCACTCTTCAGGAGCACAAAACAGCCTGGGAACGTTCATCCCATTCCAAATCTGTTCTCCAGGAACACATAGAACAACCTGGAAGTGTTCACCTCATCCCAAATGCTTTCCCCAGGGACATAAACCAGCCTGGGAGTGCTCCATCCCAAATTCCCAAATCCATTCACTCCATCCCAAATGTGCTCTCCAGGGACACAGAACAGCCTGGGAGTGCTCACTCCATCCCAAATGCCCAAATCCATTCACTCCATCCCAAATGTGCTCTCCAGGGACACAGAACAGCCTGGGAGTGTTCAATCCATCCCGAGTCTGCTCATCCCATCCCAAATCCGCTCTTCCAGGGACACACGAACCCCTCCATAAAATCCTTTCCTAACCCCCCGCCAACCCTGCAGGATCCCAGAATTTCGGCTTCCCTGGAGGCCGGGCTGGGCACACTCGGATCCCCCAGTGCCTGCAGTTGGCTGATCCAAGGATTTGTCCCTGTTGCAGCCCAAGAGAAGAGGCTTCCGGAGCCGCTCCGGGGGCCGCTCCGATGGGGAAGGGGGTCGGAAGCGGAAACAATCCCAGAGCGGGGACGATCCCGAGGCCAAACAGCCCCGCACCGACAGCGAGGGCGACGACTCCGACAACGGTAGGGCCCCAAAGCCGCCCTTTTCCCTGGATTTGGGCAGTTTTTCCCAGCTCTCCCAGGGTTTTCTCCCGTTCTGGAGCTGCCTCTCCCCGCCCTGAGCTGTTTGTCTTTCCCGCAGCAGACGAGGGGGAAGGAGAGGAGAAATCCGGGGATGAAGCTGACAGAGGTGTAAGTAACCTCATCCATGGGAAATGTGGGAATATTCCAGCTGCTTGGGGGGTTGGGATGTCTGAAATCAGCCAGAAAGTGTGTTTGGAGCCCGTCTGTGGTGGAAGTATTTGCTCCTGGTGATTCCCACGGGAATCACCGGGATTTGCTGCGCTTGAGGGGGGGTCTGGAAAGCTCTCGGAGTGGGAAAGTTGGGATTGGGTGGGATTTGGATCCTGGGGTGAGTTTTGGGGTCTGCAGGGCATTTGAGGGGTTGGGGGAGGTTTGGGTTGGATATTGGGGAAAATTCCTGCATGGAAAGGGTTGGGAAGGGGCTGCCCAGGACAGGGGTGGAATCACATCCCTGGAAATGCCCAGAGAACATCGGGATGTGGCCCCCTGTGGCTCAGGGGTGGCCTTGGAAGTGCTGCAGGGTTGGGCTTGGTGATCCTAAGGGTCTTTTCCAACCTTATTAATTCCATGGAAAGCCCCATTTTACCAACACCCCTAAAAAAGGAGGGACATCAAACTCCAGCCTGGGAATTCCCACCATAAATGACTCCGGTGTCTCTCTGTGCTTCTCTTTTCCAGGAGAACTGGAGTTGGGAGGGGGACTGGGAGGAGCAGGGGGCATCCCCCCCATTCCCGGGGTGCTCCCGGATCAATCCCGCTCCGGCTCCCGCCGCTTCCCACCGGGATCCACCACACGCCGCGTTTCGGGCTCCATCACCCTGGAATTCCACGTCCTGGATAACCGGGAAGTGCCCAAAGCCCGTGGTTTCTCCTGGGTGGGGGGGGTAATTAGTTAATTAATTCATTCATTCATGTTAATTCCAAGGAATTAATCTGGGGAAAGGCAGCTTTCCCAAAGGGAATTGTCCACCTCCCACCTCGGAGCTTTCTGGCCCCAAAACAGGGCAGAGTTTTGGTCTTAACTTTGCTGCTTTTTTGGGGGGATTTGCCAGTAATTATCAGGGAATTATCAGGGTTTTATCGGGGAATTGTTAGTGTTTAGTCATGGAATTGTTAGGGGTTTATAAGGAATTATTTGGGGTTTCTCAAGGAATTATTAGGGTTTTATTATTAGGGTTTTATAAGGAACTATTAGGGTTTATCAGGGAATTATTAGGGTTTCATCAGGGAATTTTTAGGATTTTATAAGGAATTATTAGGGTTTTATTATTAGGGCTTTATTAGGGAATTATTAGGGGTTTATAAATTATTAGGCTATATCAAGGAATTACTAGGGTTTTATCATGGAATTGTTAATGTTTTACTGTGGAATTGTTAGGATTTTATGAGGAATTATTAGGGGTTTATAAGGAATTATTGGGGTATATCAAGGGATTATTAGGGGGTTATCAGAAATTCTGAGAGTTTTATGAAGGAATTATCCCAGAATTCTTGGGAAAGCCACCTAAGGAACAGATCCCAAATCCTTCCAGAGAAGCAGAACCCCTCGAGCTCCAAGATCTGCCGGGATTTGTGGATGTTTCAGCCTTGGGAAAAATGGGGTGAAGAGGGAAAATCAGGAATGTGGGCAGAAAGCAGCAAATTCCCTCCAGGAAAGCAGCAAATTCCCTCCAGGAAAGCAGGTGGAGGAGTCTGGAAAAATCCGGGCTCTTCCCACTCCCTTTGCCCTGGTTTGGGATCCGAGAACTCCTGGAAATCTTAGGGGAGATTCCAGAGCCCAAGAGAAGTTGTGAGCAGAGAGATCCCCCCCTCCCAAATTCAGAGGGGGGGTTTTGGGCTCCTGAAATCCCGGGAGTAATTCCTGGTGGTTCCCAAATCCCAGGAGTAATTCCTGGTGGTTCCCGAAATCCCAGGAGTAATTCCCGGTGGTCCCCAAAATCCCAAGAGTAATTCCCGGTGGTTCCCAAAATCCCGGGAGTAATTCCTGGTGGTTCCCGAAATCCCGGGAGTAATTCCTGGTGGTTCCCAAAATCCCAGGAGTAATTCCTGGTGGTTCCTGAAATCCTGGGAGTAATTCCCGGTAGTTCCCAAAATCCTGGGAGTAATTCCCGGTGGTTCCCAAAATCCCAGGAGTAATTCCCAGTGGTTCCCAAAATCCCAGGAGTAATTCCTGGTGGTCCCCAAAATCCCAGAGTAATTCCCAGTGGTTCCCGAAATCCCGGGAGTAATTCCTGGTGGTTCCCAAAATCCCGGGAGTAATTCCCGGTGGTTCCCAAAATTCCGTGAGTAATTCCCAATGGTCCCCAAAATCCCAGGAGTAATTCCTGGTGGCTCCCAAAATCCCAGGAGTAATTCCTGGTGGTTCCCAAAATCCCGGGAGTAATTCCTGGTGGTTCCCAAAATCCTGTGAGTAATTCCCGGTGGTTCCGGAAATCCCAGGAGTAATTCCCGGTGGTTCCCAAAATCCCGGGAGTAATTCCCGGTGGTTCCCAAAATCCCAGGAGTAATTCCTGGTGGTTCCCAAAATCCCAGGAGTAATTCCCGGTGGCTCCTGAAATCCCAGGAGTAATTCCTGGTGGTTCCCAAAATCCTGTGAGTAATTCCCCTGGTGGTTCCCAAAATCCCGTGAGTAATTCCCAGTGGTTCCCAAAATCCCAGGAGTAATTCCCGGTGGTCCCCAAAATCCCGGGAGTAATTCCCGGTGGTTCCCAAAATCCCATGAGTAATTCCTGGTGGTTCCCAAAATCCCGGGAGTAATTCCCGGTGGTTCCCAAAATCCCGTGAGTAATTCCCGGTGGTTCCCAAAATCCCATGAGTAATTCCCGGTGGTTCCCAAAATCCCAGGAGTAATTCCCGGTGGTTCCCGAAATCCCAGGAGTAATTCCTGGTTGTTCCTGAAATCCCGTGAGTAATTCCCGGTGGTTCCCAAAATCCCGTGAGTAATTCCCGGTGGTTCCCAAAATCCCAGGAGTAATTCCTGGTGGTTCCTGAAATCCCAGGAGTAATTCCTGGTGGTTCCCAAAATCCCGGGAGTAATTCCCGGTGGTTCCCGAAATCCTGTGAGTAATTCCCGGTGGTTCCCGAAATCCCATGAGTAATTCCTGATGGTCCCCAAAATCCGGAGTAACCGGGTTCCCAGGAGTAATTCCTGTGGTCCCCCGGGATTCCCAATGGTCCTGAAATCCCAGGAGTAATTCCCGGTGGTTCCCAAAATCCCAGGAGTAATTCCTGGTGGTTCCCAAAATCCCGGGAGTAATTCCCGGTGGTTCCCAAAATCCCGTGAGTAATTCCCGGTGGTTCCCAAAATCCCAGGAGTAATTCCCGGTGGTTCCCAAAATCCCGTGAGTAATTCCTGGTGGTTCCCAAAATCCCGGGAGTAATTCCCGGTGGTTCCCGAAATCCTGTGAGTAATTCCTGATGGTCCCCAAAATCCCGGGAGTAATTCCTGGTGGTCCCCGAAATCCCAGGAGTAATTCCCGGTGGTTCCCAAAATCCCAGGAGTAATTCCTGGTGGTTCCCAAAATCCTGTGGAGTAATTCCCGGTGGTTCCCAAAATCCCGGAGTAATTCCCGGTGGTTCCCGCAGCCTCCGGCGACGGCTGCGAGGACGATGATGAGGAGGTGAAGAAGAAGAGGGAGAAGCAGCGGAGAAGGGACCGGATGAGGGATCGAGCCATGGACAGGTGAGCCCAGGGATGAGCCAGGATCAGGAGCTGAATTCCTGGGAATATTCTCCATCCCCTGGGATGTTGCTGTTGGATTGGATTTTCCAGGTTTTTTTGGTTTGTAGGATGAGGAGACACCACAGGGGGGTTAAAATGTGGAGCAGAATTCTGAATATCCTCCATCCCGGGATGTCGATTGTTGGGATTTCAGGAGGATTTTGCCAGGTTTTTTTCGTTTGTGGGATGAGGAGACACAAAGAGGGGGTTAAAATGTGGAGCTGAATTCCTGGGAATATCCTCCATCTCCTGGGATTTCAGGAGGATTTTGCCAGGTTTTTTTTGGTTTGTGGGATGAGGAGACACAAAGAGGGGGTTAAAATGTGGAGCAGAATTCCTGGGAATATCCTCCATCCCCTGGGATGTCGTGTTTGTTGGGATTTCAGGAGGATTTTCCCAGGTGTTTTTTTTTGTTTGTGGGATGAGGAGACACCAAGGGGGGGTTAAAATGTGGAGCAGAAGGGCTGGGAAATGATCCCAAGAGGGATTTGAAGGTGGAATAAAAGTGGCATTCCCATATCCCGGGGCATTCCCAAGGAGGATCTTTAGGGGGAACATCCCATGAGTTCATCCAGGGCGTCCCAATCCCATAAAACACAGATTTTAGGGACAAAGGTTACAAAAATCCCGGGGCAGGACAGATCCGGTGGGATGGTGGGAAACTCCTGAGTGGGGACTGGGGCTGGACCTTGTGCCATCCCATCCCTCATTCCCACCATTCCCTGTTCCCTCAGGATCCAGTTCGCCTGCTCCGTGTGCAAATTCCGGAGCCTGGAGGAGGAGGAGATCCAGAAGCACCTGCAGAGCAAGTTCCACAAGGAGACGCTGCGCTACATCGGCACCAAACTGCCCGACAAGACCGTCGAGTTCCTGCAGGTTGGGAGGGGATTCCAGCCCCAAATCGGGATTTACAGCCCCAAATTGGGATTTACAGCCCTAAATCGGGATTTACAGCCCCAAATCGGGATTTACAGCCCTAAATCGGGATTTACAGCCCCAAATCGGGATTTACAGCCCCAAATTGGGATTTACAGCCCCAAATGGGGATTTACAGCCCCAAATGGGGATTTACAGCCCCAAATGGGGATTTACAGCCCCAAATCGGGATTTACAGCCCCAAATCGGGATTTACAGCCCCAAATGGGGATTTACAGCCCCAAATCGGGATTTACAGCCCCAGATCGGGATTTACGGCCCCAAATCGGGATTTACAGCCTTTTTTGGGGGGGATTTACAGCCCCAAATGGGGATTTACAGCCCTAAATCGGGATTTACAGCCCCAAATCGGGATTTACAGCCCCAAATGGGGATTTACAGCCCCAAATGGGGATTTACAGCCCCAAATTGGGATTTACAGCCCCAAATCGGGATTTACAGCCCCAAATGGGAATTTACAGCCACAAACTGGGATTTACAGCCACAAATGGGGATTTACAGCCACAAATTGGGATTTACAGCCCCAAATGGGGATTTACAGCCCCAAACTGGGATTTACAGCCCCAAATCGGGATTTACAGCCCCAAATTGGGATTTACAGCCCCAAACTGGGATTTACAGCCCCAAACTGGGATTTACAGCCCCAAACTGGGATTTACGGTCCCAGATTGGGATTTACAACCCCAAACTGGGATTTACAGCCCCAAACTGGGATTTACAGCCCCAAACTGGGATTTACGGCCCTGAATCGGGATTTACAGCCCCAAATGGGGATTTACAGCCCCAAATCACGATTTACAGCCCCAAATCGGGATTTACAGCCCAAACTGGGATTACAGCCCAAATCGGGATTTACGGCCCTGAATCGGGATTTACACGGGATTTACGGCCCCAAATTGGGATTTACAGCCCCAAATTGGGATTTACAACTCGGGATTTACAGGGATTTACAGCCCCAAACTGGGATTTACAGCCACAAATGGGGATTTACAGCCACAAATTGGGATTTACAGCCCCAAATGGGAATTTACAGCCACAAATCGGGATTTACAGCCCCAAATGGGGATTTACAGCCCCAAATCGGGATTTACAGCTCCAAATTGGGATTTACATCCCCATATCAGGATTTATGGCCCCAAATCGGGATTTACAGCTCCAAATTGGGATTTACAGCCCCAAATGGGGATTTACGGCCCCAAATGGGGATTTACAGCCCCAAATGGGGATTTACGGCCCCAAATTGGGATTTACAGCCCCAAACTGGGATTTACAGCCACAAATTGGGATTTACGGCCCCAAATGGGGATTTACAGCCCCAAACTGGGATTTACAGCCCCAAATGGGGATTTACGGCCCCAAATCGGGATTTACAGCCTTTTTTGGGGGGATTTTCAGCCTTAAATTGGGATTTACAGCCCCAAATTGGGATTTACAGCCCCAAATGGGGATTTACAGCCCCAAATCGGGATTTACAGCCCCAAATTGGAATTTGCAGCCTTTTTTGGGGGGATTCCAGCCCTAAATTGGGATTTGCAGCGTTTCTTGGGGGGGAATTCCAGCCTTAAATTGGGATTTTCAGCCTTCAGTTGGAATTTTCGGCCTTAAACTGGGGGGAATCCCAGCCCTAAATTGGGATTTTCAGCCTTTTTTTGGGGAATTTGAGCCTTAAATTGGGATTTTCAGCCTTTTTTGGGGGGGATTTTCAGTCTTAAATTGGGATTTACAGCCTTTTTTTAGGGGGGATTCCAGCCTGAAATTGGGATTTCCAGCCCTAAATTGGGATTTTCAGCCTTTTTTGGGGGGATTTTGAGCCTTCATTTGGGATTTCCAACCTTCATTTGGGATTTTCAGCCTTAAATTAGGATTTTCAACCTTCATTTGGGAATTCAATCCTTATGGTGGGAATTGCAGCCTTCAGTTGGGAATTCAAGCCTTAAAATGGGATTTTCGGCCTTAAGTTGGAAATTCCAGCCTTTTTTGGGAATCCCAACCTTCATTTGGGAATTCCAATTTGAGAATTCCAACCTCAAATTGGTATTTCCAGCCTTAATTTGGGATTTCCCAACTTTCATTTGCAGTTCTCAGGTTCAATATTTAGGATTTCCAGGCTGGCTTTTGGATTTCCAGGCTTAAGATTTGGGATTTTTTTTTTTTAGGGGCTGGATTTGGAATTTTTCCAGACTTCAATAATTGGGGATCCCAGGCTTTAAGAGCTGGGATTTTCAGGCTTGGATTTTGGATTGCCAGGCTGGATCTGGGATGTCCAGGCTTAAATTTGGGATATCCAGCTTTAATATTTTGCATTTCCAGGCTAGATTTGGGATTTCCAGCCTTAAATTTGGGATATTCACCCCCTTCCAGCCCCACTCCTTCACCACGTGGTTTTGGGGGTCATTTTCCAGGGATTTGGGGGGACATTTTTCAAGGATTGGGGGGAATTTCTCAAGGACTGGGATTTCTCAAGGACTGGGATTTTTCAGGGATTTGGGGGGGCATTTTTGAAAGGTTTGGGGCTGGTTTTCAACACTTTTTGGGAATTTTTTGAGGATTTGGGGCGTTTTCTGAGGATTTGGGGACATTTCTCAAGGATTTAGGGGCATTCCCTGAGGATTTGGGCACATTCCTCAAGGATTTGAGGGCATTCCCCAAGGATTTGAGGGCATTCCTCAAGGATTTGAGGGCATTCCCCAAGGATTTGAGGGCATTCCCCAAGGATCTGGGCCCATTCCCCAAGGATTTGGGCCCATTCCCCAAGGATTTGAGGGCATTCCCCAAGGATTTGGGCACATTTCCCAGTAATCTGGGCTCATTCCCCAAGGATTTGGGCACATTCCCCAAGGATTTGAGCACATTCCCCAAGGATTTTGGGCACATTCCCCAAGGATTTGAAGACATTTCCCAATAATTTGGGCCCATTCCCCAATGATTTGGGAGCATTCCCCAAGGATTTGGGCCCATTCCCCAGGGAATGTGCTGTTTCCCGGGCTCAGGCTCCCGTTTTTCCCCTCTTGGGATCGTCCCCGCTGTTGCTCCGGTGGCCGTGAGGGGACACCGGGATTGGAACCCCCCATTCCTGGTGTGGGGAAATTCCCAAGCAGCCCCTTCCCGGTGGGATTTCCGTCCTCCCGCAGGAATACATCGTCAACAGGAACAAGAAGATCGAGAAGCGGCGGCAGGAGCTGACGGAGAAGGAGGGCAGCAAACAGAAACCAGATCCCTTCAAGGGTGAGGGGCTTTTCCCAAGGGAATCCTCGGGAAGGCGGGAAAACCAACAAATCCCACTCCTGGGGAGCTGAGGAACCAGATCCCTTCAAGGGTGAGGGGCTTTTCCCAAGGGAATCCTCGGGAAGGAGCGGGAAAACCAACAAATCCCGCTCCTGAGGGAGCTGAGGAACCAGATCCCTTCAAGGGTGAGGGGCTTTTCCCAAGGGAATCCTCGGGAAGGAGCGGGAACACCAACAAATCCCGCTCCTGGGGGAGCTGAGGGACCAGGTCCCTTCAAGGGTGAGGGGCTTTTCCCAAGGGATTCCTTGGGAATGAGCGGGAAAACCAACAAATCCCGCTCCTGGGGGAGCTGAGGAACCAGATCCCTTCAAGGGTGAGGGGCTTTTCCCAAGGGAATCCTTGGGAATGAGCGGGAAAACCAACAAATCCTGCTCCAGGGGGAGCTGAGCAGGAATGAAAACGGAGGATTTGGGAAACTCGGCCCCGGGGGCCTGTCAGGGAATTTGGCAGCTGGAGGGGGATGGGAAGAGGGAATGGGAAGAGGGAATGGGAAGGGGATTGGGAAGAAGGAAGGGGATTGGGAAGACAAATGGGAAGGAGGAAGGGGAATGGGAAAGGGAATTGGAAGAAAGAAGGGGGAAGGGGAATGAGAAGAAGGAAGGGGAATGGGAAAAAAAGGTGGAATGGGAAGGAGGAAGGGGAAGGAGAAAGGGGAATGGGAAGAGGAAAGAGGGAAGGGGAAGAGGGAATGGGAAGAAGGAAGGGGGAATGGGAAGAAGGAAGGGGGAATGGGAAGAGAAATGGGAATTAGGAAGGGGAATGGGAAGTAGGAAGGGGGAATGGGAAGGGGAATGGGTAGAAGGAAGGAGAATGGGAAGAAAAGGGAGAAGGGGAATGGGAAGAAGGAGGGGGAATGGGAAGGAGGAAGGGGAAGGGGAAGGAGGAAAGGGAAGAAGGAAGGAGGAATGGGAAGAGAAATGGGAAGAAGGAAGGGGAAGGGGAATGGGAAGAAAAGGTGGAATGGGAAGGAGAAAGGGGAAGGAGAAAGGGGAATGGGAAGAAGGAAAGGGAATGGGAAGGAGGAAGGGGAAGGATCCTGCTCATCCTCACTGCAGATTGTGCAACATCAGAGGTACCAGTATCTTGGATTTTCAGGCCTAATATTTGGGATTTTCCAGGTTTAATATTATGCATTTCCGGGCCTGTGTTTGGGATTTTCCAGGCTTGATTTGGGGATTTTCCAGACTTAAATGTCTTGGATTTCCAGGCCTAATGTTTGGGATTTTTCAGTCTTATTTTGGGATTTTTAGGCTTAATATTTTGGATTTCCAGGCTTGATTTGGGATTTCCTGGCCTAATATTTTGTATATTTCCAGCCTTAATATGCGGAATTTTTCAAGCTTCATTTGGGATTTTCCAGGCTTATTATCTTGGATTTCCATGCCTAATGTTTGGGATTTTTCAGGCTTGATATTTTGGATTCCCAGGCCTTAATATTTGGGATTTTTCAGGCTTATTTTGGGGATTTTCCAGGCTTAATGTCTTGGATTTCCAGGCCTAATGTTTGGGATGTTTCAGGCTTGATTTGGGCATTTTCCAGGCTTGATATTTGGGATTCCCAGGCCTTGATGTTTGGGATTTCCAGGCTGGCTAAAGGGCTCTAAACCCTTCAGCAATTCAACCCCAGCCTAAAGAGGGAGCAGGAGCCACCCCAGCACCGGGAGAAGCTCCACAGTTTTGGGAATTTTGGGAAAACAGGGCAGGAAAACAGCCTTTGGAAGGGGGGAGGAGGGGGCTGTTTTCCCACCTCTCCTGCTGCTCCTGGATTATTCCAGAGTGGGATAACTCTGCTCCTGGTGTGGGGTGAATTCCGGTGGATTTGCTGTCCAGGAGGGAACGTGGGAATATCCAGGAATGGATCGGAAGGCGTCGTTTGGAGTCTCCAGACCCCAACTTTGGGTTTGTTTTTATTTTTTTCCTGGGATTTGGGGAGCAGGGATCGGGCAGGAGCATTTCTTCAAGAGGATCGAGGCAGCTCACTGCATGGCCTGTGACATGCTGATCCCGGCCCAGAACCACCTCCTGCAGAGGCACCTGCGCTCCGCCGACCACAACCGCAACCGCAGGGTGAGCCGGAGCCGCCGGAGCCTCCGGAGCCGCCGGAGCGCCGGGAATGCCGGGGGGAAGGGAGGGGGGCTCGGGGGGGGCTCCACAGCCCTCCTCGGGGCTGGGCAGGGCCTGGCCTTGCTTAGGGCAACGAAAAAGGGTGGAAAACAGGGAGAGGGGGTGGGAAAAGGGAGGTGGGAGCTTTGTTGGGGAGATTAAACGAGGTCCGTTCTCCCGGCGTTCCATGGGGAATGTGCCAAAATGCCGATGAGAACCGGCTTGGAGGGCATTGTGGGGAACTGATAATCAGTGTGGGGTCGATGGGTGAACTGGCCCAGGCTGGGAAGGGATTGGGATGCTGTGGGTGGGGACACGGGAATATCCCCTGGGGTGGCTTCGCCTCCAAGCACGTGACACCAGCACGTTATCCCAGCCTCCATCCCGTTATCCCGACCTCCATCCCGTTATCCTGGCCTCCATCCCGTTATCCCGGCCTCCATCCTGTTATCCCGGCCTCCATCCCATTATCCCAACCTCCATCCTGTTATCCCAGCCTCCATCCCTTTATCCCGACCTCCATCCCGTTATCCTGGCCCCTGTCCCGTTATCCCGGCCTCCATCCTGTTATCCCAACCTCCATCCCGTTATCCCGACCTCCATCCCGTTATCCCGGCCTCCATCCCTTTATCCCGACCTCCATCCCGTTATCCTGGCCTCCATCCCGTTATCCCGACCTCCATCCCGTTATCCCGACCTCCATCCTGTTATCCCGACCTCCATCCCGTTATCCCGGCCTCCATCCCGTTATCCCAGCCTCCGTCCCGTTATCCCGGCCTCCATCCCGTTTTCCTGGCCTCCATCCCGTTATCCCGGCCTCCATCCCATTATCCTGGCCTCCATCCCGTTATCCTGGCCTCCATCCCGTTATCCCGGCCTCCATCCCGTTATCCCAGCCTCCATCCCGTTATCCCGACCTCCATCCCATTATCCCGACCTCCATCCCGTTATCCCGACCTCCATCCCGTTATCCCAACCTCCATCCCGTTATCCCGACCTCAATCCCATTATCCCGACCTCCATCCCGTTATCCCGACCTCCATCCCGTTATCCCGGCCTCCATCCCGTTATCCCGGCCTCCATCCCGTTATCCTGGCCTCCATCCCGTTATCCCGACCTCCATCCCATTATCCCGGCCTCCATCCCGTTATCCCAGCCTCCATCCCGTTATCCCAACCTCCATCCTGTTATCCTGACCTCCATCCCATTATCCCGACCTCCATCCCATTATCCCATCCTCCATCCCGTTATCCCGACCTCCATCCCGTTATCCCAACCTCCATCCCGTTATCTCAACCTCGATCCCGTTATCCCAGCCTCTATCCCGTTATCCCAGCCTCCATCCCGTTATCCCAGCCTCTATCCCGTTATCCCAGCCTCCATCCCATTATCCCGACCTCGATCCCGTTATCCCGGCCTCTATCCCGTTATCCCAGCCTCCATCCCATTATCCCAACCTCGATCCCGTTATCCCAGCCTCCATCCCATTATCCCGACCTCGATCCCGTTATCCCGGCCTCTATCCCGTTATCCCAGCCTCCATCCCGTTATCCCGACCTCGATCCCGTTATCCCGGCCTCCATCCCGTTATCCCGGCCTCCATCCCGTTATCCCGGCCTCTATCCCGTTATCCCAGCCTCCATCCCATTATCCCGACCTCGATCCCGTTATCCCGGCCTCTATCCCGTTATCCCGGTCTCCATCCTGTTATCCCGGCCTCCATCCTGTTATCCCAGCCTCCATCCCATTATCCCGGCCTCCATCCCGTTATCCCGGCCTCCATCCCATTATCCCGGCCTCCATCCCATTATCCCGGCCTCCATCCCATTATCCCGGCCTCCATCCCATTATCCCGGCCTCCATCCCGTTATTCCAGCCTCCATCCCGTTATCCCGACCTCGATCCCGTTATCCCGACCTCCATCCCGTTATCCCGGCCTCCATCCCATTATCCCGGCCTCCATCCCGTTATCCCGACCTCCATCCTGTTATCCCGACCTCCATCCCGTTATCCCGGCCTCCATCCCGTTATCCCGACCTCCATCCCGGGATGTCTGGGGATGTTCAGCTGATCCACACCTTCCCCCGGGCTTTGTCTCAGTGCAAGCGAGGCAGGAGCTCAGTCCCCGTTTTGTGGGATGGCACAGCAGGGTCCCCAATCCTTGGGGAGGAGGAGGAGGAGGAGGGAACCCAAACTCCTGATCCCTTGGAATTCTCCCCCTCTGGACTCACCCCGTGCCCATCCCCCGCAGATGGCTGCGGAGCAGTTCAAGAAAACCAGTTTACACGTGGCCAAGAGCGTCCTGAACAACAAACACATCGTGAAGATGCTGGAAAAATACCTCAAGGTGAGCGCGGCCGAGCGGCGGCACCGAGCGCCGGCGGCAGCCTCGTCGTGCCCCCGGGCACCTTCCACTCGCTGCCTTCTCCTCCTGCAGTCCTGGAGTTCCTTCCTCTGCAGGTTTTAACCCCTCCTGGGGGATTTTGGGGGGATGTTTTGTCCCGTTGCTGCCCCCCCATCAGTCGGGCGCCTGTGCCGGGATCACAGCCCGGAAACAGGGACTGAACCAACCAAAACACCAAACCTGGAGCTGCCCAAAAACCCTTCCCCCCCGAGAGAGGTCTCTGGGTGGGGACACCACATTCCCTCATCCAGGAAGGGCAGGAGGATTCCTGCCAGGATTGGGTCCAACCCGGACGGCTCCCAACCCACCTGGACGGGAATTTCCCCCCATTTCCAGGGCCGGGGCAGCTCCAGGAGTGACGGAGCCCCCCGGGATCGGGACGTGGATCCCATTCCCGTGACAAACCCTCCCATTAACCCCCCCCCCCCTTTTTCCCTTCCCTTCCCTGGGGAAGGGGCGGAGCAGAGCCCGGCCGAGCTGCGGAGCGGCGACGGAGCGTGCGGAGGGCTCGGGATCGCCTGAGGCCTCGCCAGTGCTGGGAACGGCACTGGGAATGGTGCTGGGAATGGCACTGGGAATGGTGCTGGGAACAGCGCTGGGAATGGTGCTGGGAACAGCGCTGGGAACAGCAGGACGGAGCCGGGAAGGGCCAGCGGGGCCCTGGGAGCGCGGGGGGATCCCCCGCTCTGCAGGTGAATCCCGGTGGGTTTAACGGGCGACCGAGAGAGAGGAGAACTCGCCTCTTCCTCCTCCTCCTCCTCCTCCTCCTCCAGGCGAAGAGGAAAAGAAGCGCCTTTGGCTCCGCGTTGTTCCCCGGGAACGGCCCCGGATGCGGCAGGAGGACCCCGGTCTGCAGGCAGGGCCGGCAGGTGCCCACCGGTCCCCCTGGCACATGGGGGGGTTTGGCCCCATCCCAGCCAGAGGCGGCTCCCAGCGTGCCCAGGCTCTGCTAAACCCCCAAAACCAGGGAAAAGCTGTGACTCCAAACCTCTGGGTCCGGGGAAAAGGGATGTGGAGCGCAGAGTTGGCCGTGTAGGGTGGCCATGGTCCTGTTTTCCTGGTGTAGGATGGCCGTGTCATGTTATCCTGGTGTAGGATGGCTGTGTCCCATTATCCTGGTGTAGGATGGCTGTGTCCCATTATCCTGGTGTGGGATGGCAGTGTCCCGTTATCCTGGTGTGGGATGGCCATGTCCTGTTATCCTGGTATGGGATGGCAGTGTCCCGTTATCCTGGTGTAGGATGGCCATGTCCCATTATCCTGGCTTAGGAAAACCATGTCCTATTATCCTGGTGTAGGATGGCCATGTCCTGTTATCCTGGTATAGGATAACCATGTCCCATTATCCTGGTGTGGGATGGCAGTGTCCATGGGACACTGGGCAGTGTAGGGTGGCCATGTTCCTGTTATCCCAGCACAGGGTGGCTGTGTCCCTGTTATCCCAGTGTAGGATGGCTGTGACCACCATTATCCCGGTGTAGGATGATCACATTCCTGTTATCCCGGTGTAGGATGCCTCTGTTCCCATTATCCAAACACAGGGTGTCTGTGTTCCCGTTATCCCAGCACAGGATGACCATGTCCCTTTTATTCCAATGTAGGATGGCCATGTCCCTGTTAACACAGGACAGTCGTAGGATGTGACCAATGTCGGCTGGTTATCCCAATAGCACAGGATGGCCATGTCCTGTTATCCTAGCACAGGACAGTTGTATCCCATTATCCCAGCACAAGATGGCCATATCCTGTTATCCCAGCACAGGACAGTTGTATCCCATTATCCCAGCACAAGATGGCCATGTCCTGTTATCCCAACACAGGATGGCCATGTCCTGTTATCCCAACACAGGACAGTCATATCCCATTATCCCACCTCAGGATGGCCATATCCTCTTATCCCAGCACAGGACAGTTGTATCCCATTATCCCAGTGCAGGATGGCCATATCCTGTTATCCTAATGCAGGATGGCCATATCCTGTTATCCCAGCACAGGACAGTTGTATCCCATTATCCCAATGCAGGATGACCATGTCCTGTTATCCTAATGCAGGACATCCGTGTCCTGGTCCTGGCCTCTCACAGTTGGTGTAGGACGACCGTGTCCTGTTATCCCAAGGACAGCCATATCCCATTATGCCAATGCAGGACGGTCATATCCCGTTATCCCAACGCAGGACAGTCATGTCCCATTATCCCAACAGTGGATGGCCATGTCCTGTTATCCCAGTGACAAGTCTGTCCCATTATCCCAACACAGGACAGCCATATCCCGTTATCCCAACACAGGATGGCCATGTCCTGTTATCCCAATGACAACTATGTCCCATTATCCCAGCAGAGGATGGCCATATCCCATTATCCCAACACAGGATGGCCATGTCCCGTTATCCCAACAGTGGATGGCCATGTCCTTTTATCCCAATGACAACTATGTCCCATTATCCCAGCAGAGGATGGCCATATCCCATTATGCCAATGCAGGATGGTCATATCCTGTTATCCCAATGCAGGACAGTCATGTCCCATTATCCCAACACAGGATGGCCATATCCCGTTATCCCAATGCAGGACAGTCATGTCCAATTATCCCAACACAGGATGGCCATGTCCTGTTATCCCAACACAGGACAGTCATGTCCCGTTATCCCATCCCAGGACCTCCATGTCCCGTTCTCCTAGCCCAGGACCTCTGTGTCCTGTTCTCCCAGCCCAGGAGCTCCGTGTCCCGCTCCCGGCCTCTCATACTCGTTGATCCTGAGGGTGAGATCCACCCCTGCGGCACCCACGGAGAGAGCGCGGCCCTCGGGGCTCTCTCGGAGCAGAACCAGTTAAGAAACTGAAACTAAACCCCCCCAAAAAGACCGGGACCACTCAAGTGCAACTCCGTCTACCCCGCCAGGGTCCGCAGGCGCATCCACATCTCCTCTTGAGCAACGGTATCAGAGGCTCCGGCAGAGCTCCGGGCACCTGACCTTGGGCCAGCGCAGGAGGAGGGAGAGCTCCGGAGCCAGCCCAGCACGGTCTCCGTCTCATTCCCAGGTGCAAAGCCAGGCTGAAAAGGGGTGGAGGAAAATCTGAGGATTCCAGGTAATGCCAAGAGCCGGCCCTTCGCCATGACCGTGCCGGGCCGGCCGGAGGCCGGAGCCGCCGGGCGATGCCGACCCCAGGCTTGGCCGCAGCCGTAGATGACGATCCTTGACCGTCGGCCTGACGATTCCTCTCGGAGGGATGGCGGGACAGCCTCCACCGCGAGTGGGCTCCGCTCCCCCGGGAGATCCCGGACGTCGGGATGGCGGGGTCGGAGCCGCGGTCGCTCCGCTCCGTAGGGCGTCCGGAGACTCGGAACGTTGAGGTTTCTCCTCCACCTGCATGGATCTTCTCGCATGGAGCAGCCAGCTGGGCTGGCCCTGGATCGAGGCCGATCCCGGGGCGGGGTGGGGGTCCCGGAGAGCTTTGTCCTTCCCGCTTTCCGGAGGAAAAAAAGTAGCGCCATCCAAGCCCCTCCCGCCCTCGCCGTGGCGCGGCAGGGTCCGGGCGAGGCTCCGGTGAGGGGGCACATCCCAAAGCCGGGAATTCCGGGAGCTTTTGGGAGTCTGCGCTCCGCTTGCAGCCCGGCGGGCGCGCTGGGGCCGCGATCCCAGCCCGGCCCCTCCGAGCGCTCCCGGAACGGCCGCGGATCCCCCGGAGCGAGGGGAGCGGGGTCAGAACCCAACCTTAAACCGCCCGGAATCCCGAATTCCGGAGGGGCCTTGGTGTCCCTGGAGTCCTCAGATTCCCAAAAAGAGAGGTGACTCAAAGCCTGGCAGCGTCGCCGCCCCTTCCCGGCGCCCGGAGCCGCAGGGGTGAGGAATTCCTGTGGACTTTGGTTAAACCCAAATTCCTGGCGGGACGAGGCGCGGCCCCGGAGCCCGCTGGGCCCGTCCCGGATCTGGTCCCGTCCCGGACCTGGGCTCACCGACTCAGTCCAGGCCTGGGGGTCGCCTTTCCCGGGGGCTCTTCCCTCGCTGCGAATCCTTCGGGATTATCCTGGCGGATCCTTTTGTTTTCCACCGCTTTAAAGGCTCGTCCGGCGCCGCTTCCTCGGTGGCCGCAACGAGCCCGTCCCGCGTTTTCCCGGCGGAGCCGCCCGGCCCTGGGGCGGCTCTGTGACCGTCCGTGTGTCCCCCGTGTTTTCCCGCAGGGGGAGGACCCGTTCACGGATGAGATCGCGGATCAGGACGTGGACGAGGCTCTGGAAGGCGGCGACGGCGCCGAGCAGAGAGCGAGCGAAGAAGCCGCGGCCGCCCAGGCAGGGGAAGGGGAAGGAGAAGGAGAAGGAGCCGCCGGGGCCACCGAGGAAGCGGGAGGAGCTTCCCAGGAGTTCTCCAAACCCGAGGAATTCCTCAAAAACCTGGGAGAGCAGGACCAGCCCCCCAAGCCGCTGCTGATGCCGCCGTTCCTGCAGGACGACGAGCTGGAGGCCGAGGAGGCGCCTTCGGAAGAGCCGCCCGCGGGGCCCCGAGAGCCCCAAGAATCGGGGCTTTCACCCCAAAATCAAACTGAGGGGCGGGCAGGGAAGGAGGGGGAGGAAGAGGAGGAAAGTGGGAATAAAGCAGCGGCCACGGGCAGCGAGGAACAGCAGCGGGAGGAGGAGGAGGAGGAGGAAGAGGCTCCGGCGGCTGCGGAGCCACAGCCCGAAGAACTGTGAATATTCCAGCCAAGGTGAGGGGCTGAGCCCTGATTTTTAAGTTATTTTATGATGTTTTTTTAAAATTAACTTAATATTATTTATTAATAACTTATTGTAATTTATTTTTGTTTTGTTATTTTGTTTTAATTTTAACTGAATATTATTTACCTCAGAGGTGACATTTTGGGGTCTGACGAAGGGGAGGGCCCCGGAGCTGCCCCCACTTTGCCTCATTCCCCGTGGGTTTTTCCCTTCATTTCTTCCACTTGTGGTTTCTCCCTCCAGGATGAAGAAACGCAGGAAGGCAGAGATTGTCCAAGGAAAACCCCCCGGCTGCGGTTGGGGGGGAATTGTAGGAAGAAAAAGGCAAAAAAAAAATTAAAAATAATTAAAAAAAAATTAAAAAAAAACCAAGTTGAGGTTTGGAAAAACAAAACCAATAAAAGGCAGCGATTGGATCCCGGCGGCTCCGTGGGTTTGGTGCTTCCCTCCTCCCCAAATCCTCCACTCAGGGAAGGCTTTCATGGTTATTTCACAGAAAGGGGAATTTTTTCACTTGAGAAAGGCGTTGATTTTCATTCTCCTCGTTAACAGGTGATAATTTGGGGCAGTAATTAAGTTTTTCGGGAATAATTCGACTCTAACGGGGCATTTACGTGAAGTTCATTTTCCCCCCAAATCCCTTTTCCAGCAGGATTTGCAGGTTCCAGCCACCTCCTCCCTGTCCAACCCCCTTTCCCCAAGGATTCCCCAAAAAGAAGGAATGATTTGGGATTTGTCAGGGGCCACCGGTGAGGTTGGATGTGGAGTAAATTCTTTGGGTTTTTTTTTACCAAATCATCCTTTTTTCACCCCCAAAATCCCCTTTAAGTCACATTTATAGGCCAAAAATGAGAATATTTATAACGGCCCCCCCATTTGTGCAGCGAGTTCAGCCCCCCCAGCATGGGGAGGATTTGGGGGTGATGGTTGTTTTTGGGGGGTCAGGGGGAGCAGGATGGGGGGCTCTGGGTGGGCCCCCCACCCCAGTGATGTCACAGCAACAGAGCACTGCCCTAGAGCCCCCCAATGTGCCCCCAGAGCCCCCAATGTGCCCCCAGAGCCCCCCCGTGCTCTGCACCCCTGTGGGGTGTGTGACCTCTCCTACTGCACCCCCATATCCCCTCAGCGCCTCCTCCCCCATGTTTTGCAGCCCCTGATGTCCCCCCATTAATTGCCCCTGACCCCCCCATCACCCTCAGGGTGCCCCCAGTGCCCTCCCCCATTCTCTGCCCCCTGTGCCCACCCCACGCACCAGAACCCCCTGGGACCCCCATGGACCCCCTCCTCCATCCATTACACCCCGGTACACCCCCAGTTGTCCCCCCAGTGCCCGCCGACCTCTCCCCACGCTCTGCCCCGGGAGCCCCTGCTGGGACCCCCACCGCCCCTCCGTGGAACCCTCCGGTACCTCCACCTCCCATTACACCCTGGACCCCCAACGGTGCCCCCAACCCCCCTTGGCACCTCCTTGGAAGCCGTCCGGGTGTTCCCCTTCCCAGTGCCCCCCAGGTGACCCTGGGATTGCCCCTGGTGCCCCCACACCCGTTACACCTGGTACTCTCCGGGTCCCCCTGGTGCCCCTGGAGCCACCCGGTGCTTCCCCTACAACTCCCCTCCCATCACACCCCGGTCCCCCTCCTGGGACCCCCCAAAACTGACCCCTTCCCGCCCGTTACACACCCCGGTGCCCCCCCGGTGCCCCCTCCCGTGACACCCTGGTGCCCCCTGGTGCCCCCTGGACGCACCCGGTGCCCTCCTCCTCGCCCGGTGTCCCTGCCGGTGTCCCCTCCCTTCCAGTGCCCCTCCCCAGTACACCCTGGGACCCCTCCCGGTGTCCCCCTGAACTCCCCTGTCCGGTTTTCCCCCGCGGTGTCCCCTCACTCGTCCTCACACCCCGGTGTCGCGCCCGGTACTCCCCCGTTACACCTCGGTGCGTCCCCCGGTGTCCCTCTCTCTCCCGGTGTCCCCCCGGTGTCCCCCCAATCTCCCGGTTCCTCCACACCGGTGCTCCCCGCCGTGCATCACACACCGCTGTCCCCTCCCTCTCGGTTCCCCCCGCGGTGTCCCCCTCTCTATGCCGGTGTCCCCCCGGTGTCCCTCTCCCTCCCGGTGTCCCTCTCTCTCTCTCCCGGTGTCCCCCCCCCTCTCACTCCGGTATCCCCTCTCTCTCCCGGTGTCCCTTTCTCTCCTGGTGTCCCCCTCTCCCTCTCTCCCGGTGTCCCTCTCCCTCCCGGTGTCCGTCTCCCTCTCCCGGTGTCCCTTTCTCTCCTGGTGTCCCCCCCTCTCTCTCCCGGTGTCCCCGTCCCTCCCTCCCGTTTCCCCCGCGGTGTCCCCCTCTCTATCCTGGTGTCCCTCTCCCTGTCCCGGTGTCCCCCTCTCTCTCCCGCTTTCCCCGCAGTGTCCCTCTCTCGCCCGGTGTCCCCTTCTCTCTCCGGGTGTCCCCTCGCTCCCTCCCGGTTCCTCCCGCGGTGTCCCCCTCTCTCTCCCTCCCGGTGTCCCCCTGGTGTCCCTCTCCCTCTCCCGGTGTCCCTTTCTCTCCTGGTGTCCCCCCGGTGTCCCTGTCTCTCTCTCCCGGTGTCCCCGCGGTGTCCCTCCCTCTCCCGGTGTCCCTTTCTCTCCCGGTGTCCCCTCCCCCTCTCCCGGTGTCCCCCCCTCTCTCTCCTGGTGTCCCTCTCTCTCTCTCCTGGTGTCCCCGCGGTGTCCGTCTCCCTCTCCCGGTGTCCCCTCCTTCTCTCCCGGTGTCCCCCCGCGGTGTCCCCCCCTCTCTCTCCCGGTGTCCCCCTCTCTCCCTCTCCCGGTGTCCCCTCCCTCTCTCCCGGTTCCCTCCGCGGTGTCCCCCCCTCTCTCTCCCGGTGTCCCCCTCTCTCCCTCTCCCGGTGTCCCCTCCCTCTCTCCCGGTTCCCTCCGCGGTGTCCCCCCTTGTGACGTCACCGCTCGGGGCGCGGCGGTCCCGGCGGGGGAAGGGGCGTGTCCCCAGCGCCGTGACGTCACGCGCAGCGCGGTGAGGTCAGCGCGGCGCCGCTGCCGGACCCGCTGCCCCTCGGTGCCCGCGGCCCCCCCGCCCCTCCCCTCCCTCCTCCTCCTCCTCCTCCTCCTCCTCCTCCTCCTCCTCCTCCGCCCCCCGCGCCGCCCCCGGCCCTGCGCGGGACCCCCGCGGGTGCGCGGCGGGAGGGCGGCTCGCCCTGCCCGGCCCGGCCCCGGCCCGGCCCCTCAGGTAGAGCAGGGCCGCGGGCGCGGCGGGAAGGAGGGCCAGGCCGGGCCGGGCCGGGCGGGTGTGGCGGCCCGTGAGGGGTGTCCGTGTGTCTGTCCGTGTGTCCGTCCGTCCGTCTGTCTGTCTGTGTGTGTGTGAGGGGCGGGGGGGCCGCCGCGATTCCCGAAGGCCGCGAACGCCGCCCCGCCGGCGTCACCCGCATTGCGTAAATGCGGCCGCGTCGGGGCGGCTGCGCCGGCGGCGTAACCTGCGCTCTACTCCCCCCCGTCCCCTCACACCGCCCCTCACGCCAAGGGTCCGGGGCGGCTGCGCCGGCGGCGTAACCTGCGCTCCGCTCCCCCCTCCCGTTCCCCCTCCCCTCACACCGCCACTCAGCCAGGGGTGCGGAACCTGCGCTCTGCTCCTCACACACCGCCCCTCACGCCAAGGGTGCGGAACCTGCGCTCTGCTCCCCACACACCGCCCCTCACGCCAAGGGTCCGGGGCGGCTGCACCGGCGGCGTAACCTGCGCTCCGCTCCCCCCTCCCGTTCCCCCTCCCCACACACCGCCCCTCACGCCGGGGGTGCGGAACCTGCGCTCTGCTCCCCACACACACCGCCCTTCACGCCAGGGGTGCAGGGCCGGTCACGCTCCGGGCGGGAAGGGGGGTTCGTTCTGCCGCAATCCCGGCCGGGGGACGCGCGGGCAGTACGCGGGGGGTGTCTCCGTTTTTATCAGGGGATAGAGGGGGGTGTCCGGTGCGGCGGCGGGCGGGGGGAGCGCCCCCCGCGCTGGGCCGGCGGGGTTACGCCGTTTGCGTAGCGCTGAGGCGGCGCTGCGCACTTGGCGTAGGGCGGGGCCGCGCTGCGCCGTTCGCGTAGCGTCCCCTCCGCTCCACCGTGCGCAATCTGCGTAAACCCCCGTGCGCTCCACCGTGCGCAATTTGCGTAAACCCCCGTGCGCGCCACCGTGCGCAATCTGCGTAAACCCCCGTGCGCTCCCGCTACGCGATCTGCGTAACCCTCCGGTGCTGGACCGCGCGCAATTTGCGTAAAGCCTTCCCGTCGCCTTACGCGATGCGCGGAAGCTTCTCTCCGCTGCACCGTACGCAGTTTGCGTGGGCCCCTTAATGCTGCACCGTACGCAGTTTGCGTGGACCCCTGTCCGCTGCACCGTACGCAGTTTGCGTAAACCCCGTACGCAGTTTGCGTAAGCCGCTGTTCCTGCACCGTACGCCGTTTCCGTGATCCGCTGTCCCTGCACCGTACGCAATTTCCTTGACCCGCTATTCGCTCCACCGTACGCCGTTTCCGTAACCCTCTATCCACTCCCCCGTACGCCGTTTCCGTAACCCGCTATGCACTCCACCGTACGCCGTTTGCGCAAACCGCTCCGCTCCGCTTACGCCATTTGCGCAGCGCCGGGGCCGCCGTGCTCGGGGCGGGGCGGGGCGGAGGCGGGGCCTGCCCCGTACGCGGCTGGCGCAGCGCGGGGCGGGGCCGGCGCGCGGGGGGCACTTCCTGCCGCCGCCATTTTGTGGCGGAGCGGGAGGAAGCGGCGGCCGCGGCGGCTCCGGCGGCTCCTCCTGAGCGGCGGCTCCTCCTGCTCCCCCTGCTGCTCCCGCCGCTCCTCCGGCTCCTCCGGCAGCGCCGGCACGGCCCGCGGTGAGTCGGTCCCGGCCGCGCCGCTCCCCCGGCGCCGCCGCTCCCGTGAAGGCCCAGCCCGCTCTTCCCCAACCCCGTTAAGGCCCAGCCCGCTCCTTCCCCACCCCCCTCTTCGCTCCAGCCCCGTTAGGCCCAGCCCGCTCCTCCCCTCACCCCCTTCCCCCCTTAGGCCCGGACCGAGCCCCGTTAGGCCCGGGCGGCCCTCGGCGTGAGGGGAGGGCGGGCCGGGGGTGGCCTTGGCGGGGGAGCGGCCCCTGAGGCGCCGCCGCTCCGGGGCCGTCCCGGGGCCCTGCCGGGCCCGGCCGCGCCGCCGCCCCCGGGGGGTTTGACCTTCCCTCTCCCATCCTGAGCGTTCTGCGCCGCTCCTCGGGAATTCCAGCGCTGGGAAGGATCGGCTCTGCCCAAAGGGGGAATCTCGACCCGCTCGCGGCGGGGTTGGGGTGGGAAGGGGCGCCCTGCGGGTGTCCCCGGGGGGTGTTTTGGGGTGACAGGGACTCCTGGGTGCTGCCGGGGTTTAGGGGGACAGGGGTACCCCTGGGGGTGTTCCCGCTTGTTTTGGGGTTGGGAAGGGGACTCTGGGGGTGTTTTGGGGTGACAGGGACACCCCGGGTCCTGCCGGGGTTTTAGGGGGACAGGGGCATCCTGGGAGTATCCTGGTATTTTGGGGTGGGAACAGGACCCTGGGGGTGTTTTGGGGGGACAGGGGGACCCTGAGGGTGACCCTGGGGGTGTTGGGGTGACAGGGGCACCCCGGATTCTGCTGGGGGAGTTCCTGCTGTTTTGGGGTCACAGCGGGTCCTTCGGGGGTGTCCCCACGCGTTTTGGGGTTGCAGGGGGTCCCTGGGGGTTTTCCTGGGGGGGTTTTGGGGTGACAAGGGGTCCTCGGGGGTGTCCCCGTGTGTTTTGGGGTGACAAGGGGTCCCTGGGGGTTTTCCTGGGGTTTTTGGGGTGACAAGGGGTCCATGGGGGTGTTCCCGGGTTTTTGGGATGACAGAGGGTCCTCAGGGGTGTCCCCACATGTTTTGGGGTGACAGCGGGTCCCTCGGGGTGTCCCTACGTGTTTTGGGGTGACGGTCCCTGGGGGTGTTTTGGGGGTGCCAGGAGGTCTCTGGGGGTGTTCCCGAGGTTTTGGGGATGGCAGAGGGTCCCTGTGGTGTCCCCACATGTTTTGGGGTGACAGGGGGTCCCTGGGGGTGTTCCCGGAATTTGTGGGATGACAACGGCACCCTGGGGGTGTCCCCCGTGTTTTGGGGTGACAGGGGGTCCCTGGGGGTGTTTCTGGGGTGACAGGGGGTCCCTGGGGATGTCCCCTCATATTTTGGGGTGACAGGGGGTCCCTGGGGGTGTTTTTGGGGTGACAGGGGGTCCCTGGGGGTGTTTTTGGGGGACAAGGGGTCCCTGAGGGTGTTTTTGGGGTGACAAGGGGTCCCTGAGGGTGTTTTTGGGGTGACAGGGGGTCCCAGGGGGTGTTTTTGAGGTGACAGGGGGTCCCTGGGGATGTCCCCCCATGTTCTGGGCCATGCAGGGGGGTCCCTGGGGGTTTTGGGGTGCCCCCCTGAGCTGTCACCCCCATTTGGGGCTGGGAGAGCTGCAAGTGGGGGTTGTGTTTGTTGTGCCTCAGCAGCTCCACGTGCAGGTGGTTAATTAACCCCACAACAATTAACGGCACAGCCCCTTCCCCCCTTCCCTGGGCTCTCATCTCCCAAATGCCCCCCCAAAACTTCCCCCCTGCCCATTATCCCAAGGAAGTTCCAGCCCTCCCTGCCGTCATTCCAGGCCGGTTTTCCCAGGAGGAACTCCTGCCAGCCCCGTTATCCCCCGGATCCAGGGGCTGGGCGGGGAGCAGCTCGTTAATTGGGGTGTTAATTGGGGTGAAGGGACCCCCCCGTGGGAGCTGCTGGGGGGGGTTGTTGGTTCCTGGGGTTGGGAGGAGCGGCGGCTGGAGGAGTTTGGGGGGCTTGGAGCATCCTCTGTCAGAGTTTGGGGTGGTTGGAGCATCCTCTGTCAGAGTTTGGGGGGGTTTGAGCATCCTCTGTCACAGTTTGGGGGGGTTGGAGCATCCTCTGTCAGAGTTTGGGGGGGTTTGGAGCATCCTCTGTCAGAGTTTGGGGTGGTTGGAGCATCCTCTGTCAGAGTTTGGGGTGGTTTGAGCATCCTCTGTCAGGGTTTGGGATGGTTAAAAAATCCTTTGTCAAAGTTTGGGGTGGTTTGAGCATCATCTCTCAGTGTTTGGGGTTGTTTAAAATTCCCTTGTTGATGTTTGGGGTGGGTGAAAAGTCGTTTGTCAAAATTTGGGGTGGTTTGATCACTGTTTCCCACAGTTTTGGGGTGGTTTGAGCATCATTTCCTGAAGTTTTGGGGTGGTTTGAGCATCCTCTGTCAGAGTTTGGGGTTGTTTAAAAATTCTTTGTCACAGTTTGGGGTGGTTTGGTTGTTGTTTCCCACAGTTTTGAGGTGGTTTGAGCATCTTCTGTCAGAGTTTGGGGTGGTTTGAGCATCCTCTGTCACAGTTTGGGGTGGTTTGAATATCATCTGTCAGGGTTTGGGATGGTTAAAAAATCCTTTGTCGAAGTTTGGGGTGGTTTGAGCATCATCTCTCAGTGTTTGGGGTTGTTTAAAATTCCCTTGTTGATGTTTGGGGTGGTTGAAAAGTCGTTTGTCAAATTTTGGGGTGGTTTGATCACTGTTTCCCACAGTTTTGGGGTGGTTTGAGCATCTTCTGTCAGAGTTTGGGGGGTTGGAGCATCATTTCCTAAAGTTTTGGGGTGGTTTGAGCATCGTCTGTCAGAGTTTGGGGTTGTTTAAAAATTCTTTGTCACAGTTTGGGGTGGTTTGGTTGTCATTTCCCACAGTTTTGGAGTGGTTTGAGCATCGTTTCCCAAAGTTTGGGGTCGTTGAAAAGTCATTTATCAAAGTTTGGGGTGGTTTGATGGTTGTTTCCCACGGTTTGGGGGTGGTTTGAGTGTTGTCTGTCAACGTTTGGGGTGGTTTGGTTGTTGTTTCCCGCAGTTTGGGGGTGTTTGGAGCATCGTCTGTCGAAGTTTGGGGTGGTTTAAAAACCCCTTGTCAAAGTTTGGGGTGGTTGAAAAGTCATTTGTCAAAGTTAGGGGTGGTTTGATCATTGTTTCCCACAGTTTTGGGGTGGTGTGAATGTTGTCTGTCAAAGTTTGGGGTAGTTTGAGCATCATTTCCTGAAGTTTTGGGGTGGTTTGAGCATCCTCTGTCACAGTTTGGGGTGGTTTAAAAATCCTTTGTCAAAGGTTGGGGTGATGTGGTTGTTGTTTTCCACAGGTTTGGGGTGCTTTGAGCATCATCTGTCAGAGTTTGGGGTGCTTTGAGCGTCATCTGTCAGAGTTTTGGGGTGGTTTGAGCATCCTCTGTCAGAGTTGGGGTGGTTTAAAAATCTTTTGTCCAAGTTTGGGGTGGTTTGGTTGTTGTTTCCTGCAGTTTTGGGGTGGTTGGAGCATCATCTGTCAACGTTTGGGGTGGTTTAAAAACCCCTTGTCAAAGTTTGGGGTGGTTTAAAAACCCCTTGTCAAAGTTTGGGGTGGTTTAAAAACCCCTTGTCAAAGTTTGGGGTGGTTTAAAAACCCCTTGTCAAAGTTTGAGGTGGTTGAAAAGTCATTTGTCAAAATTTGGGGTGGTTTGAGCATCATTTCCCACAGTTTTGGGGTGGTTTGAGCATCCTCTGTCACAGTTTAGGGTTGTTTAAAAATCCTTCATTTAGGAAATCTTCGTTTCCCACAGTTTTGGGGTGGTTTGAGCATCATTTCCCACAGTTTTTGGGGTGGTTGGAGCATCATCTGTCAGAGTTTGGGGTTGTTTAAAAATCCTTTGTCAGAATTTGGGGTGGTTTGGTTGTTGTTTCCCACAGTTTTGGGGTGGTTTGAGCATCCTCTGTCAGAGTTTGGGGTGGTTGGAGCATCCTCTGTCACAGTTTAGGGTTGTTTAAAAATCCTTCATTTAGGAAATCTTCGTTTCCCACAGTTTTGGGGTGGTTTGAGCATCATTTTCCGCAGTTTTTGGGGTGGTTGGAGCATCATCTGTCAGAGTTTGGGGTTGTTTAAAAATCCTTTGTCAGAATTTGGGGTGGTTTGGTTGTTGTTTCCCACAGTTTTGGGGTGGTTTGAGCATCCTCTGTCAGAGTTTGGGGTGGTTGGAGCATCCTCTGTCACAGTTTAGGGTTGTTTAAAAATCCTTCATTTAGGAAATCTTCGTTTCCCACAGTTTTGGGGTGGTTTGAGCATCATTTCCCACAGTTTTGGGGTGGTTGGAGCATCGTCTGTCAGAGTTTGGGGTGGTTTGAGCGTCATCTGTCAAAGTTTTGGGGTGGTTTGAGCATCCTCTGTCAGAGTTTGGGGTGGTTTGAGCATCATCTATCAGTGTTTGGGGTTGTTTAAAATTCCCTTGTTGATGTTTGGGGTGGGTGAAAAGTCGTTTGTCAAAATTTGGGGTGGTTTGATCGCTGTTTCTCACAGTTTTGGGGTGGTTGGAGCATCTTCTGTCAGAGTTTGGGGTGGTTTAAAAATCCTTTGTCAGAGTTTGGGGTGATGTGGTTGTTGTTTTCCACAGGCTTGGGGTGGTTTGAGCATCCTCTGTCAGAGTTTGGGGTGGTTTGGTTGTTGTTTCCCCCAGTTTTGGGGTGGTTTGAGCATCGTTTCCCAAAGTTTGGAGTCACTGAAAAGTAGTTTGTCAAAATTTGGGGAGGTTTGAGCATCATTTCCCACAGTTTGGGGTTGTTTGAGCCTCATCTGTCAGAGTTTTGGGGGGTTTAGGAATTGTCTGTCAGAGTTTGGGGGGCTTTAAAAACCCTTTGTCAAAGTTTGGGGTAGTTTGATGGTTTTTCCCACAGTTTTGGGGTGGTTTGAGCGTCGTTTCCCAAAGTTTGGGGTTGTTTAAAAATCCTTTGTCAAAGTTTGGGGTGGTTTGGTTGTTGTTTCCTGAAGTTTTGGGGTGGTTTGAACATCGTCTGTCAAAGTCTGGGGAGGTTTGAGCATCATTTCCTGAAGTTTTGGGGTGGTTTGAGCATCATCTGTCGCAGTTCAGGGTGGTTTAAAAATCCTTTGTTTAGGAAATCCTTGTTTCCCAAAATTTTGGGTGGTTTGAGCATCCTCTGTCAGAGTTTGGGGTGGTTTGGTTGTTGTTTCCCCCAGTTTTGGGGTGGTTTGAGCATCGTTTCCCAAAATTTGGAGTCACTGAAAAGTAGTTTGTCAAAATTTGGGGAGGTTTTAGCATCATTTCCCACAGTTTTGGGGGGGTTTGAACATCGTTTGTCAAAGTTTGGGATGGTTTGAGCATCGTTTCCCACAGTTTTGGGGTGGTTGGAGCATCGTCTGTCAAAGTTTTGGGTTGTTTGAGCCTCATCTGTCAGAGTTTGGGGTTGTTTAAAAATCACTTGTCCAGGTTTGGGGTGGTTTGGTTTTTGTTTCCTGAAGTTTTGGGGTGGTTGGAGCATCCTCTGTCACAGTTTGGGGTTGTTTAAAAGTTCCTTGTCAAAGTTTGGGGTAGTTTGATGGTTGTTCCCACAGTTTTGGGGTCGTTTGAGCATCATTTCCCAAAGTTTGGGGTTGTTTAAAAATCCCTTGTCAAAGTTTTGGGGTGGTTTGGTTGTTGTTTGCCACAGTTTGGGGTGCTTTGAGCGTCGTTTCCCACAGTTTTGGGGTGCTTTGAGCGTCGTTTCCCGCAGTTTTGGGGTCGTTGAAAAGTCATTTATCAAAGTTTGGGGTGGTTTGATCGTTGTTTCCCACAGTTTTGGGGTGGTTGGAGCATCGTCTGTCAAAGTTCAGGGCTTTAGATCGTTACTTCCTGAACTTTTAGGGCTCTTTGATTTTTGCTTCCCAACTTTTTGGGACTGTTTGGTCGTTATTTCCCAAACTTTTGGGGCCATTTGTTGTTTGTTTCCCAATTTTTGTGGCTGTTTGGTCCTTGTTTCCCAAACTTTTGAGGCTGTTTGATTTTTGCTTCCCAAACTTTTGGGGCTGTTTGATTTTTGCTTCCCAAACTTTTGGGGCTGTTTGATTTTTGCTTCCCAAATTTTGGGGCGGTTTGGTCGTTGTTTCCCAATCTTTGGGGCTACTCCTGGGAATGTTTGGATCAACCTCAGGAACTCCCTGGATGAGGGAGAGGAATTCCCACCCTGGCCTGGCCGGAATTCCACCCCCAAAAGTGGGAAAATCGGCTTTTCCTCCTTGTTTTATCCCCCAGAGCCGGGTGAGGGGAGGTGACTCCGTGATCCCAAATCCCAGAATCCCAGGGTGTTGACAGGGAAAGCAGGAATTGTCCAGAGGCTGGAAGAGTTGGGATCCATCCCACTTGGAATCCTCCTGGTCATTCCCATCCCCAAAATCCCCTTTATTGGGTTGGGTTTGGTCCCTGCCGGAGCCTCCCAACATCCCCTGCTCCCGTTCCGGGGGAAATTGGGAATTGCTTCCCAGGCTGGTGATTCCAAAGGGCTGGATGGGGCTCAGGAATGTCAAACATTTGTTTGCAGGGAGATGTTTCATCTTTACCTCCCCCACATTCCCGGGAAATCCAGGGAATTGTGGTCCCTGCTGAGGGCAGGAATCCCGGGAATTGTGGTCCCTGATAGGGGCAGGAATCCCAGGAATTGTGGTCCCTGATAGGGCAGGAATCCCGGGAATTGTGGTCCCTGATAGGGGCAGGAATCCCAGGAATTGTGGTCCCTGCTGAGGGCAGGAATCCCGGGAATTGTGGTCCCTGATAGGGGCAGGAATCCCAGGAATTGTGGTCCCTGATAGGGTCAGGAATCCCAGGAATTGTGGTCCCTGCTGAGGGCAGGAATCTCAGGAATTGTGGTCCCTGATAGGGCAGGAATCCTGGGAATTGTGGTCCCTGATAGGGGCAGGAATCCCGGGAATTGTGATCCCTGATAATGGCAGGAATCCCGGGAATTGTGGTCCCTGATAGGGGCAGGAATCCCGGGAATTGTGGTCCCTGATAGGGCAGGAATCCCGGGAATTGTGGTCCCTGATAGGGGCAGGAATCCCGGGAATTGTGGTCCCTGATAGGGGCAGGAATCCTGGGAATTGTGGTCCCTGATAGGGGCAGGAATCCCGGGAATTGTGGTCCCTGATAGGGGCAGGAATCCCGGGAATTGTGGCCTCCTGAGCTGAAATCCCACGGGAAAATGGTGGCTCCCATTGGGAATTCTGGGATCCATCCCCGTCCCGCTGGAGAGGGGTTGGAATCCACCTTTAATCTGTGTTTTTCCTGCTAAAAAATCCAGGGAATTGGAGCCTGGGGGAGCTGGGAGTGGGTTGGGATATCCCTGGGATTCAGGAACTTTCCCATCCCCCCATCCCAAAACCTTCGGAGCCATCCCAGGATTTTCCCCTGGGATTGGGAGGGGGATCCCAGCTGGGGGTGCATCCCAAATCCTGGCCCTTCCCATGGAAAACTCCCAAAGAAATTCCCTCAACTGGGTTTGGGAAAACCCTGGATCCATCCCAGCACCGGGAGAGGGGATTGGAATCCTCTGGAGAAGGAATTCACCTGGAAAAGGGGATTGGAATCCCTCTGGAAAAGGAATTTACCTGGAAAAGAGGATTGGAATCTCTCTGGAGAAGGAATTCACCTGGAAAAGGGGATTGGAATCCCTTTGGAAAAGGAATTTACCTGGAAAAGGGGATTGAATCTTTTGGAAACGGAATTCACCTGGAAAAGGGGATTGGAATCTCTCTGGAAAAGGAATTTACCTGGAAAAGGGGATTGGAATCTCTCTGGAAAAGGAATTTACCTGGAAAAGGGGATTGGAATCTTTTGGAAAAGGAATTTACCTGGAAAAGGGGATTGGAATCTCTCTGGAAAAGGAATTTACCTGGAAAAAGGGATTGGAATCCTTTGGAAAAGGAATTTACCTGGAAAAGGGATTGGAATCCTTTAGAAAAGGAATTTACCTGGAAAAGGGGATTGGAATCTCTCTGGAGAAGGAATTCACCTGGAAGAGGGGATTGGAACCCTCTGGAAAAGGAATTTACCTGGAAAAGGGGATTGGAATCCCTCTGGAAAAGGAATTCACCTGGAAAAGGGGATTGGAACCCTCTGGAAAAGGAATTTACCTGGAAAAGAGATTGGAATCTTTTGGAAAAGGAATTTACCTGGAAAAGGAGATTGGAATCTTTTGGAAACGGAATTCACCTGGAAAAGGGGATTGGAATCTTCTGGAAAAGGAATTTATCTGGAAAAGGGGATTGGAATCTTTTGGAAAAGGAATTCACCGGGAAAAGGGGATTGGAATCCCTCTGGAAAAGGAATTTACCTGGAAAAGGGGATTGGAATCTTCTGGAAAAGGAATTCACCTGGAAAAGGGGATTGGAATCTCTCTGGAGAAGGAATTTGCCTGGAAAAGGGGATTGGAATCTTCTGGAAAAGGAATTTACCTGGAAAAGGGGATTGGAATCCTTTGGAAAAGGAATTCACCTGGAAAAGGGGATTGGAATCTCTCTGGAAAAGGGGATTGGAATCTCTCTGGAGAAGGAATTTACCTGGAAAAGGGGCTTGGAATCTTTTGGAAAAGGAATTTACCTGGAAAAGGGGATTGGAATCTCTCTGGAAAAGGAATTTACCTGGAAAAGGGGATTGGAATCTCTCTGGAAAAGGAATTTACCTGGAAAGAGATTGGAATCTTCTGGAAAAGGAATTTACCTGGAAAAGGGGATTGGAATCCTCTGGAAAAGGAATTTACCTGGAAAAGGGGATTGGAATCTTTTGGAAAAGGAATTTACCTGGAAAAGGGGCTCGAGTTCCTTTAAATATCCCTTGGGATTTACCAAAGGAAAAGGGATTGGAATCCTCTGGAAAAGGATGTGGGAACTCCTTGGAAAAGCGGCAGCCCCGAGGATTTGAGGGCGTTCCAGTCCCTTTTCCCGGATGTTTTGGAGCTTCCCCTTTGGAATTGTTTTATGGAATTTTGCGCTGAGCGTTCGTTGCTTCCGCCCGGAACTGGTGGGAAAATCCGGGATTTTATCCCAAATTCCGGAGTCCAAAATGTCTGGGAATGTGAGGAGCAGGACTCACCTCCTGATCCCTGTTTTGGTGGGAAGAGGGAGCAGGAATTCCTGGGATTTGTGGGAAGAGGGAGCAGGAATTCCTGGGATTTGTGGGAAGAGGGAGCAGGAATTCCTGGGATTTGTGGGAAGAGGAATCCCGGGGCTCCTGCAGCAGGAGGACGATTCCTAAGGAGAACTTTTCCAAAGGTTTTGGGATAATCCTGGAATTGCTGCAGGGGGAGGAGGAACCAGGAAACCAAAATTCCAGGGACGTGGAAACAAAGGCAGGAAATGCCGGGAAAAAACATCCAGGAAGCAGAAATTTCCTGGAACAGCCGCCTGGAAAGGGGAGCTCGGGAATGGGGTGGGAATTTTGGGGGGTTGGACGTTGGGTTGGTGCTTCCTGAGGGAGAAATTCCCAGTTTTTGGGAGGAAAAGTGGGAATTTTGGGGGTTGGATGTTGGGTTGGTGCTTCCTGAGGGAGAAATTCCCAGTTTTTGGGAGGAAAAGTGGGAATTTTGGGGGATTGGATGTTGGGTTGGTGCTTCCTGAGGGAGAAATTCCCAATTTTGTGAAGGGAAAGGTGGGAATTTTGAGGGGTTGGAATTTGGTTTGGTGCCTTCTGAGGGAAAATTCCTGGGTTTGGGGAGGAAAAGTGGGAATTTTGAGGGGTTGGAGGTGCGTCCTGAGGGAGAAATTCCCAATTTTGTGAAGGGAAAGGTGGGAATTTCAGGGAGTGGAGATTGGTTTGGTGCTTCCTGAGGGAGAAATTCCTGGTTTGGAGGAGGAAAAGTGGGAATTTTGGGGAGTTGGAGGTGCGTCCTGAGGGAGAAATTCCTGGTTTGGGGAGGAAAAGTGGGAATTTTGAGGAGTTGGGTTGGTGCTTCCTGAGGGAGAAATTCCTGGGGTTTGGGAGGAAAAGTGGGAATTCCAGGGGGTTGGACGTTGGGTTGGTGCTTCCTGAGGGAAAAATTCCCAATTTTGTGAAGGGAAAGGTGGGAATTTCAGGGAGTGGAGATTGGTTTGGTGATTCCTGAGGGAGAAATTCCTGGTTTGGGGGAGGAAAAACAGGAATTTTGAGGGGTTGGAGGATGGTTTGGTGCCTTCTGAGGGAAAATTCCTGGGTTTTGGGGAGGAAAAGTGGGAATTTTGAGGGATTGTAGGTGCGTCCTGAGGGAGAAATTCCCTGTTTTGGGGAGGAAAAGTGGGAATTTCAGGGAGTGGAGATTGGTTTGGTGCTTCCTGAGGGAAAAATTCCCAGTTTTGGGGGAGGGAAGGTGGGAATTTTGGGGGGTTGGAGGTTGGGTTGGTGCTTCCTGAAGGAGAAATTCCCGGTTTTGGGAAGGGAAAGGTGGGAATTTCAGGGAGTGGAGATTGGTTTGGTGCTTCCTGAGGGAAAAATTCCCAGTTTTGGGGAGGAAAGGTGGGAATTTTGAGGGGTTGGAGGTTGGAAGCTCCTTTTGAGGAGCTGATCCCTGTGATTCCCAGGGAATTGATCCCTGTGATTCCCAGTGAATTGATCCCTGTGATTCCCAGGGAATTGATCCCTGTGATTCCCAAGGAATTGATCCCTGTTTTTCCCAAAGAGTTGAGGAATTGATCCCTGTTATTCCCAAGGAACTGATCCCTGTGATTCCCAAGGAATTGATCCTTGTAATTCCCAAGGAACTGAGGATTTGATCCCTGTCATTCCCAGGGAATTGATCCCTGTCATTCCCAGGGAATTGATCCCTGTCATTCCCAAGGAATTGAGGAATTGATCCCTGTGATTCCCAAGGAATTGATCCCTGTGATTCCCAGGGAATTGATCCCTGTGATTCCCAGGGAATTGATCCCTGTTATTCCCAGGGAACTCATCCCTGTGATTCCCAAGGAATTGAGGAATTGATTTGGGAAGGCTCTCCCTGCTTTTATATCCCAGAATTTTGGGATATATCTTAGGATTTGGGAGGTTGGATTTGGGAAGGATTTTCCTCTTTTGTATACCAGAATTTTGGGATGTCTCTCAGTATTTGGGAGGTTGGATTTGGGAAGAGTTTTCCTCTTTTTTTATATCCCAGAATGTGTTTGGGAGCTTGGATTTGGGAAGGGTCTCCCTGGTTTTATATCCTGGAATTTTGGGATGTCTCTCAGTATTTGGGAGGTTGGATTTGGGAAGAGTTTCCCTCTTTTTTTATATCCCAGAATGTGTTTGGGAGGATGGATTTGGGAAAGGTCTCCCTGGTTTCATATCCCAGAATTTTGGGATACACCTCAGGATTTTGGTGGCTGGATTTGGGAAGGATATCCCTGTTTTTATATCCCCAAATTTTGGGATGTCTCTCAGGATTTGAGAGGTTGGATTTGGGAAGGCTCTCCCTGTTTTTATATCCCAGAACTTTGGGATGTATCTCAGGATTTTGGAGGTTGGATTTGGGAAGGGTTTCCCTCTTTTCCATGTCCCTGAGGGTGTTTGGGAGGTTGGATTTGGGAAGGGTCTCCCTGTTTTCTATCCCAGAATTTTGGGATGTCTCTCAGGATTTGGAGGTTGGATTTGGGAAGGGTCTCTCTCTTTTATATCCCAGAATTTTGGGATGTCTCTCAGGATTTTGATGGCTGGATTTGGGAAGGGTTTCCCTCTTTTATATCCCAGAATTTTGGGATGTATCTCAGGATTTGGGAGGTTGGATTTGGGATGAGTCTTCGTGTGTTTTATATCCCAGAATTTTGGGATGTCTCTCAGGATTTGGGAGCTTGGATTTGGGAATAATTTTCCTCTTTTTTTATATCCCAGGATGTGTTTGGGAGGTTGGATTTGGGAAACTTCTCCCTGGTTTTTGTGTCCCTGAGGGTGTTTTAGGGATGTGGGGGTTGGATTTGGGAAGGGTCTCTCTCTTTTATATCCCAGCATTTTGAGATACACCTCAGTATTTTGGAGTTTGGATTTGGGAAGGGTCTCCTTCTTTTTTATATCCCAGAATGTGTTTGGGAGGTTGGAATTTGGGAAGGGTCTCCCTGTTTTTATGTCCCAGAATTTTGGGATGTATCTCAGGATTTTGGGAGGTTGAATGTGGGAAAGATTTCCCTCTTTTATATCCCAGAATTTTGGGATACATCTCAGGATTTGGAAGTTGAATTTGGGAAGGGTCTCCCTGTTTTTATATCCCAGAATTTTGGGATACATCTCAGGATTTTGGAGCTTGGATTTGGGAAGAGTCTCCCTGTTTTATATCCCAGAATTTTGGGATACACCTCAGGATTTTGGGAGGTTGGATTTGGGAAGGGTCTCCCTCTTTTTTTATATCCCAGAATGTGTTTGGGAGGATGGATTTGGGAAGGGTCTCCTTCTTTTTATATCCCAGAATTTTGGGATGTCTCTCAGGATTTTGGGAGGTTCCTGCTTTTCCCTCCCACCCATCCCCGCTCCCTGGCGGTTGAGGAGCCAGAGGGTGAAACCCTGGAGTGTTTTTTGGGGCCAAATCCCGGGAATTGAGTGGGAATTGTTTGGGAATTGTGTCCTTGCAGAGCCTTTGGAGTGAAGATGAAGGTCGGGGCTTTCAGCTGCTGAGGAGGAGCCCCCGCGGCGTTTCAGGTGAGGGGACCCCCCCTTTCCACCCATTCCCGGTGCCTGGGGTGGATTCCCGGGATTAATAAAACCAGATAATGCCCTCGGGTGGATTCCTGGGATTAATAAAACCAACCAGTTCCCTGGGGTGGATTTCTGGGATTAATAAACCCAGCCAATTCCCTGGGGTGGATTCCTGGGATTATAAAACCAGACAATTCCCTGGGCTGGATTCCCAGGATTAATAAAACCACACAGTTCCCTGGGGTGGATTCCTGGGATTAATAAAACCAACCAATGCTCTGGGGTGGATTCCTGGGATTAATAAAACCAGATAATGCCCTGGGGTGGATTTCCGGGATTATAAAACCAGACAGTGCCCTGGGGTGGATTCCTGGGATTAATAAAACCAGAGAATTCCCTGGGGTGGATTTCTGGGATTATAAAACCAGCCAATTCCCTGGGGTGGATTCCTGGGATTAATAAAACCAACCAATGCCCTGGGGTGGATTCCTGGGATTAGTAAAACCAGCCAATTCCCTGGGGTGGATTCCTGGGATTATAAAACCACACAATTCCCTGGGGTGGATTCCCAGGATTATAAAACCAGACAATTCCCTGGGGTGGATTCCTGGGATTATAAAACCAGCCAATTCCCTGGGGTGGATTCCTGGGATTAATAAAACCACACAATTCCCTAGGGTGGATTCCTGGGATTATAAAACCACACAATTCCCTGGGGTGGATTCCCAGGATTATAAAACCAACCAATTCCCTGGGATTCATCCCCCATTCCCGGTGCCTGGGGAGCATTCCCAGGATTATAAAACCAGATAATGCCCTGGGCTAGATTCCTGGGATTAATAAAACCAGCCAATTCCCTGGGCTGGATTCCCAGGATTAATAAAACCACACAATTCCCTAGGGTTCTCCCCCATTCCTGGTGCCTGGGGTGGATTCCTGGGATTATAAACCCAACCAATTCCCTGGGATTCACCCCCATTCCTGGTTCCTGGGGAGCATTCCCAGGATTATAAACCCAGCCAATTCCCTGGGATTCATCCCCCATTCCCGGTGCCTGGGGAGCATTCCCAGGATTATAAAACCAGCCAATTCCCTGGGGTGGATTCCCAGGATTAATAAAACCAGCCAATTCCCAGGGGTTCTCCCCCATTCCCGGTGCCTGGGGTGGATTCCTGGGATTATAAACCCAGCCAGTTCCCTGGGATTCACCCCCCATTCCCAGTTCCTGGGTGGATTCCCGGGATTCAGGGCGTGTTCTTCCCCCAGACTCGGGATCTGGAGGCAGCTGTGCCCGGAGCCACGGCCGATAGATGGACAAGCCAAGCAAGTTGTGACTCGGCAGCGGCTTCTGGGACACAATTCCATGGCAATGTATCCTACAAGGTAAGGATGGGTGGGATTTGGGAATCACAGCCCGGAAAACAACCCCGGAAATGCCCATTTATTGACCCAAATATTGGTAACCCAAAGTTTCATTGACCCAAAGTTTCATTGACCCAAAGTTCATTGACCCAAAGGTTGATTGACCCAAAGTTTCATTGACCCAAAGATTCATTGACCCAGAGATTAGTTAATATAAAGATTATTGACCCAAATACTGGTTGACCCAAAGATTGGTTGACCCGAAGATTGATTGACCCAAAGGTTCATTGACCCAAAGATTGGTTGATCCAAAAATTTATTGACCCAAAGATTCATTGACTCAGAGATTAATCAGCCCAAAGATTGGTTGACCCAAAGATTGGTTGACCCAAAGATTGGTTGACCCAAAGATTGGTTGACCCAAAGATTGGTTGACCCAAAGATTGGTTGACCCAAAGATTGGTTAACCCAAAGATTGGTTGACCCAAAGATTTGCTGACCCAAATACTGGGTCCGAGGGGCCTCATCCAGAGGCAAAGCCCTTCCTGGAGAACCTTGGGGTGCTCCCGGGGCAGCTCAGGGTGAGCTGAGGAGAACCTTGGGGTGCTCCTGGGGCAGCTCAGGGTGAGCTGAGAACCTTGGGGTGCTCCTGGGGCAGCTCAGGGTGAGCTGAGGAGAACCTTGGGGTGCTCCTGGGGCAGCTCAGGGATGAGCACAGGGCGAGCTGAGACTCCTGAGGAGCAGGGACAGGAGGGTTGGTGGGGACAGCGCGGTGGGGTCGGTGTCAGGAGGCAGTGGGGTCGGTGTCAGGAGGCAGTGGGGTCGGTGGGGACAGCGTGGCGAGGTCGGTGTCAGGACGCTGCGGGGTCGGTGGGGACAGTGTGGTGGGGTCGGTGGGGACAGCGTGGTGAGGTCGGTGTCAGGACGCTGCGGGGTCGGTGGGGACAGTGCAGTGGGGCCGGTGTCGGCAGGTGGTAGGGGACAGCACAGCGGGGTTGGTGTCAGAACGTGGCGGGGTCTGTGGGGACAGCGCGGTGGGCTCATTGTCAGGATGCAACAGGGTCCGTGGGGTCAGTGGGGACAGTGCAGTGGGGTTAATGGGGACAGCGAGGCAGGGTCGGTGTCAGGATGCAACGGGGTCGGTGGGGACAGCACAGTGGGGTCATTGTCAGGACACAGCGGGGTCGGTGGGGACAGCGCAGTGGGGTCGGTGTCAGGACACAGCGGGGTCAGTGGGGACAGCGCCGTGGGCTCAGTGTCAGGACACAGTGGGGTCAGTGGGGTCACTGTCAGGATTCAGCAGGGTTGGTGGGGACAGCGCAGTGGGCTCGGTGTCAGGACACGGCAGGGTTGCTGGGGACAGTGCGGTGGGCTTGGTGTCAGGACACACCAGGAGGCCCTGCAGGGGCTCTCCAGGTTTAATTCCAGGCATCCCAAAGCCGGCATTGACGCGTCCCCCCCTCCCCTGCGCTCTCCCCGCAGGGTGTCCGGTGAGGAGTGCAATGGGATCAACAGCGTGTCGGCCGAGAGCGGCCCCGGCACGCGGCTGAGGAACCTGCCGGTGCTGGGGGACGGGCTGGACACCGCCCCGATGGCCACGGCGCCCGCCCAGGCCCAGCCCCAGCCGGGGGGCGGCGTCGGGGGCAACCCCCCCCCTCCGGAGACCTCCAACCCCAACAAGCCCAAGCGCCAGACCAACCAGCTGCAGTACCTGCTCAAGGTGGTGCTCAAGACGCTCTGGAAGCACCAGTTCGCCTGGCCCTTCCAGCAGCCCGTGGACGCCGTCAAGCTCAACCTCCCCGTGAGTGCTGGGGGGGTCTGGGGTGTCACCTGTGTGTGTGTGTGGTGTGTGCTCCTCATCCTGGGTGGGGGTCTGGGGTGTCACCTGTGTGTGTGTGTGCTCCTCATCCTGGGTGGGGGTCTGGGGTGTCACCTGTGTGTGTGTGTGTGTGTGTGTGTGTGTGCTCCTCATCCTGGGTGGGGGTCTGGGGTGTCACCTGTGTGTGTGTGTGCTCCTCATCCTGGGTGGGGGTCTGGGGTGTCACCTGTGTGTGTGTGTGTGCTCCTCATCCTGGGTGGGGGTCTGGGGTGTCACCTGTGTGTGTGTGCTCCTCATCCTGGGTGGGGGTCTGGGGTGTCACCTGTGTGTGTGTGCTCCTCATCCTGGGTGGGGGTCTGGGGTGTCACCTTGGTGTGTGTGTGTGCTCCTCATCCTGGGTGGGGGTCTGGGGTGTCACCTGTGTGTGTGTGTGTGTGTGTGCTCCTCATCCTGGGTGGGGGTCTGGGGTGTCACCTGTGTTTGTGTGTGTGTGTGCTCCTCATCCTGGGTGGGGGTCTGGGGTGTCACCTGTCTGTGTGTGTGTGCTCCTCATCCTGGGTGGGGGTCTGGGGTGTCACCTGTGACTCCTCATCCTGAGGTCACAGAACCCCTCCTTGGAGTTGGACTCTGATCCAGTGGTTGGACTCGGTGGTCCAGTGTGTGGGACTTGATCCAGTGGTTGGACTCAGTGGATCTTGATCCAATGGTTGGACTCTGATCCAGTGGTTGGACTCAGTGGATCTTGATCCAATGGTTGGACTCTGATCCAGTGGTTGGGCTCTGATCCAGTGGTTGGACTCTGATCCAGTGGTTGGGCTCAGTGGTCCATTGGTTGGACTTGATCCACCAGTTGGACTGGGTTGTCCTGGATTGGACTCAGTGGTCCATTGGTTGGACTTGATCCAGTGGTTGGACTGGGTTGTCCTGGATTGGACTTGATCCAGTGGTTGGACTCAGTGATCCAATGGTTGGGCTCTGATCCAGTGGTGGGACTTGATCCATCAGTTGGATTCATGATCCGGCACTTGGACTTGGTGATCCAGTGGTTGGACTTACTTGATCCAGTGGTTGGACTCTGATCCAGTGGTTGGACTTACTTGGTCCAGTGGTTGGACTCTGATCCAGTGCTTGGATTATGATCCAGGAGCTGGATTATGATCCAGCAGTTGGATTATGATCCGGCAGTTGGATTATGATCCAGCAGTTGGATTATGATCCAGGAGCTGGATTATGATCCAGCAGTTGGATTATGATCAGGAGCTGGATTATGATCCAGCAGTTGGATTCGTGGTCCCATCGCTGCTCATGCCCTGGGAAGGGTCACTCCTTTCCCCCCTGACTTTTAGGAATCCCTCACCCACCAAAATCCCGGAATTTTGGTGCCCTTGGGGTCAAATTCTCTCTCCCCTGAGTTTTCTCCAACTCTGTTCAATCCCAAATTCCCAGCTGATGGGTTGGAAATCCGAGAGCTGAGCCAGGTTGGGCTCCTGGATCCCCCCCAGGGGATGAGCCAGAGGAGCCTCAACCCTCGAGGATTCTTCATTCCAGGGCTGATTTCCCTTCCCTCTTCCCTGCAGGATTATTACAAGATCATCAAAACCCCGATGGACATGGGAACAATAAAGAAGCGCTTGGAGAACAATTATTACTGGAACGCTCAAGAATGTATCCAGGATTTCAACACCATGTTTACAAACTGCTACATCTACAACAAGGTAGGGATTGGCCCTGGATCCACCTCTTCCCAAGGGGGGAATTGTCCTGGAAAGGAGCCCCTGCCCAGCTCGGCTCCTGAGGGGGGAATAATCAGGATGGAACCCCTGGGATTGTGGCTCGGCGTTCCCTCCCCCTGGAATGACCAGCAGGGATCTCCAGGCCAGCCGTGGATTCTTCCCCTCCTGGAAGGAAGACTTTTTTGGAGTCTGGGCTGGAGCAGAGCCAGGAATGTTGTCAGATCCTCGGGGGGTGGGTGTTCTGGCCTTCCCTGTTTCCCCAGCTCTGTTGGGAAGCCGGGCTGAGCTTGGGATGGGGGAGGAAAAGCCAGGGATGTTCGGAACGTTGAGTTTGTCATGGATTCCCAACCTCCTCGGAGGAAACTCCCTCAGACAGCGGCCAACATCCCTCTTTTCCCTCTTCCACTTGGAAAAGCACCTTCCCTGCCCATCCCTGTTTTTTTTTGTCCCCATCCCTGTTTTTATTTTCTCCATCCCTGTTTTTATTTTCTCCATCCCTGTTTTTATTTTCTCCGTCCCTGGGTTTATTTTCTCCATCCCTGTTTTTATTTTCTCTATCCCTTTCTCCATCCCTGTTTTATTTCCTCCATCCTGTTTTTTTTTTCTCCATCCCTGTTTTATTTTCTCCATCCCTGTTTTTATTTTACCATCCCTGTTTTTATTTTCTCCATCCCTGTTTTTATTTTCTCTATCCCTGTTTTTTTTCCTCCATCCCCTTTTCTTTTCCCTCCATCCCCTTTTTTTTTTTCTCCATCCCTAGGTTTATTTTCTCCATCCCTGTTTTTATTTTCTCCATCCCTGGTTTTATTTTCTCCATCCCTGGTTTTATTTTCTCCATCCCTGTTTTTATTTTCTCCATCCCTGGTTTTATTTTTTCCATCCCTTTTTTTTTTTCTCCATCCCTGGTTTTATTTTCTTCCATCCCTGTTTTTATTTTCCCCATCCCTGTTTTTATTTTCTCCATCCCTGTTTTTATTTCCTCCATCCCTGTTGGTTTTTTCTCCATCCCTGTTGGTTTTTTCTTCTGCATCTCTGCCCATCCTGTTCTTTTTTTTTCCATCCCTGTTTTTTTTTTCTCCATCCCTGTTGGTTTTTCCTCTGTCCCTTTTTTTTTTTCCCCATCCCTGCCCATCCCTGTTCTTTTTTTTCCATCCCATTCTTTTTTCTCCATCCCTGTTTTTCCCCCATCCCTGCCCATCCCTGCTTTTCCCTCTAAACCCCCCGGGGGGCTGAGAGTTTGGATCCCTCGGAGCGCGGGGTTGTGTCCCGTGGGCCTTTCCCTCGGGAATTCCCAGCTGGAAGCGCATCCCCGTCCTGATTCCCGCCCCGCCTGTGTCCTGCAGCCGGGGGATGACATCGTGCTGATGGCAGAGGCCCTGGAGAAGCTTTTCCTGCAGAAGATCTCGGAGATGACGCAGGAGGAGACCGAGATCGTCATCGCCCAGACCAAGGGCCGGGGCCGCGCGCGCAAGGAAGCAGGTGCGGAATTCCAGGGGGATTGCGGAATTCCCGGGGGGATCGCGGAATTCCAGGGGGGATCACGGAATTCCCAGGGAGGATTGCGGAATTCCCGGGGGGATCACGGAATTCTCAGGGGGGATCACGGAATTCCGGGGGGGATCGTGGAATTCCCGGGGGGATCACAGAATTCTCAGGGGGGATCACGGAATTCCCATGGGGGATCGTGGAATTCCCGGGGGGATCGTGGAATTCCCGGGGGGATCGTGGAATTCCCAGGGGGATCGTGGAATTTCCAGGGGGATCGCGGAATTCTAGGGGATCACGGAATTCCGGGGATCACGGAATTCCCGGGGGATCGCGGAATTCCCAGGGGGATCACGCGAATTCCTGGGGATCGCGGAATTCCCAGGGGGATCGCGGAATTCCCGGGGAATCGTGGAATTCCGGGGGGATCACGGAATTCCTGGGGATTTGTGGAATTCCCAGGGGGATCACGGAATTCCCAGGGGGATCACGGAATTCCCGGGGGGATCGCGAATTCCGGGGGGAATCGCGGAATTCCCGGGGGGATCGCGGAATTCCGGGGGGGAATCACGGAATTCTGGGGGGGATCACGGAATTCCCGGGGGGATCGTGGAATTCCCGGGGGGGGATCGCGGAATTCCCGGGGGGGAATCACGGAATTCCCGGGGGAGATCGCGGAATTCCCGGGGGGATCGCGGAATTCCCGGGGGGGATCGTGGAATTCCGGGGGGGATCGTGGAATTCCCAGGGGGATATCGGAATTCCCAGGGGGGATCGCGGAATTCCAGGGGGGATCACGGAATTCCCAGGGGGGACCGCGGAATTCCCAGGGAGGATCACGGAATTCTGGGGGGGGATTGCGGAATTCCCAGTAGGATCACGGAATTCCTGGGGGGATCGCGGAATTCCCAGGGGGGATCACAGAATTCCTGGGGGGATTGTGGAATTCCTGGGGGGGATCACAGAATTCCCAGGGGGATCATGGAATTCCGGGGGGGATCGCCCGGCTCTGCCAGGCCTGGGGCTGCTCTCACCACCCCTTCCACTGGGGGGTTTAATTGGGTTAATTAAACCCAGGGAAATAGAGGGAAACCCTGAAAGGATTTCTGGGAAATAGAGGGAAACCCTGAAAGGATTTCTGGGAAATAGAGGGAAATCCTGAAGTGATTTGTGGGAACTCGAGGGAAATCCCAAAAAGGTTTCTGGGAACTCGAGGGCAATCCCGAAGGGATTTTTGGGAACTCGAGGGAGTGGCGCTGGGTGGGGCCACGTCGTGGTGCTGCCCTCCGGTGGCAACCCCTGGAACTGCAGCCCGGGGCTGGGAGGGAATTCTCCACAAGCCTCGAGCTCCCAGCCCTGCAGGAATTCCTGCTGGGAGGAGGGCAGGAGCAGGAATTCTCACTGGGAAGAGGGCAGGAGCAGGAATTCCCTCTGGGAAGAGGGCAGGAGCAGGAATTCCCTCTGGGAAGAGGGGGCAGCAGGAATTTCCTCTGGGAACTGGGCAGGAGCAGGAATTTCCTCTGGGAACTGGGCAGGAGCAGGAATTCCCTCTGGGAGGAGGGAAGGAGCAGGAATTCCCTCTGGGAGGAGGGCAGGAGCAGGAATTCCCGCTGGGAACAGGTCAGGACCCCCAACCCCCCGTGCCTTCCGTCGGCAGTGACGTCCAAGCCCGGCTCGTCGTCGGTCCCGAACGCCGCTCAGGCCTCGTCGCCGGCGCCCCCGCAGAGCCTTCCGGCGGCCCCGCCGGCTCATCCCTTCCCCTCCGTCACCCCCGACCTGCTGGTGCCCAGCCCGGTGATGACGATGGTGCCTCCGCCCCGCGCCGCCCGCCGGCCCCCAGGCCCCGCGCCGCCCGCCCCGGCCCCGCAGCCCCTGCAGCCGCACCCGCCCGTCATCCCCACGCCCGCACAGCCCGTCAAGGTGAGTCCTCTGCACCCCTGGGGGAGGCACAGCCCATCCAGGTGAGTCCTCTGCACCCCTGGGGGAGGCACAGCCCGTCCAGGTGAGTCCTCTGCACCCCTGGGGGAGGCACAGCCCGTCCAGGTGAGTCCCTCTGCACCCCTGGGGGAGGCACAGCCCGTCCAGGTGAGTCCTCTGCACCCCTGGGGGAGGCACAGCCCGTCCAGGTGAGTCCCTCTGCACCCCTGGGGGAGGCACAGCCCGTCCAGGTGAGTCCCTCTGCACCCCTGGGGGAGGCACAGCCCGTCCAGGTGAGTCCCTCTGAGTCCCTCTGCACCCTGGGGGAGGCACAGCCTGAGTCCTCTGCACCCCTGGGGGAGGCACAGCCCGTCAAGGTGAGTCCCTCTGCACCCCTGGGGGAGGCACAGCCTGTCCAGGTGAGTCCTCTGCATCCCTGGGGGAGGCACAGCCCGTCCAGGTGAGTCCCTCAGCACCCCTGGGGGAGGCACAACCTGAGTCCCTGAGCACCCCTGGGGGAGGGGGAGGCACAGCCCGTCCAGGTGAGTCCCTGAGCACCCCTGGGGGAGGGGGAGGCACAGAAATATTTCTCCTCCCTTTGTATCAGTCCAAGGAGGAGAAGGAGTCTCTGTCTCCATTCCCAGAGCTCCAGGTCTCTTCAATAACTGCAGCATTTTAAAGCTCTTTTCCTGTTATCTCAGGATGACAGCTCTGATTTAGTCGTAGCTGCAGCTCCTTCTCTTTCTCTCTTGCTCTGTGTTGGCCTCCAGGGCTGGGCCCACCCCCCTCCTGGTGGTCACGGGTGGGGACACCCTCGGTCATGGGTGGGGACAGCCTCGGTCACGGGGTCAGCGTCGGTGTCACCAGCAGGGTGGGGTTCCAAGGCGAAGGGGCCACATTTGGGTCCAAAAAGTCGTGGTTTGAGAGCTCTGAGGAGCCAGCGGTGACCTCTGGGGTGCTGGTTGGGCTTGGGGAGTTCACGGAGTCATGGGATGGTTTGGGGTGGGAGGGGCCGCAAAGCTCGTCCAGTCCCACGGCCTGGGGGGTTCCACGCGGGTCTGTCCCCCTCAAACCTTCCTTGGGCTCCTTTTGGGACTTGGGAGGAGAATCCCAGCCCAGCCCCTCGACCAGTGCTGGTCCAGCTAGGAATAATCCCAGCCTCTCAACCTGTGCTGGTCCAACTGGGATAAGCCCAGCCCAGCCCAACCCCTTGACCTGTGCTGCTCCAGCCAGGATAATCCCGGTTTTTGGGACTCAGGAAGAGAATCCCAGCCCAGCCCCTCGACCTGTGCTGGTCCAACCGGGATAATCCCAGCCCAGCCCCTTGACCTGTACTGCTCCAGCTGGGATAATCCTGGTTTTTGGGACCCGGGAGAAGAATCCCAGCCCAGCCCCTCAACCTGTGCTGGTCCAGTTGGGATAATCCCAGCCCAGCCCCTCGACCTGTACTGGTCCAGCCAGGATAATCCCAGCTCAGCCCCTCAACCTGTGCTGGTCCAGCCAGGATAATCCCAGCTCAGCCCCTCAACCTGTGCTGCTCCAGCTGGGATAATCCCAGCTCAGCCCCTCGACCTGTACTGGTCCAGCCAGGATAATCCCAGCTCAGCCCCTCGACCTGTGCTGATCCAGCCGGGATAATCCCAGCTCAGCCCCTCGACCTGTACTGGTCCAGCCGGGATAATCCCAGCCCAGCCCCTCGACCTGTGCTGCTCCAGCCGGGATAATCCCAGTTTTCCCACCGAGCTCAGGCCACACCAGCCCCTCTGGAAGGGCTCCCAACGCCCGAGTGTCAATCCCAGGGGATGACCTCGCGTTCTCCCCTCGTTCTGCAGACAAAAAAAGGGGTGAAGAGGAAAGCAGACACCACCACCCCCACCACCATCGACCCGATCCACGACTCATCGTCGCTGCCCGCCGAGCCCAAGCCCGGCAAGCTGGGCCCGCGGCGGGAGAGCAGCCGGCCCGTCAAGGCCCCCAAGAAGGACGTGCCGGACTCGCAGCAGCACGGGGGGGACAAGGGCAGCAAGGTGTCGGAGCAGCTCAAGTACTGCGGCGGCATCATCAAGGAGATGTTCGCCAAGAAGCACGCGGCCTACGCCTGGCCCTTCTACAAGCCCGTGGACGTGGAGGCCCTGGGGCTGCACGACTACTGCGACATCATCAAGCACCCCATGGATCTGAGCACAATCAAAGTAGGGATCGGGGTTTGGGGCAGGAAAATGAGGGGTTTGGGGTTGTGCTGTTGGTGGGGGGGGGCTTGGGTGTGTTTGGTGTCTTTTCAACCTTGTGGTTTCCTGGTATTTGGGAAGGACAAGCGCTCCCTTAGCAACACTGAGGTGTGGTTTTTATGGAAAATCTCTGTTGTTGTGGAAATCTCTCCGGTTTTTAGACCAGGAGAGACCCCCGGGAATGGGGATTTGATTGAAATCAACCCCAGTTTTTAATCCTTTCCAGAATAAGGGCTGGTCTCCCTCAACAGTTGGATCTTCTCCTGAGCTCGGGGAGAAGAACCAGAACCAGCTGCTCTTTTGACCAAAACACATCCTGGTTTTGACCAAAAGTAACTTTTATTTTTGACCAAAATTGGTAGGTCTTCTGACCAAAATTGGTGGTTCTTCTGACCAGAATTGGTGGTTCTTTTGACCAAAATTGGTGGTTCTTTTGATCAAAATTGGTGGTTCTTTTGACCAAAATTGGTGGTTCTTCTGACCAAACCCAGCAGTTCTGTTTGACCTAAACACAGAATTCTTTTGACCAAAACCAGATTGTTTTTGACCAAAGCAAGCAGATCTTTTTCCATCAAAATGAGTTGATCTTGTTGATGAAACTCTGTGGGGTTTTTGACCAAAATTGGTGGTTCTTCTGACCAAACTCAGCAGTTCTGTTTTGACCTAAACTGGTCTGTCTTTTTGACCAAAACAAAGCTCTCTTTTGACCAAAATGAGTCACTCTTTTGACCAAAACACAGAATTCTTTTGACCAAAACCAGATTGTTTTTGACCAAAGCAAGCAGATCTTTTTCCATCAAAATGAGTTGTTCTTTTTGATGAAACTTTGTGGGTTTTTGACCAAAATTGTTGGTTCTTTTGACCAGAATTGGTGGTTGTTTTGACCAGAATTGTTGGTTCTTTTGACCAAAATTGGTGGTTCTTTTGACCAAAATTGTTGGTTCTTTTGAGCAAAATCAGCAGTTCTGTTTGACCAAAATCAGCAGTTCTGTTTGACCAAAACAAACCTCTCTTTTTGACCAAAACAAACTTCTCTTTTTGACCAAAACACACAATTCTTTTGACCAAAACATGTTGTTCTCTTGACCAAAACCCAGAATTCCTTTGCCCAAAACCAGATTCTTTTTGACCAAGCAGATCATTCTCCATCAAAATGAGCAGTTCCTGTTGATGACACTTGGTGGGTTTCCTGACCAACATTTCTTGTCCTCCTGACCCGCCTGGGGTGGCTCCAGCGCCCGGGAGGGAAGAGCCCCCCGCGCTCCGTGGGCTCCCCGTTCAGCCCCTCGCTGGATGAGCTGCATTTACCCCTCTGCACTGAGAGTTGTGTTGCTTTCCCTGCCCTCTGCTCTCCCTCTAGTCCAAGCTGGAGAGCCGGGAGTACCGGGACGCTCAGGAATTCGCGGCCGACGTGCGGTTGATGTTCTCCAACTGCTACAAGTACAACCCCGCCGACCACGAGGTCGTGGCCATGGCCAGGAAGCTGCAGGTGAGTTCACCCCCAGGGTCGATGTCCCTCTGCTCCTTCACCCCCTGTCAGGACCACTGAGCCCTGAACTGACCCCCAGAGCTGCCCCTGTGGTGAGGAACCGTCCCAGGTGACACTTTCTGTGCTGCAGGACCCGCCCACTTCCCTCTCCCAGCTCAGCTTTCTTCAAGATCATCTTTTTCTCATCCCTTCTTGTTGGAGGAGCAGGAGGGCGAAACACGGCTCCAAAATGTCCCTTTTTTACCCCAAAAGGAATAAAGGTTAAACAGGTGACGGCTCCTGCTGCTTTAGGCCCCTCTCCTGTCGCTCTCCCGGGCGAGTTTTCCGCCCTCCGCTCGTTCCTGAAGGGTCTGCGGTGAATTAATCGGCTCCTGGCGGATCCCCACGACCCCAGCCGGGGGTTTGGCCTCACCCACGAGCTCCAACGCTCCGGAAAACCCACCTGGATCCCTGCATTTCCTGGGAATTCGGAGCCCCTGCACCGAGTTGCGTGGCTGGGAGCAGCGGGAACGGGCTCTGCAGGCGTGGATTTGGGAGAGGGTTGATGGAGCTCCAGGGATTTCCCACCATGGAATCACTGCCAGGGGTCACAGTGTTGGACTCTCAACCCAACCATTCCCACCTGGCTCCTTAAAAATGCCCCAGATCCCTGATTCCAGGTGCTTCATTCCCTTTGATCTCCATTTCTCCTGGTTTTTTTATCCCTGGGAGGATCCGGGGCACGGTTGTTGTTTCCTGAGGCAATTAATTAGATTTTGGGTTTTATTAAATAATTTTATCACATCACACTCGATCCCAGCTGCTCCCAAACCCCCCCAAATCCACATGGATTCACGTTCAAGATGCCAGGATTGGAGAGGACACAGGAACTGGATTGGTGTGGGAAGAGGTTTTTGGGATGTGGGAAAAACCCAATTCCAGCGGCGTGGAAGGAGGAGGAAAAGGGCGTGAAAGGAGAAGAAAACTCCTATAAATGATGGGAAAAGCTGTTAAATCAGGAGGAAAACTCCCAAACTGAGGGGAAAACATGAAATCAAGGGAAGGACTCCGAGGAGCGACGTTTGATGGAAGTTTGACTCAGGAAACATCCCAAAAAAAATGCCAGGAATGGGTTGTGCTTTTCCACCTGGAAACGGGGCGTGGAAACCTCGGCCTGACCCGGCTCTTTCCCCGAATCCAGGGAAGTGTCAGCTCGGGAAGGGGCTCCAGCTGTGCTGATCCCTCCACACAGTTTAGGAAATGCTGGTTTTTAACTCGTGTTTTTATAAAACCCGGCTCGGATCGGGGCTGGATGGAACTTGGAGCCGAGGAGGTGCTGAGGAAATGGGAGTTTGGGGAGGAATTTGGGAGAATTCAGCACCTTAGAACTGGATTTTTTGGTGGGTTTTACGACAGAGGGACGCCTGGAAAACGGGATTTTCCCCCTCGGACTCGTTTGGGTCCCACAAAGGACATCACAGCCTCTTGGAGGGACGTCCCAGAGCGTTCTCCAACCCCCAGCAGAAAGAAATCCTGGGTTTTCCTGTCCCAGCCTGAATTATTTCCATGGAAACCCCTCATTTTTCTTCTCTCCCACCTCGTTTGATGTAAAAAAATCCTCGCCAGCAGCATCTCCAGGTGACACCAAAGTCAGGGCTGCTTGGAGTTGGGATTTCAGGCTTGGGATCAGGGCCCTGGAAAGCTCAGCCACTCAGGAAGGTCAATTCTGGCACCAGGATGACAGAAAAGGTGGGGTTTGAGCGTCACAGCCCCCAGAAAAGGAGGGATTGAACCTCGGAGCGGCTGAAACAGCGGCTGGACCCCACCCCAGCCTCGACATCCAGGGCTGGAACCTCCTCACTGGCTTTTCCTGGGGCCTGGAAATCTGATTCCAGCTGGGAAGATCTCCAAGAAGAGGAGGATTTTGGGCAGCTCTGCAGAGGTTTGGGAACAAGAAGGACTCCAGCTTGGACTCGGGTGCCTCAAATGACGCTGCCAGGTTGGCCCTGGTCAGTTCCAGACGTGTCATCCCTGCTGGAAAAGCTCTGGAATAACTCCTGTTCCTGCTTTTTGGTCCTTTTGCATCATCAGAAATGGAGATTTTTGGTTTTTTGGGGATAATTCCGGCTCGTGGGAGAAGTTCTTGGTTTGGTTCCGGTGCCGTCCAAGGCAGGAGCAAGAAGAACCCTTGGTGAAAAATTAACGAGCTCGTTAATGCTCAGTGGATTTTCTGTCCCATCCATCCCTGCCTGGGATCCTTCAGACACCGAGGCCACTTCAGGCACTTCTGAATCGATGGGAGACGAAATTGAGGTAAAAACGACCTGGAAAGTTGAATTTCTGCCCCCAGAAAATCCAAAAATGGAGTTTCTGCATTGGAGCAGCTTTGCCATCTGCTGATAATCAGGGAGCAGGGACCTCCTGGGTCGTGGAAAGCAGGAATTGGGGTGACAAACACTGACCAGGTGCAGCGATTCGGGGATGGATCCGTGTGAGCCTCCGTCAGGGTCGGAAACGTTTCCTTTTCCTCGCGCGTTTTCTCCTCCTTCCCCCGAAATTTGAGCCCCAGCCCCTGGGTGAAGCCCGAGGACGCTCCTGCCAGCAGGGGGGAGCAGCAAAACGACCTCCAGAGCGCCCCAAAAAGCCGTCAGTGAGGGAAGAAAACCTGGAATGAAGGCGGGAGGAGGGCGAGGAACGCCCGCGGATCCGAGAGGAGGTGGGGAATTAATCCATGGACAGGTCAGGGAGAGCCCAGAGGGTCCTTCAGTCACCTTGGATGAGCCTGAGCTGGAAGAGCTGGAGCTTCCAGGAGGGGAAACGTCGAGCAGAGGGTTCGGATGTCGCGTTGGATACCCCGGAGCGTTGGGTTTGGCCCGGGATTTGGGATGAGTTGGATGAGCCGACGTCATCGTTGACGTCCCCGCTGGGGTTCGGGGAACAACCCCCAGCTCGTGCCTGGAGGGTCCTGCTCTGTCCCCGTGCCCAGGGCTTGGGAAGCAGCAGGAAATCCGTGGGAATCGTAGGTTGGAAGAGCTTTGGGAAGGGGAGGAATTCCCTGGGCTTTGTTCCCACTGGGAGCGACCCCTGGGACTCCGCCGGGTTGTCCCTCCACCGTCACCCCTGGGAGCTCCAGGAGGCTCCAGGAGGATCCCAGGATCTTGGAAAGCAGGTCCTGTCCCCTGACCCCCCTCAGGGCAGGGGAATCAGCCCCTCTGCAGCTCCTGGGAATGTTCTGGGGGAGCTGCAGAATCCGGCGTTTCATCAGCGAGGGCTTCGACCTTCGCCGTGGGGAGCGCTGGGGGAAGGTCTTGGTTTGGGTGCAAAAAAATCCTCGTCTGGGAAACTCAAATCCACGCTCAGAACCCTTCAGGTGGAGTCAGAACCCTTCAGGTGGAGTCAGAACCCTTCAGGTGGAGTCAGATCCCTTCAGGTGGAGTCAGATCCCTTCGGATGGAATCAAAACCCCTTCAGGTGGAGTCAGATCCCTTCAGGTGGAGTCAGATCCCTTCAGGTGGAGTCAGATCCCTTCAGATGGAGCCAAAACCCATTAAGTGGAGCCAAAACCCTTCAGATGGAATCAAAACCCTTCAAATGGAATCAAAACCCTTCAGATGGAATCAAAACTTTTCAAATGGAATCAGAACTTTTCAAATGGAATCAGAACTCTTCAAATGGAATCAGAACTCTTCAAATGGAATCAGAACCTTTCAAATGGAATCAAAACCTTTCAGATGGAATCAAAACCCTTCAGATGGAATCAAAACCTTTCAGATGGAATCAAAACCTTTCAGATGGAATCAAACCCTTTCAGATGGAGTCAAACCCTTCAGATGGAGTCAAACCCCTTCAGATGGAGTCAAACCCCTTCAGATGGAGTCAAACCCTTCATATGGAGTCAAACCCCTTCAGATGGAGTCAAACCCCTTCAGATGGAGTCAAACCCCTTCAGATGGAGTCAAACCCCTTCAGGTGGATCCAAACCCCTTCAGGTGGATCCAAACCCCTTTAGATGGATCCAAACCCCTTTAGATGGATCCAGAACCCTTCAGATGGATCCAGAACCCTTTAGATGGATCCAAGCCCCTTCAGATGGATCCAAACCCCTTCAGATGGAGTCAAAGCCCTTCAGATGGAATCAAAGCCCTTCAGATGGAGTCAAACCCCTTCAGATGGAACCCAAACCTTTCAGATGGAGCCAAAACCCTTCAAATTGAGCCCAACCCCTTCAGATGGAGTCAAACCCCTTCAGATGGAGTCAAACCCCTTCAGATGGAGTCAAACCCCTTCAGATGGAGTCAAACCCCTTCAGATGGAGTCAAACCCCTTCAGATGGAGTCAAACCCCTTCAGGTGGATCCAAACCCCTTCAGGTGGATCCAAAGCCCTTCAGGTGGATCCAAAGCCCTTCAAGTGGATCCAAAACCCTTCAGATGGAGCCAAACCCCTTCAGATGGATCCAAAACCCTTCAGATGAAATCAGAACCCTTCAGATGAAATCATAACTCTTCAGATGGAATCATAACTCTTCAGATGGAATCAGAACCCTTCAGATGGAGTCAACAGGCACCAAGAGACATCCGGGCCAGAGCCATGACCCGGCTGGAGACACACCCAGGTTCTCCCACCTCATCTGCCTGGGCTGGGATTTACAGGAAGATGGATTTTCCTGTCAGGCTTTAGGAGAAGGAAGGACTTTACCCTCTGTGGGATAATGGAATGATCAGAGGGATGTGGGGTCCCACCCCTGGCTCTGGAGGGTGTTGGGATTGGGGTCAGTCGGGGTGGGTGCCACGGGGTGAGGGTTGGGAAGATCCCAGTGGGGTGAAGAGGAGGAGGAGGAGCTGCAGCTGCGATTCCCAGCCCTGAACCCACCCTGGGGCTTTCCCGGAGCCGTTAAGGTCGGAAAAGACCTCTGAGGTCACCAAATCCAACCGAGGGGTGACCCAGGAGGACATGGAAGTTCTCCAGAACCTTCCACCAACGTGGCTTCTGAGTCCCATCCCTTCTCACCTGTAACTTTTCCTTCCCCCCAAAACCATCCTGGAGCCGCTCAGAATTCCCACTCTGGGGACTTCTGGGGGTCCCACATTCCAGGGGTGTTCTGATTCCCATCCTTTCTCACCTGTAACTTTTCCTTCTCCCCAAAACCACTCAAAATTCCCACTCTGGGGACTTCTGGGGATTGTTCTGAGTCCCTGTAACTTTTCCTTCTCCCCAAAACCATCCCAGAATTCCCACTCTGGGGACTTCCAGGGGTCTTCTGATTCCCATCCCTTCTCACCTGCAACTTTTCCTTCTCCTCAAAACCATCCTGGAGCCCCTCAGAATTCCCACTCTGGGGACTTCCAGGGGTCTTCTGATTCCCATCCTTTCTCACCTGTAACTTTTCCTTCTCCCCAAAACCATCCCAGAACTGCTCAGAATTCCCACTCTGGGGACTTCTGGGGTTGTTCTGAGTCCCTGTAACTTTTCCTTCTCCCCAAACCATTCTGGAGCCGCTCAGAATTCCCACATTCCAGGGGTGTTCTGAGTCCCATCCTTTCTTTCCTGTAACTTTTCTTTCTCCCCAAAACCATCCCAGAATTCCCACTCTGGGGACTTCCAGGGGTTGTTCTGAGTCCCTGCGACTTTTCCTTCCCTCCAAAACCATCCTGGAGCCACTCAGAATTCCCACATTCCAGGGGTGTTCTGATTCCCATCCTTTCTCACCTGTAACTTTTCTTTCTCCCCAAAACCATCCCAGAACTGCTCAGAATTCCCACATTCCAGGGGTGTTCTGATTCCCATCCTTTCTCATCTGTAACTTTTCCTTCTCCTCAAAACCATCCCAGAATTCCCACTCTGGGGACTTCCAGGGGCTGTTCTGAGTCCCTGTAACTTTTCCTTCTCCCCAAAACCCCTCAGAATTCCCACTCTAGGGAGTTCCAGGGGTGTTCTGAGTCCCTGTAACTTTTCCTTCCCTCCAAAACCATCCTGGAGCCACTCAGAATTCCCACTCTGGAGTCTTCCTGACTGATTCCCATCCTTTCTCACCTGTAACTTTTCTTTCTCCCCAAAACCATCCCAGAATTCCCACTCTGGGGACTTCCAGGGGTGTTCTGAGTCCCTGTAACTTTTCCTTCCCCCTAAAACCCCTCAGAATTCCCACTCTGGGGACTTCCAGGGGTCTTCTGATTCCAAACCTTTCTCACCTGTAACTTTTCCTTCCCCCCAAAACCATCCCAGAATTCCCACACTCTGGGGACTTCTGAGAGTTGTTCTGAGTCCCTGTAACTTTTCCTTCTCCCCAAAACCATCCTGGAACTGCTCAGAATTCCCACTCTGGAGTCTTCCAGGGGTCTTCTGATTCCCATCCCTTCTCACCTGCAACTTTTCCTTCTCCCCAAAACCCCTCAGAATTCCCACTCCGAGGACTTCCAGGGGTTGTTCTGAGTCCCTGTAACTTTTCCTTCTCCCCAAAACCCCTCAGAATTCCCACTCTGGGGACTTCCAGGGATTGTTCTGAGTCCCTGTAACTTTTCCTTCCCCCCAAAACCATCCTGGAGCCACTCAGAATTCCCACATTCCGGGGGTGTTCTGAGTCTCATCCTTTCTCACCTGTGACTTTTCCTTCTCCCTAAAACCATCTTGGAGTACACTCAGAATTCCCACATTCCAGGGGTCTTCTGATTCCCATCCTTTCTCACCTGTAACTTTTCCTTCCCCCCAAAACCCCTCAGAATTCCCACTCTGGGGACTTCTGGGGTTGTTCTGAATCCCTGTAACTTTTCCTTTTCCCCAAACCATCCTGGAGCCGCTCAGAATTCCCACATTCCAGGGGTGTTCTGAGTCTCATCCTTTCTCACCTGCAACTTTTCCTTCTCCCCAAAACCATCCTGGAGCCCCTCAGAATTCCCACATTCCAGGGGTGTTCTGAGTCCCATCCTTTCTCACCTGTGACTTTTCCTTCTCCCCAAACCCACTCAGAATTCCCACATTCTGGGGACTTCCAGGGGCTGTTCTGAGTCCCTGTAACTTTTCCTTCTCCCCAAAACCATCCTGGAGCCGCTCAGAATTCCCACTCTGGGGACTTCCAGGGGTCTTCTGATTCCCATCCTTTCTCACCTGTAACTTTTCCTTCCCCCCAAAACCCCTCAGAATTCCCACTCAGGAGACGTCTGGGGGTGTTCTGAGTCCCTGTAACTTCTCCTTCCCCCCAAAACCCACTCAGAATTCCCACTCTGGAGTCTTCCTGACTGGTTGCTATCTGATCTCACCTGTAACTTTTCCTTCTCCCCAAAACCATCCTGGAGCCGCTCAGAATTCCCACTCTGGGGACTTCCAGGGGTGTTCTGAGTCCCTGTAACTTTTCCTTCCCCCCAAAACCCCTCAGAATTCCCACATTCCGGCGACTTCCAGGGCTGCCGATTGCGCTGCCGATCCCTGGTGTAGAGACCCCCAGGGAGCCCCCCTGGAGTGGCCACCCCAGGGGGGGCTCCCTGGGGGTCTCTACACCAGGGGGGGCTCCCTGGGGGTCTCTACACCAGGAAAGCCCCCCCTGAGGGTTCCTGATGTCCCCCCATCCCTTTGGCTGCTCCCCCAGGACGTGTTCGAGATGCGCTTTGCCAAGATGCCAGACGAGCCGGAGGAGCCGGCGGTGCCGGCGTCGTCTCCGGCGGTGCCACCACCACCCACCAAGGTGGCCCCTCCATCGTCCAGCGACAGCAGCAGCGACAGCTCCTCCGACAGCGACAGCTCCTCCGATGATTCCGAGGAGGAGCGGGCGCAGCGCTTGGCGGAGCTGCAGGAGCAGGTGCTGCCCTGGGGGGAAGCGGGGGGGTCTGTGGGGTCGTTGCTCCTCTACTGGGGGTTTGGGGGCTTGGGGGTTTGTGGGGTGGTGATTGCAAGAGTCCTCCCTCTCCTGGGTTTGGTGGGTTTGGGGTGGTGATTGCAGGGTCCTCCCTCTCCTGGGGGTTTGGGGTGGTGATTGCAGGTCCTCCTCTCCTGGGGATTGGGGCTTGGGGGTTTGGGGTGGTGATTGCAGGTCCTCCCTCTCCTGGGGGATTGGGGGGCTTGGTGGTTTGTGGGGTGGTGATTGCAGGGTCCTCCCTCTCCTGGGGCTTGGTGGGGCTTGGGGGTGAGTGATGCTGAGGTCCTCCCTCTCCTGGGGATTGGGGGCTTGGGGGTTTGGGGGTGGTGACTGCAGGTCCTCCCTCTCCTGGGGGTTTGGTGGGTTTGGGGTGGTGACTGCAGGTCCTCCCTCTCCTGGGGGTTTGGGGTGGGCTTGTGGGGTGGTGATTGCAAGGTCCTCCTCTCCTGGGGGTATTGGGGCTTGGGGGTTTGGGGTGGTGATTGCAGGTCCTCCCTCCCCAGGGTTTGGTGGGTTTGGGGTGGTGATTGCAAGGTCCTCCCTCTCCTGGGGATTGGTGGTTTGGGGTGGTGATTGCAGGTCCACCATCCTGTGGGGGTTTAGGTGGGCTCTAGCTGGTTGTGGGGTGGTGATTGCAGGGTCCTCCCTCTCCTGGGGGCTTGGGGGGTTTGTGGGGTGGTGATTGCAGGGTCCTCCCTCTCCTGGGGGCTTGGGGGGTTTGGGGTGGTGATTGCAAGGTCCTCCTCTCCTGGTGGCCTGGGGGTTTGTGGGTGGTGATTGCAGGGTCCTCCTCTCCTGGGGATTGGGGGCTTGGGGGTTTGTGGGGTGGTGATTGTAGGGTCCTCCCTCTCCTGGGCTTGGGGTTGTGGGGTGGTGATTGCAGGTCCTCCTCCTCTCCTGGGGGCTAGGGGTTTGGGGGTGGTGATTGCAGGGTCCTCCTCTCCTGGGGGTTTGGTGGTTTGTGGGGTGGTGATTGCAGGGTCCTCCCTCTCCTGGGGGGTTTGGGGTGGTGATTGCAGGGTCCTCCCTCTCCTGGGGGTTTGGGGTGGTGATTGCAGGTCCTCCTCTCCTGGGGGCTTGGGGGTTGTGGGGTGGTGATTGCAAGGTCCTCCCTCTCCTGGGGGATTGGGGGCTTGGGGGTTTGTGGGGTGGTGATTGCAGGTCCTCCCTCCCCAGGATTTGGTGGGTTTGGGGTGGTGATTGCAGGGTCCTCCATCCTTCCTGGGTTTGGTGGTTGTGGGGTGGTGATTGCAGGGTCCTCCCTCTCCTGGGGGTTTGGGGTGGTGATTGCAGGGTCCTCCCTCTCCTGGGGGATTGGGGGATTGGGGGTTTGGGGGGTGGTGATTGCAGGTTCTCCTCCTCTCCTGGGGGTTTGGGGGAATCAGCAGTTGTGGGGTGGTGATTGCAGGTCCTCCATCCCCAGGATTTGGTGGGTTTGGTGGATTTGTGGGGTGGTGATTGCAGGGTCCTCCCTCTCCTGGGGGTTTGGGGTGGTGATTGCAGCGTCCTCTATCCCCAGGGTTTGGTGGGTTGTGGGGTGGTGATTGCAGGGTCCTCCCTCTCCAGGATTTGGTGGGTTTGGGGTGGTGATTGCAGAGTCCTCCATCCCCAGGATTTGGGGGGGCTGAGCCTGAGGTCATGGCTTGGTGGTTGTGGGGTGGTGACTGCAGGTCCTCCATCCCCAGGGTTTGGTGGGTTTGGGGTGGTGATTGCAGGTCCTCCCTCTCCTGGGGTTGGGGGGCTTGGTGGGTTTGTGGGGTGGTGATTGTAAGGTCCTCCCTCTCCTTGAGAGGCTTGGTGGTTGTGTGGTGACTACAGGGTCCTCCATCCCCAGGATTTGGGGGTGCTCAGCCTGAGGTCATGGCTTGGTGGTTGTGGGGTGGTGATTGCAGGTCCTCCCTCCCCAGGGTTTGGTGGGTTTGGGGTGGTGATTGCAGGTCCTCCATCCCCAGGGGGTTTGGGGTGGTGATTGCAGGTCCTCCATCCCCAGGGTTTGGTGGGTTTGGGGGGGCTCAGCCTGAGGTCATGGCTTGGTTGTGGGGTGGTGATTGCAGGTCCTCCCTCCCCAGGGATTTGGTGGGTTTGGGGTGGTGATTGCAGGGTCCTCCCTCTCCGGGGATTGGGGGGCTTGGTGGGTTTGTGGGGTGGTGATTGTAAGGTCCTCCCTCTCCTGAGGCTTGTGGTGTGTGGTGACTACAGGGTCCTCCATCCCAGGATTTGGTGGGTTTGTGGGGTGGTGATTGCAGGGTCCTCCATCCCCAGGGTTTGGTGGGTTTGGGGTGGTGATTGCAGGTCCACCCTCCTCAGGGTTTGGTGGGTTTGTGGGGTGGTGATTTCAGGTCCTCCCTCCCCAGGGTTTGGTGGGTTTGGGGTGGTGATTGCAGGTCCTCCCTCCCCAGGGATTTGGTGGGTTGGTGGTTGTGGGGTGTTGATTGCAGGGTCCTCCCTCTCCTGGGGGCTTGGGGGGTTTGGTGGGTTTGTGGGGTGGTGATTGCAGGTCCCCCCTCCCCAGGGTTTGGTGTTTGTGGGGTGGTGATTGCAGGTCCACCCTCCTGGGGGTTTGGTGACCTAGGATGGTCAGTGTGACAGGGGTCAGTCAGAGGGGGTTTTGGTGACAGGGGTCAGTCAGAGGGGGGTTTTGGGGACAGGGGTCAGTCAGAGGGGGGTCAGTGTGACAGGGGTCAGTCAGAGGGGGGTCTGTGTGACAGGGGTCAGTCAGAGGGGGGTCAGTGTGACAGGGGTCAGTCAGAGGGGGTTTTGGTGACAGGGTCAGTCAGAGGGGGTCAGTGTACAGGGGTCAGTCAGAGGGGGAGTCAGTGTGACAGGGGTCAGTCAGAGGGGGGTTTTGGTGACAGGGGTCAGTCAGAGGGGGGGTCAGTGTGACAGGGGTCAGTCAGAGGGTGTCAGTGGACAGGGGTCAGTCAGAGGAGGGTCAGGGTGATGGGTCAGTCAGAGGGTGGTCAGTGTGACAATGGTCAGTCAGGGGGGTCAGTGTGACAGGGGTCAGTCAGAGGGGGGTCAGTGTGACAGGGGTCAGTCAGAGGGGGGCCAGGGTGACAGGGTCAGTCAGAGGGGGTCTGGGTGACAGGGGTCAGTCAGAGGGGGTCAGTGTGACAGGGTCAGTCAGAGGGGGTCCAGGGTGACAGGGGTCAGTCAGAGGGGGGTCTGGGTGACAATGGTCAGTCAGAGGGGGGTCAGGGTGACAGGGGTCAGTCAGAGGGGGATCAGGGTGACAGGGGTCAGTCAGAGGGGGGTCAGGGTGACAGGGGTGAGTCAGAGGGGGATCAGGGTGACAGGGGTCAGTCAGAGGGGGGTCAGTCAGAGGGGGGTTTGGTGACAATGGTCAGTCAGAGGGGGTCTGGGGGGTCTTTTCCAAGCCCAGCATTCCATGACTCCGTGGTCCCTCCCTTGCCCTGCAGCTCAAGGCCGTGCACGAGCAGCTCGCGGCGCTGTCCCAGCCCCAGCAGAACAAACCAAAGAAAAAGGAGAAGGACAAGAAGGAGAAGAAGAAGGAGAAGCACAAAAAGAAGGAGGAGCTGGAAGAGGCCAAGAAAAGCAAAGCCAAGGAGCCCCAGCCCAAGAAGGCCAAGAAGAGCAACAGCAACAGCAGTGCCTCCAGGTGAGCCCTCCCTCCCCTCCCCTCCCCTCCTGGAATCCTCGGGATTTCGGGATTTCCCCTTCCCTGATTCCCTTCCTTATCACAGCAGCCTTAACGAGGAACCCCCACCCCGCTCCGTGGGCATGAGACCGTGTTGGGTTTTGGGGAGGGTCCTTCAGGGCTCCTGGGGACACCTGGAGCTCAGCTTTGGGTGTCCAGGAGCAGCTGGAGCTCAGCTTTGGGTGCCCAGGAGCAGCTGGAGCTCAGCTTTGGGTACCCAGGAGCAGCTGGAGCTCAGCTTTGGGTGTCCAGGAGCAGTTTCAGCTCAGCTTTGGGTGCCCAGGAGCAGCTGGAGCTCAGCTTTGGGTGTCCAGGAGCAGTTTCAGCTCAGCTTTGGGTGTCCAGGAGCAGCTGGAGCTCAGCTTTGGGTGCCCAGGAGCAGCTGGAGCTCAGCTTTGGGTGCCCAGGAGCAGTTTCAGCTCAGCTTTGGATGTCCAGGAGCAGTTTCAGCTCAGCTTTGGGTGCCCAGGAGCAGCTGGAGCTCAATCCAAGAGCAGCTGGAGCTCAGCTTTGGGTGTCCAGGAGCAGTTTCAGCTCAGCTTTGGGTGCCCAGGAGCAGTTTCAGCTCAGCTTTGGGTGTCCAGGAGCAGCTGGAGCTCAGCTTTGGGTGCCCAGGAGCAGCTGGAGCTCAGCTTTGGGTGTCCAGGAGCAGTTTAAGCTCAGCTTTGGGTGTCCAGGAGCAGGTTGAGCTCAGCTTTGGGTGTCCAGGAGCAGTTTCAGCTCAGCTTTGGGTGCCCAGGAGCAGCTGGAGCTCAGCTTTGGGTGTCCAGGAGCAGTTTCAGCTCAGCTTTGGGTGCCCAGGAGCAGCTGGAGCTCAGCTTTGGGTGCCCAGGAGCAGTTTCAGCTCAGCTTTGGGTGTCCAGGAGCAGGTTGAGCTCAGCTTTGGGTGCCCAGGAGCAGTTTCAGCTCAGCTTTGGGTGTCCAGGAGGAGGTTGAGCTCAGCTTTGGGTGTCCAGGAGCAGGTTAAGCTCCATGTTAGGTGTCCAGAACCAGGTTGAGCTCAGTCAGGAGCAGCTGGAGCTCAGTCAGGAGCAGGTTGAGCTCAGTCAGGAGCAGCTGGAGCTCAGCTGTTGGGTGTCAGGAGCAGGTTCAGCTCAGTTGGGTGTCCAGGCTGAGCTCACGCATGTTGGGTGTCCAGAACCAGGCTGACGCTCAAGTCACATCCATCAGGCCCAAATCCCCAGTTCCCAGGCCCAGCCCAACCCCCCTGGCCCCTCAGGACTCCAGTATGGGGTTTAAACCAGGCTCTGACCCTGCTCCCAGGCCCAGCCCAACCCCCCTATCCCCTCAGGACTCCAGTATGGGGTTTAAACCGGGCTCTAAACCCTCGTTCCCAGGCCCAGACTAAGCCCCCTGGCCCCTCGGGTCTCTGGGGAGGGGTTTAGGCCGGGCTCTGACCCCTCTCCCAGGCCCAGCCCAACCCCCCTGTCCCCTCAGGACTCCAGTCTGGGGTTCAGGCCGGGCTCTGACCCTGCTCCCAGGCCCAGCCCAACCCCCCTATCCCCTCAGGACTCCAGTATGGGGTTTAAACCGGGCTCTGACCCCACTCCCAGGCCCAGCCCAACCCCCTGGCCCCTCAGGACTCCGGTATGGGGTTCAGGCCGGGCTCTCACCCCATTCCCAGACCCAGCCTAACCCCCCTGGCCCCTCAGCTGGGCTCTCATCCCGCTCCCAGACCCAGTCTAACCCCCCTGGCCCCTCAGGACTCCAGTCTGGGGTTCAGGCCGGGCTCTCACCCCATTCCCAGGCCCAGCCCAACCCCCTGGCCCCTCAGGACTCCAGTGTGGGGTTTAGGCCGGGCTCTGACCCCGCTCCCAGACCCAGCCCAACCCCCTGGCCCCTCAGGACTCCAGTGTGGGGTTTAGGCCGGGCTCTGACCCCGCTCCCAGACCCAGCCCAACCCCCCTGGCCCCTCAGGACTCCAGTGTGGGGTTCAGGCCAGGCTCTCATCCTGCTCCCAGGCCCAGCCCAACCCCCCCTGGCCCCTCAGGACTCCGGTGTGGGGTTTAAACCAGGCTCTGACCCTGCTCCCAGACCCAGCCTAACCCCCCTGGCCCCTTGGCCGGGCTCTCACCCCATTCGAGCCCAGCCCCTGGCCCCTCAGGACTCCAGTGTGGGGTTCAGGCCGGGCTCTGACCCCATTCCCAGGCCCAGCCCAACCCCCCTGGCCCCTCAGGACTCCAGTCTGGGGTTCAGGCCGGCTCTGACCTACTCAGGCCCAGCCCTGGCCCCTCAGGACTCCAGTCTGGTGTTTAAACCGGGCTCTGACCCCTGCCCTGTCCCCGAGCAGCAAGAAGGAGCCGGTGGCTGCCAAGCCCAGCAAGGCCGCGCCCGCCTACGAGTCGGAGGAGGAGGAGAAGTGCAAGCCCATGTCCTACGAGGAGAAGCGGCAGCTGAGCCTGGACATCAACAAACTGCCCGGGGAGAAGCTGGGCCGGGTCGTGCACATCATCCAGTCCCGGGAGCCCTCGCTCAAGAACTCCAACCCCGACGAGATCGAGATCGACTTCGAGACGCTGAAGCCGTCGACGCTGCGCGAGCTGGAGCGCTACGTCACGTCCTGCCTGCGCAAGAAGAGGAAACCCCCAGGTACCCCGGGACCTGCAGGAGCTGCAGGGGTTCTAATTTGGGGCTTTAGGATCTACAGGGGCTCCAGTTTGGGGTTCAGGAGCTCCAGTTTGGGCTTCAGGAGCTCCAGTTTGGGGTTCAGGAGCTGCAGGGGCTCCAGTTTGGGGTTCAGGAGCTCCAGTTTGGGGTTCAGGAGCTGCAGGGGTTCTAATTTGGGTTTTAGGAGCTGCAGGGGTTCCAGTTTGGGTTCAGGACCTGCAGGGGTTCTAATTTGGGGTTCAGGAGCTGCAGGGGCTCCAGTTTGGGCTTCAGGAGCTGCAGGGGCTCTAATTTGGGGTTCAGGAGCTGCAGGGGCTCCACTTGGGGCTTCAGGAGCTGCAGGGGCTCCAGTTTGGGGTTCAGGAGCTGCAGGGCTCCAGTTTGGGCTTCAGGAGCTGCAGGGGCTCCACTTTGGGGTTCAGGAGCTGCAGGGGCTCCAGTTGGGGCTTCAGGAGCTCAGGGGCTCCAGTTTGGGGTTTAGGAGCTGCAGGGGCTCCACTTGGGGCTTCAGGAGCTGCAGGGGCTCCAGTTTGGGGTTCAGGAGCTGCAGGGGCTCCACTTTGGGGTTCAGGACCTCCAGGGGCTCCAGTTTGGGGTTCAGGAGCTGCAGGGGTTCCAGTTTGGGGTTTAGGATCTCAAGGGGTTCCAGTTTGGGGTTTAGGATCTCAAGGGGTTCCAGTTTGGGGTTTTAGGATCTCAAGGGGTTCCAGTTTGGGTTTTAGGATCTCAAGGGGCTCCAGTTTGGGGTTCAGGATCTCAAAGGGTTCCAGTTTGGGGTTCAGGATCTCAAAGGGTTCCAGTTTGGGGTTTTAGGATCTCAAGGGGTTCCAGTTTGGGGTTCAGGAGCTGCAGGGATATGCCAGGATAATTACAGGGTGGTTAATTAGCCCTTAACAAAGCCAAGGTAATTAGTGGGTGGTAATTAGCCCTTAACAAAGCCAAGGTAATTAGTGGGTGGCTAATTAGCCCTTAGCAGTGATTAATGGGTAGTGAATTAACAGTTAACAACACTAAGGTGATTAATGGGTGGTTAATTAACAGTGAGGTGATTAATGGGTGGTTCATTAGGTGATTAATGCTGGTTAATAGGGTGATTAATGGGCAGTTGATTAACTCCTGAAAAACCTGAGGTGATTAATTGGTGGTTTGTTAGGTGATTAATGGGTGGTTAATGAGGTGATTGTGGTTGGTTGGTTAATTGATTATGGACTGTTAATGAGGTGATTGTGGGTGGTTGGTTAATTGATTATGGACTGGTAATGAGGTGATTATGGGTGGTTGGATAGTTGATATGGGTGGTTAATGAGGTGATTATGGGTGGATGGGTGATTACAGGTAGTTAATGAGGTGATTGTGGGTGGATGGGTGATTACAGGTAGTTAATGAGGCGGTTATGAGTAGTTAGTAGATGATTAATGAGTGATTAAAGAGGTGGTAATGGATGGCTAATGAGGTGATTATGGGTGGTTAATAAGGTAATTAAAGGTGGTTAATGAGGCAATTACGGGTAGTTGGATAGGTCATTGATATGGGTGGTTAATGAGGTGATTACAGTGGTTAATTGATATGGGTGGTTAATGAGGTGATTACAGGTCATAGTGAGGTGATTACGAGTGGTTAATGAGGTAATGACAGCTGGTTAATGAGGTGATTATGGATGGTTAGTTGATATGGGTGGTTAATGAGGTAATTACAGGTGGTTAGTTAGTTGATCCCAGGTGGTTAATTAGTTGATCGTGGGTGATTGGTTAGTTGATAAGGGTGGTTAATGAGGTAATTACGGGCAGTTAGTTGATATGGGTGGTTAGTTAGTTGATATGGGTGGTTGTTAGGTGATTACAGGTGGTTAGTTAGTTGATCCCAGGCAGTTGGTTAGTTGATTATGGACTGTTAATGAGGTGATTGTGGGTGGTGGGTTAGTTGATATGGGTGGTTAATGAGGTAATGACAGCTGGTTAGTTGATCGTGGGTGGTTGGTTAGTTGATCATGGGTGGTTAATGAGGTAATTACAGCTGGTTGATGAGGTGATTATGGGTGGTTAGTTGATGTGGGTGGTTAATGAGGTAATTATGGGCGGTTAGTTAGTTGACCCCGGACAGTTAGTTAGTTGATTGTGGGTGGTGGGTTAGTTGATATGGGTGGTTAATGAGGTAATGACAGCTGGTTGATGAGGTGATTATGGGTGGTTAGTTGATATGGGTGGTCAATGAGGTAATTACAGGTGGTTAGTTAGTCAACCCCGGGCAGTTAGTTAGTTGATAGTGGGTGGTTAATGAGGTAATCACAGTGGTTGGTTAGTTTACCCCAGTGTGGTTAGTTAGTTGATGGTGGGTGGTTGATGAGGTAATCACAGTGGTTGGTTAGTCAGTTGATGGTGGGTGGTTGATGAGGTAATCACAGTGGTTGGTTAGTTTACCCTGGGTGGTTAGTTAGTTGATGGTGGGTGGTTAATGAGCTGATAGGAGTGGTTAATGAGGTAATCACAGTGGTTGGTTAGTTTGATGGTGGGTGGTTGATGAGGTAATCACAGTGGTTGGTTGGTCAGTTGATGGTGGGTGGTTGATGAGGTAATCACAGTGGTTGGTTAGTTAGTTGATGGTGGGTGGTTGATGAGGTAATCACAGTGGTTGGTTGGTCAGTTGATATCGGGTGGTTGATGAGGTAATCACAGTGGTTGGTTGGTTAGTTGATGGTGGGTGGTTAATGAGGTAATCACAGTGGTTGGTCAGTTGATGGTGGGTGGTCAATGAGGTAATCACAGTGGCTGGTTGGTCAGTTGATGGTGGGTGGTTGATGAGGTAATCACAGTGGTTGGTTAGTTTACCCCAGGCAGTTGGTCAGTTGATGGCGGGTGGTTAATGAGGTAATCACAGTGGTTTGTTGGTCAGTTGATGGCGGGTGGTCACTGAGTTAATTAGCGCTAACGAGCTGCCCCTCCCCCCCCCAGCAGAGAAGGTGGACGTCCTGGCCGGCTCCTCCAAGCTCAAGGGCTTCTCGTCGTCGGAGTCGGAGTCCAGCAGCGAGTCGAGCTCCTCCGACAGCGACGAGTCGGACTCAGGTTAGAGCTGCCCCCGCTCCCGCGGCCCCCCCGGCCGCTCCTGCAATAAACTCGTTTACAGCCCTGCCTCCGTCTGCCACTCCATCCTCTGCGCGCCTCCGGACGCGCCCGCACCGCTCGGGGACAACACCAGCTATCTGGCACCTCCGGGGGCACCACTGGCACCTCTGGGGTCATCTTTGGCATCTTCCCTCTGAGGGTACCTTCGGCAACTCCCCTCCCCTCTGGGGGCACCTTTGGCAGCTCCAGGGGCACCTTTGGCACTTCCCATCTAGGGGCACCTCTGGGGGCACCTTTGGCACCTCCCCTCTGGGGGCACCTTTGGCAGCTCCAGGGGCACCTTTGGCACCTCTGGGGGCACCTTTGGCACCTCCCCTCTGAGGGTACCTCTGGCACCTCCAGGGGCACCGCTGGCAGCTCTGGGGGCACCTTTGGCATCTCCCCTCTGAGAGTACCTTTGGCACTTCCAGGGGCACCACTGGCACCTCCAGGGGCACCTCTGGCACCTCCCCTCTGGGGGCACCTTTGGCACCTCCCCTCTGGGGGCACCTTTGGCACCTCCCCTCTGGGGGCACCTTTGGCACCTCCGGGGGCACCTTTGGCAACTCCCCTCTGAGGGTACCTTTGGCACCTCCCCTCTGGGGGCACCTTTGGCACCTCCGGGGCACCGCTGGCACCTCCCCTCTGAGGGTACCTTTGGCAGCTCCAGGGTCACCGCTGGCAGCTCTGGGGGCACCTCTGGCACCTCCTCTCTGGGGGCACCTTTGGCACCTCCAGGGGCACCTTTGGCATCTCCCCTCTGGGGGTACCTTTGGCAGCTCTGGGGGCACCTCTGGCACCTCTGGGGGCACCTCTGGTACCTCCAGGGGCACCACTGGCACCTCTGGGGGCTCCTTTGGCACCTCCTCCATCCCCCCTGCCCTGGGGCTGCCCCCGGGCTGGTCTTGTCTTAACGACCCTCTCGGCTTTAACGGCCCCGGTGCTGCTTTTAGGGTGAAAAAACGGAGATTTTGGCTCCGAGGGAAGCGCCAAAAACATCATTGGGGAAAAGGGGGGGGTTTGGGGATGGAAAGCTCCTCGGCAGGGGGGTCTGTGCTGGGGGATCCCGAGGGATGGAGGGGTTGGAGCGGGAATTTGGGATCCTGGGGCGTCTCCTCGCGCCGCCATCGCCGGGCATGGGCTTGGGTTGGGCTTGGGTTGGGTCGGGGTTTTCCTCCATCCCAAATTCCCAGGGAAGGAAGCCAAGCTGGTGCCGTCACTCCCACCTGCTCTGGGCTCGGTGGGGCTGGGAAATCCCATGGATGTGGTTGGAAGCCAAGCTGGTGCCGTCACTCCCGCCTGCTCTGGGCTCGCTGGGGCTGGGAAATCCCATGGATGGTTGAGCAAGCTGGGCCACCCCGCCTGCTCTGGGCTCGCTGGGGCTGGGAAATCCCATGGATGTGGTTGGGAATGATCGGGATGCGATTCCGGGGCCGGGGGAACAAAGAGGAGCAGAAATCCCAAAGAAAGGGAAGTAAATCCCAAAAAAAAACCCAAAAAGCGGGTTGGGTGGAGCTTCCCGGCAGTCTCGGGTTCAGGGGGGTGTTTGTGTGGGAGAAATCCGGGGTTTGGGATCTCTGCAGGTGTTTTTGGTGGAATTTGGATTTGAATTCCAGTTGGAAGCACCTGGGTTTAATTCACGGTTCCCCAGGTTTAATTTGCTGGCTCTTGGGTTGGATTGAAGGGTTTCAGTCACAGGTGCCTGGTTTAGATCAGATACTTGGGTTTAAATCAGATACTCAGGTTTAAATCAGATGCTTGGGTTTAAATCAGAGATACCTGGGTTTAAATCAGATACTCGGGTTTAAATCACAGACACCCGGGTTTAACTTGGAAATACCTGGGTTTAAATCACAGATAAACCGGTTTAAATCACCCATTACCTGGGTGCAGATCAGGACCTGGTTTAAATCACAGATAGCTGGGTTTAAATCACAGACAGCTGGGTTAAATTACAGATAGATGGGTTTAAATTACAGATACATTCAGGTAAGGGTGATTTAAACGAGGTAAACCAGATACCTGGCTTAAATCACAGATAGCTGGGTTTAAATCAAAAATACCTGGTTTAAATCACAGATAGCTGGTTTAAATTACAGATAACTAGTTTAAATTACAGATAGCTGGGTTTAAATTACAGATAACTGGTTTAAATCACAGATAGCTGGGTTTAAATCACAAATACCTGGTTTAAATCACAGATAGCTGGGTATAAATCACAAATACCTGGTTTAAATCACAGATAGCTGGGTTTAAATCACAGATATCTGGTTTAAATCACCCTTACCTGAATATAAACCAGATACCTGGTTTAAGTCACAGACACCTGGTTTAAATCCCCCTTACCTGGGTTTAAATTCCCCTTCCCCGGGTGCTCATCCCAAATCCAGAGCCTCAATCCCGGTGTCCCATTCCCAAACACACCCAGGGAATCGGGTTTAACCCACAGATAACCGGGTTTAACCCACAGATAACCGGGTTTAACCCAGAGATAACCAGGTTTAACCCATAGATAACCGAGTTTAACCCACAGATATCCAGGTTTAACCCACAGGTAACTGGGTTTAACTCACAGGTAACTGGGTTTAATCCACAGATATCCAGGTTTAACCCACAGGTAACTGGGTTTAACTCACAGGTAATTGGGTTTAACCCACAGATAATCAAGTTTAACCCACAGATAACCAGGTTTAATCCACACATATCCAGGTTTAACCCACAGGTAATTGGGTTTAACCCACAGATAACCAGGTTTAACTCAGAAATACCCAGCTTTAATTCCCCCCCCAAAAAGACCAGACAAAACCCTGTATAAATCAGCTGATTTTAGTTTTAATCAGTAAACCCAATCAAGGGGCTCTGCTCCAAACCCCATTTTTTCATGGAAAGGAGGGAATTTTGACCCGGAACGTGGAAATTCGGGGGGGGGTGGAACCGTCTCTCGGGGTTTCGCCGTTTGGGGGGTTGGGGTGGGACTGAACTGAGGATTTGGGGAACAATCCAATCAATCCATCAGTGTGGGCGGAGCCTCAGGGCCCAATTTAACCTTCCTGCTGGAAAATCAGCCGGAAATGACGTCGTGGAAGGGACCTTTGTCATCGACCCCAGCCCCGTGGGTGGAACGGGGTCGGAGTCGGGAGAGACCCCGGGGCAGGTGATGGACCCCAAAACACCGGCTGTGACCCAACAGTCGGCTCCAGGGGGTGAAGGTCCATCCTTGGGTTGGGTTGGCACCTCCAGAATCACCAAGAGACCCTCCAGGACCACGTGATCCGACTGTGACCCAACAATCGGCTCCAGAGGGTGAAGGACCATCCTTGGGTTGGGTTGGAGTCTCCAAAATCACCAAGAGACCCCCCCGGGACTACGTGACCAGACTGTGACCCAACAATCGGCTCCAGGGGGTGAAGGACCGTCCTTGGCTTGGGTTGGCACCTCCAAAATCACCAAGAGAGCCCCTTGAACTGTATGATCCCTGTGACCCAGCAATGGCACCAGAGGGGATGGAAGCTCATCCTTGGGTTGGGTTGGGTTGGTATCTCCAAAATCACCAAGAGACCCACCAGGACCTCGTGATCCGACTGTGACCCAACAATTGGCACCAGTGGATGAAGGACCATCCTTGGCTTGGGTTGGTATCTCCAAAATCACCAAGAGACTTCTCAAGGACCACGTGATCTGACTGTGACCCAACAATCGGCTTCAGCGGACGAAGATCCATCCTTACCTTGGGTTGGTTCCTCCAAAATCACCAAGAGAACCCTCAGGACCATGTGATCCATCTGTGACCCAACAATCAGTTTCATGGGATGAAGGTCCATCCTTGGGTTGGGTTGGGACCTCCAAAATCACCAAGAGACCCCCCCAGGACTACATGATCCATCTGTGACCCAACAGTCGGCATCAGCGGGGATGGAAGTTCATCCTTGGGTTGGCACCTCCAAAATCACCAAGAGAGCCCCTCAGGACCACGTGATCCATCTGTGACCCAACAATCGGCTTCATGGGATGAAGATCCATCCTTGGGTTGGGTTGGCACCTCCAAAATCACCAAGAGACCCCTCCAGGACCACGTGACCAGACTGTGACCCAACAGTCGGCATCAACGGGAATGGAAGGTCATCCTTGGGTTGGCATCTCCAAAATCACCAAGAGAGCCCCCAAGACCACGCGATCTGACTGTGACCCAACAATTGGCACCAGTAGATGAAGGTCCATCCTTCCATCCTTGGCTTGGGTTGGTATCTCCAGAATCACCAAGTGACCCTCCCAGGACCACGTAATCCAACTGTGACCCAGCAATTGACACCAGCAGATGAAGGTCTATCCATTGGTTGGGTTGGCATCTTCAAAATCACCAGGAGACCCCCCCTTGAATCATTTGATCCAACTGTGACCCAACAATCAGCACCAGAGGGGATGGAAGCTCATCCTTGGGTTGGCACCTCCAAAATCACCAAGAGATCCCTACAGGACCTCGTGATCCATCTGTGACCCAACAATCGGCTCCAGAGGGTGAAGGACCGTTCTTGGGCTGGGTTGGAGTCTTCAAAATCACCAAGAGACCCCCTTGAACTGTATGATCCAACAATCAACACCAGAGGGGATGGAAGCTCATCCTTGGGTTGGGTTGGAGTCTCCAAAATCACCAAGAGATCCCTACAGGACCACGTGATCCATCTGTGACCCAACAATCGGCTCCAGGGGATGAAGGACCGATCTTGGGTTGGGTTGGCACCTCCAAAATCACCAAGAGACCCCCTTGAATTGTGTGATCCAACTGTGACCCAACAATCGGCACCAGTGGTTGAAGGTCCAATCCTTGGCTTGGTTTGGAATCTCCAAAATCACCAAGAAACTTCTTCAGGACCACGTGATCCATCTGTGACCCAACAATCAGCTCCAGGGGGTGAAGGTCCATACTTGGGTTGGGTTGGCATCTCCAGAATCACCAAGAGACCCTCCCAGGACCACGTGATCCATCTGTGACCCAACAATCGGCATCATCGGGGATGGAAGTTCATCCTTGGGTTGGCATCTCCAAAATCACCAAGAGACCCCTCCAGGACCATGTGACCAGACTGTGACCCAACAGTCGGCTTCAGCGGACGAAGATCCATCCTTGGGTTGGGTTGGCATCTCCAAAATCACCAAGAGAGCCCCCAGGACCACGTGATCCGACTGTGACCCAACAATTGGCACCAGTGGATGGAGATTCATCCTTGGGTTGGGTTGGTGTCTCCAAAATCCCCAGGAGACCCCCCAGGACCATCGTGGTGTTCATCTTGCCAGAGGAACAGCACCAGGAGTGTTGAATTTGGAGAAGCTTTTCTGGGAGCTGATGTTTGTTCCCACCTGCTCCTGGATTATCCACGGCTTTCCTCCTCTTCCCACTCCAGTTTCTCCCAAGTTTTTGGGGTTTCTCCACCATCCTGGGGGTGCTTTGATCCTGATCTGGGCAGGACAGACACTTGGGGGGTGGTGAAGCCGCCTCTGCTCTCCAGGATCAGCTCCCAGGGGTGTTTTATCCATAGGGATCATCCCCTGGATAATCTGCACCCCAGGATCTGCTCCCAGGGGTGTTTTATCCCTGGGGATCACCCTCTGGATAATCTGCTCCCCAGGATCTGCTCCCAGGGGTGTTTTATCCCTGGGGATCATCCCCTGGATAATCTGCTCCCCAGGATCTGCTCCCAGGGGTGTTTTATCCCTGGGGATCATCCCCTGGATAATCCTCTCTCCACCCCTTGTCCTTGGATCTTCTCAAGCAGCGAGTCCTGCAGAGCAATTCCAGCCTCGTGGGAGAGGAACTCGGCTCCTGGTCTGTCTGGAGAGGTCCCTGTGGAGCTGTGGATGCTCATCTGGACCATGGACACCCCTTGGAAACTGTGGATGCCCCTCCCAATCCATGGACACCCCTTGGATGCTGTGGATGCCCCTCCCAATCCATGGACACCTCTCTGGAGCTGTGGATGCTCATCTGGACCATGGACACCTCTCTGGAGCTGTGGATGCTCATCTGGACCATGGATACCCCTTGGAAGCCCTGGATGCCCCTCTCAATCCATGGACACCCCTTGGAAGCCCTGGATGCCCCTCTCAATCCATGGACACCCCTTGGAAGCCCTGGATGCCCCTCCCAATCCATGGATAACCCTTGGATGACCTGGATGCCCCTCCCAGTCCATGGACACCCCTTGGATGACCTGGATGCCCCTCCCAGTCCATGGACACCCCTTGGATAGCCTGGATGCCCCTCCCAGTCCGTGGACAACCCTTGGAAGCCCTGGATGTCCCTCCCAATCCATGGACACCCCTCTGGAGCTGTGGGTGGCGATTGGAATTTGTGGAGATCCACCCAGATCCATGGAATTCATGGAGATCCACCCAGATGTGGATGTTTGAAGCCGTGGATGCCCATCCCAATCCATGGAAGGGTTGGAGCTGCAGGCACCCCTCTGGATCCAGGGGTGCCCATCCCAATCCACAACCACCCACCTGGAGCCAGGGATGCCCATCTGGATTCACAGTTGGATCCCACCTGGATCCAGGGATTCCCATCTGGATTCACAGTTGGATCCCACCTGGATCCAGGGATTCCCACCTGGAGCCACAGTTGGATCCCACCTGGATCCATCTGGATTCTCAGCCACCCTCCTGTCCCCCTGACTTTCCCAACCAATCCCACCTCCCCCCCTGACCTTCCCCTTCCCCTCTCCCGCTCTTCCCTTACCCCTGGATCCGTCGGATCTGTGGGATCTGCTCTGGGAATCATCGACCACGGACCCAAATCGCTTCTTTTTCACCTCAGAACCAGCTGTGATTCTTTTCCTGGAATCCCAAACATTTGCAGCTGGATCATTGCCAGTGGAGATCCCGTCCCATCCCATCCCATCCCGTCCCCTCCTATCCCATCCCATCCCGTCCCCTCCCATCCCATCCCATCCCATCCCATCCCATCAATCCCATCCCATCAATCCCCTCCCCTCCTCCCCTCCCATCCCATCCTATCCCATCCCATCCCATCCATCCCATCCCATCCCATCCCATCAATCCCATCCCCTCCCATCCCATCCCATCCCATCAATCCCATCCCATCAATCCCATCCCATCCCATCATCCCATCCCATCCCATCCCATCAATCCCATCCCATCCCATCAATCCCATCCCCTCCCATCCCATCAATCCCATCCCCTCCCATCCCCTCCCATCCCCTCCCATCCCCTCCCATCCCATCCCATCCCATCCCATCCCCCGGGGCACTGGAGATGCCTCAGGATCAAAGGAATCACCTGCAGGAGTTGGATTTTAATTCCTGGAGGGATTTAAGGGAAAATCCCACCTGGGAAACGATCCCTGAGGATCAGGGGGGGATTTTTCCCACCGGGATCATCCCCAGGAGGGTTTTATCCGTCAGGTTTTTCCAGGCACGTTCCAACCTTGTTCCAAACAGGATTTCCAGGATCGGATAAAGGATCTTGGACAATGGATTTCATTAATCCCGAGTTTCTTGGTGCTTTTGGGGGAGGAAACCCTGGGAAATCCCTGCCCTGGATCCCAAATCCCACCGGTTCCTTCTGAAAAAGGATTGGACGAGGGGAGGAGGGTTGGGAGCTCCTCCCACAGCCGTGGATTTGGGGGGATGGGGGATGGAAAGGCGGCGTTTGCGTCACTGCTGTGTTTGATTCCCGAATTTTTGATCTTTGGGATATTTGATTCCTGAGTTTTTAACTCTTGGGATATTTGATTCCTGAATTTTTGATCTTTGGGGTATTTAACTCCTGATTATTTTTTTTCTTATCCTTGGGATACTCGATTCCTGAATTCTTAAATGTTGGGACATTTGATTCCTGAATTTTTTCCCCATTGGGACATTTGATTCCTGACGTTTTTATCCGTTGGGATACTTGATTCCTGAATTTTAGGCTGTTGGGATGTTTGACACCTGAGGGTTTTATCTCTGGGATATATAATTCCCAATTTTTTTATCCCTGGGGTATTTGATTCCCGATTCCTTTTCCTCCCTCCCTCCAGGCCTCTCTTTCCATGTCTCCCCTCGGATCCTGCGGCGTTCCCGGCCGATCCCGGGCCTGTCCTGGCCTCTGGAATCCCTTGGGGTTGAGTTCCACCTTTTCCTTCCTCCCCCAAATCTCAGGGCTGGAATTCTGGGCAATCCCAGCTCCACCAACAACCCCTTCCCTGTTTTTTGGGATGGGCATTGACAGCACCTCTTTCTTTCCCTGGTTTTTGGGATGGGCACTGACAGTTCCTGATTCCCAGTTTTTTGGGATGGGCACTGACAATGCCTCTTTCTTTCCCAGTTTTTTGGGATGGGCACTGACAGCACCTCTTTCTTTCCCTGTTTTTTGGGATGGGCACTGGTGGTTCCTCATTCCCAGTTTTTTGGGATGGGCACTGACAGCGCCTCTTTCCCCTCTTTTTTTGGCAGAAATGGCGCCCAAGTTGAAGAAGAAGGGGCATTCGGGGCGAGAGCAGAAGAAGGTGAGACCCCAGCACGGCCTCGGGGTGGGAATGGGAGCTCTGGGAACACCGGGAATGCCGGGGGGGACGGGGCTTGAGTGGGCCCCATGGATTTCCTGGGAACACATTCCCAGTTGGTCCAGGGAGGGTGGGAAGGGCTTCCAGAGGCATTGGGGAGGTGTTTTGGGAACTTGGGAGGTGTTTTGGGAACTTGGGAGGTGTTTTGGGAACTTGGGAGGTGTTTTGGGGACCAGGAGGGTGTTCTGAGGATCTGGGAGGTGTTTTGGGGACCGGGAGGGTGTTTTGGTGACCAAAAAGGTGTTTCAGTTACTGGGAGGGTCATGAGAGCCACTTGACTACCAGTAACCCATTTTTGATGACCAATAACCCATTTTGGATGACCAGTAACCCATTTCCGATGACCAGAACCCATTTCTGATGACCAATAACCCATTTCTGATGACCAGTAACTCATTTTGGATGACCAATAACCCATTTCTGACCACCAGTAACCCATTTGTGACGACCAGTAACCCATTTTTGATGACCAGTAACCCATTTCTGATGACCAATAACCCATTTTTGATGACCCATAACCCATTTCCGACAACCAATAACCCATTTCCCACAACCAATAACCCATTTTTGATGACCCATAACCCATTTGTTACCACCAGTAACCCATTTCCGACGACCAATAACCCATTTCCGACAACCAGTAACCCATTTCCGATGACCAATAACCCATTTCCGATGACCAATAACCCATTTCCGATGACCAATAACCCATTTCCGACGACCAATAACCCATTTCCGACAACCAATAACCCATTTCCGACAACCAATAACCCATTTCTGATTACCAATAACCCATTTTTGATGACCCATAACCCATTTTTGATGACCAATAACCCATTTCTGATGACCAATAACCCATTTCTGATTACCAATAACCCATTTTTGATGACCAATAACCCATTTCTGATGACCCATTACCCATTTGTTACCACCAGTAACCCATTTCCGACGACCAATAACCCATTTCCGACAACCAGTAACCCATTTTTGATGACCAGTAACCCACTATTGACAACTAATAACCCATTTCCGATGACCAATAACCCATTTCCCACAACCAATTACCCATTCCTGACCACCCAGTAACCCATTTCCGACAACCAATAACCCATTTCTGATGACCAGTAACCCATTTCCGACCACCAATAACCCATTTCCGACCACCAATAACCCATTTCTGATGACCAGTAACCCATTTTTGATGACCAATAACCCATTTCTGATGACCCATAACCCATTTCTGTCGACCAATAACCCATTTCCCACATGCAATAACCCATTCCCGACCACCCAGTAACCCATTTCCAACAACCACTCACTCAGGCGACCCAGGGGGGGCTGAATTTCCGTGACCAAAACGCCGTTTTCAGCACCCCTGACCGCCCCTCTCGTGTCCTTTTCCCTCGACAGCACCACCACCACCACCACCAGGCGCCGGCGCCGCCCCCTCAGCCGCAGCCCCCGGCGGTGGCCCCGGCGCCGCCTCCGGCGCAGCCCCCGCCGCCCGTCCCGGCTCCCCGCCCCGCCCGTCAAGGCGTCGCCGCCGCCCTTCGTGCCCGCCCGGTGCCGGTGCTGGAGCACCCCCTGCCCGGCACCATGTTCGACACCATGGGCCACTTCGGCCAGCCCATCCTGCACCTGCCCCAGCCCGAGCTGCCCCCACACCTGCCCCCGGCGGCCGAGCACGGCACCCCCCCCCACCTCAACCAGCACGTGGTGTCTCCTCCAGGTCAGCGGGGCGGGGACACCGGGAGGCTGGGGGATTTGGACCTCCCTGGGGGGGTTGTCACTCCTGGGTGGGGTTTGTGCCTCCTGGGTGGGGTTTTTTCCTCATGGGTGGGGTTTTTTCCTCCTGGGTGGGGTTTGTGCCTCCTGGGTGGGGTTTGTCACTCCTGGGTGGGGTTTGTGCCTTCTGGGTGGGGTTTGTCACTCCTGGGTGGGATTTGTCCCTCCTGGGTGGGGTCTTTCACTCTTGAAGGAACTGGGTGGGTTCTGTCCCTCCTGGGGGTGTTGGGTGGGGTTTGTCCCCCCTGTAGGAGCTGGGTGGGGGTTCTGTCCCTCCTGGGGGTGTTGGGTGGGATCTGTCCCTCCTGAGGGTGTTGGGTGGGGTTTGTCCCTCCTTGGGGTGCTGGGTGGGTTCTGTCCCTCCTGGGGGTGTTGGGTGGGTTCTGTCCCCCCTGTAGGAGTTGGGTGGGTTCTGTCCCTCCTGTAGGAGCTGGGTGGGTTCTGTCCCTGCTGTAGTTGCTGGGTGGGTTCTGTCCCTCCTGGATGGGTTCTGTCCCCACTGTGGGAGCTGGGTGGGGGTTCTGTCCCTCCTGGATGGGTTCTGTCTCTCCTGGGGGTATTGGGTGGGGATTGTCCCTCCTGGGGGTGCTGGGTGAGGGTTCTGTCCCCCCTGTAGGAGCTGGGTGGGTTCTGTCCCTCCTGTAGGAGCTGGGTGGGTTCTGTCCCTGCTGTAGGAGCTGGGTGGGGGTTCTGTCCCTCCTCGGGGTGCTGGGTGGGATCTGTCCCTCCTGAGGGTGTTGGGTGGGTTCTGTCCCTCCTGGGTGGGTTCTGTCCCTCCTGGGTGGGATCTGTCCCTTCTGGGTGGGATCTGTCCCTGCTGTAGGAGCTGGGTGGGGGTTCTGTCCCTCCTGGGGGTGCTGGGTGAGGGTTCTGTCCCTCCTGGAGGGTGCCAGGGCAGGGTGGAGGAGCGATGGGTGGGCACAGAGAGCTTCTCCACTCCTGACATCCCCGTGTCCTTCTGGGCCCTCCCCCCATCCCAGAGGCAGGAGTTGGTGCCGGGTGGGTTCCGCCCCTGCCGGCAGTGCCGGGCGGGCTCGGGGCGGGCGCCGTGACCCCCTCACTGACCACGCCCGTCCTTCTCCCTTCCTCCCCGCAGCTTTGCACAACGCTCTGCCTCAGCAGCCCTCGAGGCCCAGCAACCGCGCCGCGGCGCTGCCGCCCAAGCCCCCGCGCCCCCCGGCCGTGGCGCCGGCGCTGCCGCCGCAGCCGCTCCTGCCGCAGCCGCCGCTGCCGCAGCCGCCGCAGGTGCTGCTGGAGGACGAGGAGCCGCCGGCGCCGCCGCCGCCGCACCACGGGCTGCCCCTGAGCGCCAGCCAGATGCAGCTGTACCTGCAGCAGCTGCAGAAGGTGCAGCCGCAGACTCCGCTTCTCCCTTCAGTGAAGGTCCAGTCGCAGGCGCCGCCGGGGCCGCCGCCGGGGCCGCCCTCGGCGCTGCCGCCGCCGCCTCCGGTGCCGCCCTCGGCGCACCCCGCGGTGCAGCAGCTGCAGCCGCCGCCGCCACCGCGCTCGCTGCACGTGCAGCCCCTGCCCTTCCCGCCCCACCTGCCGCGGCCGCGCCGCGGCCGCCCCCAGCAGCAGCAGCAGCAGCAGCAGCCCAGCAGCAGCAGCACCCCGCAGCCCCCTACAGCCCCCGCAGCCTCGGCGCAGCACGCCGGCGCCCGCCAAGCGCAGCAGGTCATCCAGCACCACCTCGCGCGGCACCACAAACCGGACCCTACGGCAGCGGTGAGCGGCTGCAGCAGCGGCAGCGGCACCGGCAGCAGGAGGAGGAGGAGGAGGAGGATGGGGGGATGGGGGTGGAGGGGTGAGGGGGTGGGGGTGGTGGACTCCCGCCCGCTGAGGGTTCTGTGGTCAGGCGCGCGGGTCGGGCGCTTGGAGGAGGTGGAGGAGCTCAGGGACAGCCACTCGGGGAGGGTCTCGGGGGCCTGGAGTTGTTGGGGGTCTCAGGGATCTCCAGGTTTTAGGGCCTGGAGTTGTTGAGGGTCTCAAGGATCTCCAGGTTTTAGGGCCTGGAGTTGTTGGGGGTCTCAAGGATCTCCGGGTTTTAGGGCCTGGAGTTGTTGGGGGTCTCGGGGATCTCCAGGTTGTAGGGCCTGGAGTTGTTGGGGGTCTCAAGGATCTCCAGGTTTTAGGGCCTGGAGTTGTTGGGGGTCTCAAGGATCTCTAGGTTTTAGGGCCTGGAATTGTTGAGGGTCTCGGGGATCTCCAGGTTTTAGGACCTGGAGTTGTTGGGGGTCTTGGGGATCTCCAGGTTGTAGGGCCTGGAGTTGTTGGGGGTCTTGGGGATCTCCAGGTTTTAGGACCTGGAGTTGTTGAGAATCTCAGGGATCTCCAGGGTTTAGGACCTGGAGTTGTTGAGGGTCTCGAGTTGCTGAGGATCTCGGGATCTCCAGTTGTTGGGGGTCTCAAGGACCTTGAGTTTCTGAGGATCTCTGGGATCTCCATTTGTTGGGGATCCCGAGTTATTGAGGGTCCTAAGGATCTCCAGTTGTTGGGGATCTCAAGGACCTTGAGTTTTTGAGAATCCTGAGGATCTCCAGTTGTTGAGGATCTTTAAATACTGAGGATCTCAGGGATCTCCAGTTTTTAGGACCTGGAGTTGTTGAGGGTCTCGAGTTACCGAGGATCTCGGGGATCTCCAGTTGTTGAGGATCCTGAGTTTTTGAGGATCTTGAGGATCTCCAGTTGTTGGGGATCTCAAGGACCTTGAGTTTCTGAGGATCTTGAGGATCTCCAGTTGTTGGGGGTCTCCAGTTACTGAGGATCTTGAGGATCTCCAGTTGTTGAGGGTCTCCGGTTACTGAGGATCTTGGGATCTCCAGTTGTTGGGGGTCTCCAGTTACTGAGGATCTCAGGGATCTCCAGTTGTTGAGGGTCTCCAGTTGTTACTGAGGATCTCAGGGATCTCCAGTTGTTGGGGGTCTCCAGTTGTTACTGAGGATCTCGGGATCTCCAGTTGTTGAGGGTCTCCAGTTGTTACTGAGGATCTGGGGATCTCCAGTTGTTTGGGGTCTCTGGGATCCCCGTGTTTGGAGGGTCTCGAGTTCTTGAGGGTTTCAAGGAGCTCCAGTTTTGGAGGATCCTGAGTTGCTGAGGGTCTCGAGGGTCTCCAGTTGTTGAGAATCTCAAGGACTTGAGTTATTGAGGATCTCAAGTTTCTGAGGATCTCGAGGATCTCTGGTTGTTGAGGATCTTGAGGATCTCCAGTTCTTTAGGACCTTGAGGCTGCCAAGTCATTGAGGCTCTCTGGTTCCTGAGCATCTCCAGAATCTCTGGTTCTGAGGATCTCCAGGATCTCTGGTTTTGGGGATCTCCAGGATCTCTGGTTTTGGGGATCTCCAGCCGTGAGGATCTTGAGTTTTTGAGTACCTTGAGGATTCCAAGGATGGCCAGGTTTTGAGGATCTCCAGTCACTGAGGATCTCAGGGGCCTCTTTTCATGAACACCTTGATGTCAAGTTCTTGAGGAACTCCCAGTTTTTGAATCACGGAGGAACTTGAGGACGGGAAGGTTTTGAGGGTCTCAAGTGCTGGAGGGTCTCGAGGTCCTCAGACCTTTGAACATCTCCAGGGGCTCGAGATTTTGAGGATCTTTTGAGGATCTGAAGGATCTTCAGTGTTTGAGAATCTTGAGGATCTCGTTTCTGAGGATCTCAGATCTTGGAGAGGTCCTGATGTCCCTCAGGGTCTCAGTGATCTCAGCTCCCTGAGGATTTGGGGACCTGGAAAATCTCATTCTTGAGCATCTCAGAGTTCCCAAATTTTGGAGGATCTCCATTCTTGAGGAACACCAAGATTCCCTCCTTGAGGAACACCAAGATCTCCATCCTTGAGGAACTCCAAGATCTCCATCCTTGAGGAACACCAGGATTCCATCCCTGAGGAACCCCAGGATTCCATCCTTGAGGAACACCAGGATTCCATCCTGAGGAACACCAGGATCTCCATCCTTGAGGAACACCAGGATCTCCATCCTTGAGGAACACCAGGATCTCCATCCTTGAGGAACACCAGGATTCCAATCAGCGAGGAACACCAGGGATCTCGAGGAACGCCAGAGTTCCATCCCTGAGGAACCTCAGGATTCCATCCTTGGGGAACCCCAGGATCTCCACCCTTGAGCTCAGGATTCCATCCTTGAGGAACACCAGGATCTCGAGAAGCACCAGGATTCCATCAGAGGAACACCAGGATCCCATCCTTGAGGAACCACCAGGATCTCGAGGAACACCAGGATTCCGGCCCACGAGGAACACCAGGATCTCCATCCTTGAGGAACACCAAGATCTCCAATCCTTGAGGAACACCAAGATCTCCCTCCTTGAGGAACACCAGGATTTGAGGAACCCCAGGATTCCATCCTTGAGGAGCACCAGGATTCCACCCTTGAGGAACACCAGGATTTCGAGGAACCCCAGGATTCCATCCCTGAGGAACACCAGGATTCCATCCTTGAGGAACACCAGGATTCCGTCCTTGAGGAACCCCAGGATTCCATCCTTGAGGAACACCAAGATTCCCTCCTTGAGGAACACCAGGATTCCATCCTTGAGGAACACCAGGATTCCATCCTTGAGGAACACCAGGATTCCCTCCTTGAGGAACACCAGGATTCCATCCTTGAGGAACCCCAGGATTCCATCCTTGAGGAACACCAGGATTCCATCCTTGAGGAACACCAAGATCTCCAATCCTTGAGGAACACCAGGATCTCCATCCTTGAGGAACACCAGGATCTCCATCCTTGAGGAACCCCAGGATTCCATCCTTGAGGAACACCAGGATTCCATCCCTGAGGAACACCAGGATTCCATCCTTGAGGAACACCAGGATTCCATCCTTGAGGAACACCAGGATTCCATCCTTGAGGAGCACCAGGATCTCCATTCTTGAGGAGCACCAGGATCTCCATCCTTGAGGAACACCAGGATCTCGAGGAACACCAGGATTCCATCCTTGAGGAACACCAAGATCTCCATCCTTGAGGAACACCAGGATTCCATCCTTGAGGAACTCCAGGATTCCATGGTTGAGGGAGAGGGAAGGGCAGGCAGGGACTGGGAAGGGGGAAGGAGTGGCAGGGAAGGGCAGGCAGAGGCTGGAGCAGCTTCTCCTGCCCCCAGGACACAATTCCCGGGTGGAGCTGGACCCAGACCCTGCTGCAGCTCCAGGCAGGGAGGGGGGAAGGGCAGTGCCCACCCTCGGGACACCACACTTGAGCCACACTCAGTGCAGGGTGACCAGGGTCTCATGGGGACATCCTGGGGACAACACACTCCATCCAGGGCCACCACACTCCCTCCAGGGCCACCACACTCCATCCAGGGCCACCACTCTCAGTCCAGGGCCACCACACTCCATCCAGGGCCACCACTCTCAGCCCAGGGCGTGTCAGGGCCACCACACCATCCAGGGACACCACACTCCATCCAGGCCACCACACTCCATCCAGGGCCACCACATTCCCTCCAGGGTGTGTCAGGGCCACCACACTCCTTCCAGGGCCACCACTCTCAGCCCAGGGTGTGTCAGGGCCACCACACTCCATCCAGGGCCACCACAGTCCCTCCAGGGCCACCACACTCCATCCAGGGCCACCACTCTCAGTCCAGGGCCACCACACTCCTTCGAGGGCCACCACAGTCCCTCCACGGCCACCACACTCCCTCCAAGGCCACCACACTCCTTCCAGGGCGTGTCAGGGCCACCACACTCCCTCCAGGGTGGCCAGGGTCCCATGGGGACATCCTGGGGACAACACATTCCATCCAGGGGGTGTCAGGGCACCACACCTGACTCAGGGCCACCACTCTTCATCCAGGACCACCACAATACTTGAGTCAGGGCCACCACACTCCATGTCAGGGGGTGTCGGGCACCACACTTGCCTCAGGGCCACCATTCTCATTCCAGGGCACGTCAGGGCACCACACTCCATCTCAGGGCCACCACACTCCATCCAGGATGTGTCAGGGCCACCACTCTCCATGTCAGGGCCACCACACTTGACTCCATCCACGACCACCCCCATCCCTGCAGGGCCAGTCCCCCCTGTCCCTCAGGGCCGTGTCGGGGCTGTTGTGGGGCCGTGGTGAGGGTGCCATGGCGAGTATGGTGGGCAGCCGTGAGCCGTGATGGGTGCCGATGGCACAGTGGCTGTGGTGGGGCATGGCGGTGGGCAGGGCCATGGCTGTGGTGGGGCCGTGTTATGGACCATGGCAGTGCCGTGGCTGTGGCAGTTCCGGGGTGGTGCCATGGCTGCGGTGGGGCCGTGACGGGCACGGTGGTGCCATGGCTGTGGTGGGACGGTGCCCATGGTGGTGTCGTGACCGTGGCGGTGCCATGGCCATGGTGGGGCTGTGGTGAGGCCGTGGTGGGCACAGTGGGACCATGGCCGTGGTGGGATGGTGCCATGGCAGTGTGTGGCTGTGGCCATGGTGGTGCCAGTGGCCATGGTGGGGTGCATGTGCTGTGGCTGTGGCGGTGGCCGTGGTGTGGTGCCATGGCTGCGGTGGGGCCGTGACGGGCACAGTGGGGCCGTGGCCGTGGTGGGGCCATGGCAGGCACGGTGGTGCCATGGCCGTGGTGGGACGGTGCCATGGCTGTGATGGTGCCAGGGTGGGGCTGGAGTTGTGGTGGGACGATGCCGTGGCCGTGGCAGTGCCGTGGCCGTGGTGGGACGGTGCTGTGGCAGTGCCATGGCTGTGGTGAGGCCGCGGCGGGCACAGTGGTGCCGTGGCTGTGATGGGACCATGGCCGTGGTGGGATGGTGCCCATGGTGGTGTCGTGACCGTGGTGGTGCCATGGCCGCAGTGGGGCTGTGGTGAGGCCATGGTGGGCACAGGGGGGCTGTGGCCATGGCAGTACCGTGGCCGTGGTGGGACGGTGCCATGGTGGGATGGTGCCATGGTGGTGCCATGGCCATTGTGGAACGATGCCATGGCAGTGCCGTGGCCATGGTGGGACGGTGCCATGGTGGGATGGTGCCATGGTGGGATGGTGGCTGTGGTGGGACGGTGCCATGGCAGTGCCGTGGCCGTGGTGGGACGGTACCATGGTGGGACGGTGCCATGGCAGTGCCGTGGCCGTGGTGGGATGGTGCCATGATGGTGTCATGGCCATGGTGGGATGGTGCCATGGTGGGATGGTGCCATGGCAGTGCCGTGGCCGTGGTGGGATGGTGCCATGGTGGGACGGTGCCATGGCAGTATCATGGCTGTTTTGGTGCCGTGGCGGCGTCGGTGGCGTCGGGTGCCGCCGAGGCCGTCCGTGTGACTGACCGGTGCCCCCCCCCTTCTCAGGTCACCTGCGGGAAGCCCCCTCCCCTCTCATGATGCATTCCCCACAGATGCCGCCCTTCCAGGCTCTGGTGCACCAATCGCCACCCCAGCAGAGCATCCAGCCAAAAAAACAGGTAAAAAAACCAAACAACCAAAAAAAACAGGTAAAAAAACAGGTAAAAAAACCAAACAGCCAAAAAACAGGTAAAAAGCCAACCAAAAAACAGGTGAAAAACCAACCAAAAAACAGGTAAAAACCAGCCAAAGAAATAGGTAAAAAACAGGTAAAAAACCAGGTACCAACTCGGAGGGGGGGAACCTCAGGGGGGAGAATAAAAAACAACTCCCCCACCCCCGTGGGGGACCCTCCAACCTGCCAGAGCCACAGCCACGGTTTAGGGGGGAGTTGGGGGGGTTTTTGAGGTGGGGCAGGAGGGTTTGGGGTGGAGCAGGAGGTTTTGGGAGGGTTTGGGGTGGGGCAGGAGGGTTTGGGGTGGGGCAGGAGGTTTTTGGGAGGGTTTGGGGTGGGGCAGGAGGGTTTGGGGTGGGGCAGGATGGTTTTGGGGTGGTTTGGGGGGTTTGGGTGGGGCAGGAGGGTTTTGGGGTGGGGCAGGATGGTTTTGGGGTGGTTTGTGGGGGTTTTTGGGTGGGGCAGGAGGGTTTGGGGGGGCTTTGGGGTGGGGCAGGAGATTTTGGGGGTGCCCAGGTGGGTGCTGATCTGGGCCTGGCCGTGGCAGGAGCTGCGAGCAGGCGTCCGTGGCACAGGAGGTTTAGGAGGGTTTTGGGGTGGGGCAGGAGGATTTTGGGATGGTTTTAGGTGGGTTTTTGGGTGGGGCAGGAGGTTTTGGGTGCTGATTTGGGCCTGGCCGTGGCAGGAGCTGCAAGCGCGTCCGTGGGACAGGAGGGTTTTGGGGTGGGAAGGAGGGTTTTGGGTGGGACAGGAGGGTTTTGGGGTGGGGCAGGAGGTTTTGGGTGCTGATCTGGGCCTGGCCGTGGCAGGAGCTGCGAGCGGCGTCCGTGGGACAGGAGGGTTTTGGGGTGGGACAGGAGGGTTTGGGGTGGGACAGGAGGGTTTTGGGGGTGGGACAGGAGGGTTTTGGGGTGGGGTTTTGGGGTGGGGCAGGAGGTTTTGGGGTGCCCAGTTGTGTGCTGATTTGGGTCTGGCCATGGCAGGAGCTGCGAGCGGCGTCCGTGGGACAGGAGGGTTTTGGGGTGGGGCAGGAGGGTTTTGGGGTGGGGCAGGAGGGTTTTGGGGTGGAGTTTTGGGTGGGGCAGGAGGGTTTTGGGGTGCCCAGGCAGGTGCTGATTTGGGTCTGGCCGTGGCAGGAGCTGCGAGCGGCGTCCGTGGTGCAGGAGGGTTTTGGGGTGGGACAGGAGGGTTTTGGGGTGGGTTTTTGGGGTGGGGCAGGAGGTTTTGGGTGCTGATTTGGGCCTGGCCGTGGCAGGAGCTGCGAGCGGCGTCCGTGGGACAGGAGGGTTTGGGGGTTTTGGGTGGGGCAGGAGGGTTTTGGGGTGGTTTGGGGAGTTTTTTGGGGTGGGGCAGGAGGTTTTGGGTGCTGATTTGGGCCTGGCCGTGGCAGGAGCTGCGAGCGGCGTCCGTGGTGCAGTCGCAGCCCCTGGGGGGGAAGGAGGAGAAGATCCACTCGCCCGTCGTGAGGAACGAGACCTTCAGCCCCCCCCTGCGCCAGGACCCCCCCAAGCACCCCGAGAGCATCAAAGCACCCCCACACCTCCCCCAGAGTGAGTGGGGGGGCTGCACCCCGGAATCTGGGGTTGGAGAACCCCCATCACCCCCAGTTTTGGGGTGTGAGACCCCCATCACCAATAGTTTTGGGGTGTGAGACCCCCATCACCCCCAGTTTGGGCTTGGAGAACCCCCATAACCCCTGAGTTTTGGGGTTTGAGACCCCCATCGCCCCTAGTTTGGGGTGGGAGAACCCCCAGAACCCCCAGTTTGGGGTTGGAGAACCCCCATAACCCCCGAGTTTGGGGTGGGAGAACCCCCAGAACCCCCAGTTTAGGGTTGGAGAACCCCCATCACGCCCAGTTTAGGGTTGGAGAACCCCCATCACCCCTAGTTTTGGGGTTTGAGACCCCCCCATGACCCCCAGTTTTGGGGTTGGAAACCCCTATGATCTCAGTTTTGGGGGTGAAGACCCCCGTCACTCAGTTTTGGTGTCCAATCACCCCAATTTCGGTGTCGAAGACCCCATTACCCCCAATTTTGGGTATCAGAGCCCCCTATTTCAGTGTCTCTATCCCCCATCACCCCAATTTGGGTGTCCCCTTTCCCCCATCACCCCAATTTGGATGTCTGAGACCTTCACTTCTGGTGTCCCACCCCCCCATCACCCCAATTTGGGTGTCCCTTTCCCCATCACCCCAATTCAGGTGTCCCTTTCCCCCACCCATTTGGGTGTTTGAGTCCCCCATTTCAATGTCCCATTTCCCCCATCACCACAATTTGGGTGTCCCAGACCCCCAATTTCAGTGTCTCAGCCCCCATCACCCCAATTTGGGTGTCTGGGCCCCCATTTCAATGTCCCAGCCCCATCACCCCAATTTGGGTGTCCCAGACCCCAGATTTCAATGTCCCTTTCCCCCATCACCCCAATTTGGGCGTCCCCATTTCCCACCACCCCAGTTGGGGTGTCTAGACCCCCAATTTCAGGTGTCCCAGCCCCACCCACCACCCCAATTCGAGCGTCCCATTTCCCCCATCACCCCAGTTTGGATGTCCCAGACCCCAGATTTCAATGTCCCATTTCCCCCATCCCCCCAATTTGGGTATCTGAGACCCCCAATTTCAGTGTCCCATTCCCCCCCACCCCAATTTGGGTGTCTGAGCCCCAGTTCAATGTCCATCCCCACCCCCACCCCAATTTGGGTGTCCCTTTCCCCACCAATTTGGGTGTCTGAGACCTCCATTTCTAGTGTCCCAACCCTCATCACCCCAATTTGGGTGTCCCCTTTCCCCCATCACCCCAATTTGGGTGTCCCATCACCCCAATTTCAATGTCCCATTCCCTCCATCACCCCAATTTGGGTGTCCGAGATCCCCAATTTCAGTGTCTCAACCCCCCATGACCCCAATTTGGGTGTCCCTTTCCCCCATCACCCCAATTCGGGTGTCCCATTTCCCCCATCACCCCAATTTGGGTCGTCTAGAGCCCCCAGTTTCAGTGTCCCAGCCCCCATGACCCCAATTTGGGTGTCCCCTTTCCCCATCACCCCAATTCAGGTGTCCCCTTCCCCACCCCAATTTCCGTGTCCAACCCCCCCAGCCGTGCCCCCCAGCCCGGGGGGCTGCCGGGGGTGCCCCCTGTGCCCCCCTGAGGGCCCTGCTGGGTTTCAGGGCCGGAGCTGAAGCCGCTGGAGGGGGCTCGAGCCGTGATCCGGCCCCCGGAGCAGCCGCCCCCGGCCCCGGGAGCGCCCGACAAGGAGCGGCAGAAACAGGAGCCCAAAACCCCCGTGGCCCCCAAGAAGGTACAAAAATAACCCCAAAAAAACAAACCCCCCCAGGAATTTATGGGGGAGAAACCTCTGGGAATTGGGGGGAAATTCCTGGGAATGAGGTGGGAATGGTGGGAATGGGGAGTCCCCGTCCCACCGGGAATGGGGGATGGGAGGACATCCAGAGGGAGCTGGGGAAGGGTCAGGATTGGGGATGGGAGAAGATCTGGAAGTCACCAGGTGACATCCAGAGGAGCCTGGGGAAGGGTCAGGAGTGGGGATGGGAGAAGCTCTGGAAGTCACCAGGTGACATCCAGAGGGAGCTGGGGAAGGGTCAGGAGTGGGGATGGGAGAAGCTCTGGAAGTCACCAGGTGACATCCAGAGGGACCTGGGGAAGGGACAGGACTGGATCCATGAGTACTCCCTGAGGTTCCATCAGGTGACATCCAGAGGGGCCTGGGGAAGCTCCAGGATTGGATCCATGAGAACCTACTGAGTTTGAGGGAGGGGGTGACATCCAAAGAAAGCTCCAGGATCCATCAGGACCTCCTGAGGTCCCCTGTGCTGAGGGACAGGGGGTGACATCCAGAGGGGCCTGGGGAAGCTCCAGGATTGGATCCATCAGAACCTCCCGAGATCCCCCAGGCTGAGGGACAGGGGGACATCCAGAGGAAGCTCCAGGACCTCCCAAGGTCCCCCGTGCTGAGGGACAGGGGGACATCCAGGGGAAGCTCCAGGATGGGATCCATCAGAACCTCCCGAGGTTCCCCAGGCTGAGGGACAGGGGGACATCCAGGGGAAACTCCAGGAGCTCCCGAGGTCCCCCAGGCTGAGGGACAGGGGGAAATCCAGAGGAAGCTCCAGGACCTCCTGAGGGACAGGGGGACATCCAGAGGAAGCTCCAGGAGCTCCTGGGGGACAGGGGGACATCCAGAGGAAGCTCCAGGACCTCCTGAGGTCCCCCAGGCTGAGGGAGGGGGTGGCATCCAGAGGAAGCTCCAGGACCTCCTGAGGGACAGGGGGACATCCAGGGGAAGCTCCAGGACCTCCTGAGGTCCTGAGGGACAGGGGGACATCCAGAGGAAGCTCCAGGACGTCCTTAGGGACAGGGGGACATCCAGAGGAAGCTCCAGGACCTCCTGAGGTCCTGAGGGACAGGGGGACATCCAGAGGAAGCTCCAGGACCTCCCGAGGTCCTGAGAGACAAGGGCACATCCAGAGGAAGCTCCAGGACCTCCTGAGGGACAGGGTGACATCCAGAGGAAGCTCCAGGACCTCCCGAGGTCCTCCTGCCGATCCCCCTGGCCGTGCTGGTCTCCACCTCGGTGCCCGTGGCTGGGGGGTGTTCCCAGGGACTCCTCCCCCCATTCTGGGGGTCCCTGATTGTTCTGTGCCCCCCCCCAGGACCTGAAGATCAAGAACATGGGCTCGTGGGCCTCGCTGGTGCAGAAGCACCCGGCGGCGCCCTCGGCCACGGCCAAGTCGTCGAGCGACAGCTTCGAGCAGTTCAAGCGGGCGGCGCGAGAGAAGGAGGAGCGAGAGAAGGCCCTCAAGGCCCAGGCCGAGCAGGTCGAGAGGGAGAAGGAGCGGCTGCGGCGCGAGCAGGAGAGGATGAGGTGAGGACACCGCCCCCAGACCACCCCCAGACCCAAAACCACCCCAAAACCAAAACTGCCCCCAGATCATCCCCAGATCCTCTGAGCAGGAGAGGATGAGGTGAGGACACTGCCCCCAGACCCAAAACCGCCCCCAGATCATCCCCAGATCCTCTGAGCAGGAGAGGATGAGGTGAGGACACCGCCCCCAGACCCAAAACCTCCCCCAGATCATCCCCAGATCCTCCTGAGCAGGAGAGGATGAGTAGGACGTACCGCCCCAGGACCAGTCACACACCCAAAACCACCCCAAAACTGCCCCCAGATCATCCCCAGATCATCCCCAGATCCTCTCTGAGCAGGAGAGGATGAGGTGAGGACACCACCCCCAGACCCAAAACCACCCCAAAACAGGCCCCAGATCATCCCCAGATCCTCTCTGAGCAGGAGAGGATGAGGTGAGGACACCGCCCCCAGACCACCCCCAGACCCAAAACCACCCCCAGATCATCCCCAGACCCTCTCTGAGCAGGAGAGGATGAGGTGAGGACACCGCCCCCAGACCCAAAACCACCCCAAAACCGCCCCAAAACTGCCCCCAGATCATCCCCAGATCCTCTGAGCAGGAGAGGATGAGGTGAGGACACCGCACCCAGACCAGTCCCACACCCAAAACCACCCCCAGATCACCCCCAGATCCTCTGAGCAGGAGAGGATGAGGTGAGGACACCACCCCCAGACCCAAAACCACCCCAAAGCCGCCCCCAGATCACCCCCAGATCCTCTGAGCAGGAGAGGATGAGGTGAGGACGCCGCCCCCAGACCCAAAACCACCCCAAAACCACCCCAGAACCGCCCCCAGATCATCCCCAGATCATCCCCAGATCATCCCCAGATCCTCTCTGAGCAGGAGAGGATGAGGTGAGGACACCGCCCCCAGACCCAAAACCACCCCAAAACCACCCTCAGACCATCCCCAGATCCTCTGAGCAGGAGAGGATGAGGTGAGGACACCGCCCCCAGACCCAAAACCACCCCCAGATCATCCCCAGATCCTCTCTGAGCAGGAGAGGATGAGGTGAGGACACTGCCCCCAGACCAGTCCCACACCCATAACCACCCCAAAACCACCCCCAGACCATCCCCACGTCCTCTGAGCAGGAGAGGATGAGGTGAGGACACCGCCCCCAGACCCAAAACCACCCCAAAACCGCCCCCAGATCCTCTGAGCAGGAGAGGATGAGGTGAGGACACTACCCCCAGACCCAAAACGACCTCAAAACCACCCCAAAACCATCCCCAGATCCTCTGAGCAGGAGAGGATGAGGTGAGGACACTGCCCCCAGGGTGCTTTGATCAGCCCAATACCACCCCCAGATCATCCCCAGATCCTCTGAGCAGGAGAGGATGAGGTGAGGACACCGCCCCCAGACCGCCCCCAGACCCAAAACGACCTCAAAACCACCCCAAAACAGCCCCCAGATCATCCCCAGATCCTCTCTGAGCAGGAGAGGATGAGGTGAGGACACCGCCCCCAGACCCAAAACCACCCCAAAACTGCCCCCAGACCATCCCCAGACCGCTCCCACACCCAAAACCACCCCCAGATCATCCCCAGATTCTCTCTGAGCAGGAGAGGATGAGGTGAGGACACCGCCCCCAGACCGCCCCCACACTGCTGTGACCACCCCAAAACCACCCCCAGACCACCATAAGCATCACCAAACCACCCCCAGACCACCATAAGCATCACCAAACCACCCCCAAACCACCATAACCATCACCAAACCACCCCCAAACCACCATAACCATCACCAAACCACCTCCAAACCACCATAACCATCACCAAACCACCCCCCAAAGCCACCTCATAACCATCACCAAACCACCCCCAAACCACCATAACCATCACCAAACCACCTCCAAACCACCATAACAATCACCAAACCACCCCCAAACCACCATAACCATCACCAAACCACCCCCAGACCATCCCCACGTCCTCTCTGAGCAGGAGAGGATGAGGTGAGGACACTGCACCCAGATCCCCATCACTGATCCCATCGCCATTCCCATTCCTGTTCCCATTCTGGTCCCTGAGCGTGCTGTGTCCCTCAGGAGCCGGGAGGAGGAGGAGGCTCTGATGTCATCCCCAGTCTCTGGTCCCATTCCCAGTCTCTGGTCCCATTCCCAATCCCTGATCCCATCCCCAGTCCCTGATCCCATCCCCAGTCCCTGATCCCATCCCCAGTCCCTGATTCCCTCAGGAGCCGGGAGGAGGAGGAGGCCCTGATACCATCCCCAATCCCTGTTCTCTGATTCCATCCCCAATCCCTGATCCCAATCCCTGATCCCATTCCCTGATCCCATTCCCTGTTCCCTGATCCCAATCCCATTCCCATTTCCCTCAGGAGCCAGGAGGAGGAGGAGGCGCTGGAGCAGGCCCGGCGGGTGCCCAGTCCCTGTTCCCTGATCCCAATCCCTGATCCCATTCCCAATCCCTGATCCCATTCCCAATCCCTGATCCCATTCCCATTTCCCGCAGGAGCCAGGAGGAGGAGGAGGCCCTGATACCATCTCCCAATCCCTGTTCCCTGATCCCATCCCCAATCCCTGTTCCCTGATCCCAATCCCATTCCCTGATCCCATTCCCTGTCCCTGATCCCATTCCCATTTCCCTCAGGAGCCGGGAGGAGGAGGAGGCCCTGTTTCCATCCCCAGTCTCTGATCCCAATCCCTGTTCCCTGATCCCAATCCCATTCCCATTCCCTGTTCCCGCAGGAGCCGGGAGGAGGAGGAGGCGCTGGAGCAGGCCCGGCGGGTGCCCAATCCCTGTTCCCTGATTCCAATCCCTGTTCCCTGATCCCAATCCCTGTTCCCTGATCCCAGTCCCTGTTCCCTGATCCCAATCCCTGTTCCCTGATCCCAGTCCCTGTTCCCTGATCCCATTCCCTGTTCCCGCAGGAGCCGGGAGGAGGAGGAGGCGCTGGAGCAGGCCCGGCGGGTGCCCAGTCCCTGTTCCCTGATCCCAATCCCTGTTCCCTGATCCCAATCCCTGTTCCCTCAGGAGCCGGGAGGAGGAGGAGGCGCTGGAGCAGGCCCGGCGGGTGCCCAATCCCTGTTCCCTGATCCCATTCCCAATCCCTGATCCCATTCCCTGTTCCCCCAGGAGCCGGGAGGAGGAGGAGGCGCTGGAGCAGGCCCGGCGGGTGCCCAATCCCTGTTCCCTGATCCCATTCCCAATCCCTGATCCCAATCCCTGTTCCCAGATCCCTTTCCCTGATCCCAATCCCTGATCCCATTCCCTGTTCCCCAGGAGCCGGGAGGAGGAGGAGGCGCTGGAGCAGGCCCGGCGGGTGCCCCATTCCTGTTCCCTGATCCCATCCCCAATCCCTGATCCCAATCCCATTCCCAATCCCATTTCCCTCAGGAGCTGGGAGGAGGAGGAGGCGCTGGAGCAGGCCCGGCGGGTGCACGAGGAGGTTCGGCGGCGCCAGGAGCCGCCGGTGCCGGTGCCGGTGCCGGTGGCCGTGGCGGTGTCGGCGGCGGGCGCGGCCCCGCAGGGCTCCCAGAGCTCCCAACCCCCCTCCAGCCAGGCCATGCTGGACCAGCAGCGGGAAATGGCCCGGAAGAGGGAGCAGGAGAGGAGGCGCCGGGAAGCCGTGAGTGCCACCACCCCCCAGGAATGAAACGGGCACAGAAATGGACCCAAACAACCCGAAAATGGGCCCAAACGGCCCAAAAATGGGCCCAAACGGCCCAAAAATGGGCCCAAACGGCCCAAAAATGATCCCAAACAGCCCCGTGGGAATGAAACAGGCACGGAAATGGGCCCAAACGACCCAAAAATGGGCCCAAACGGCCCAAAAATGATCTCAAACAGCACCTTGGGACTGAAATGGGGACAGAAATGGGCCCAAACAACCCAAAAATGGGCCCAAACAGCCCCCCAGGAGTGAAACGGGCACAGAAATGGGCCCAAACAACCCAAAAATGGGCCCAAACGGCCCAAAAATGATCCCAAACAGCCCCTGGGAGACTGAAATGGGCCCAGACAGACCAGAAATGGGCCCAAACTGCCCAAAAATGGGCCCAAACGGCCCAAAAATGATCCCAAACAGCCTCCTGGGACTGAAATGGGCATGGAAATGGGCCCAAACGGCCCAAAAATGATCTCAAACAGCCCCTTGGGACTGAAATGGGCCCAAAAAATGGTCCTAATCATCCCAAAAAAATGGTCTCAAACAGCCTGAAAATGATCCCAAATGGCCCCGAAATGGTCCCAAAAGAAATCCACAGAAAATGCCCTCAAAATCCCCCCAAAATTACCCAAAAAAATCCAAAAAATGACCCCAAAAATACTCCAATGTATCCCAAAAATTCTCCCCAAAATACGTTCCCAAAATGCTCACCAGATAAAAATGCCCCAAAAATCCCCCAAAATTACCCAAAAAATCCAAAAAAATGACCCCAAAACTGCTCCAAAAATCCCCCAAAATACCCCTAAAATGCACAGAAATTACCCTAAAAATCCAAAAAAAAAACCAACCTCTTGAAGATCCACAGAAAAATCCCCCAAAATGCCCCAAAAAATCCCCCCAAATTACCCAAAAAAATCCAAAAAAATTACCCCAAAACTACTCCAAAAAATTCTCTAAAAAGTCCCCAAAAATGCTCCAAAAATCCCCCCAAAATTACCAAAAAATCCCCAAAAAAATGACCCCAAAAATACTCCAATGTATCTCCCAAAAAATCCTCCCCGAAATACTCCCAAGAATGCCACAAAAAATGCCCCAAAAATCCTCCCAAAGCTACCCAAAAATTCAAAAAAATGACCCAAAAAATACACCAAAAAATCCCAAAAAAATCCAAAATCCCCCCAAAATTACCCAAAAAATCCCAAAAAAAGACCCCAAAAATACTCCAAAAAATCCCCCAAAATCCAAAAATCCCTCCAAAATTACCCAAAAAATCCAAAAAAATGACCCCAAACACACCTCGAAAAATCCCAGAAAATGACCCCAAAATATCCAAAAATAAAAAATCCAAAATCCCCCAAATTACCTCAAAAACCCCAAAAAGACCCCAAAATACACCAAAAATCCCCAAAAATCCCCAAAAATCCCCAAAATCCCCCAAAATCCCCAAAAATCCTAAAATGACCCCAAAAATACTCAAAAAATTCCCCAAAAAATCCAAAAATCCCCAAAAATTACCAAAAAAATTCCAAAAATGACCCCAAAAATACACCAAAAATCAACAAAAAATCCAAAATTCCCCCCAAAATTACCCAAAAAATTCCAAAAAAAGACCCCAAAACTACTCCAAAAATCCCCAAAAATCCAAAATCCCCCAAAATTACCCAAAAGATGATCCCAAAATACACCAAAAATCCCCAAAAATCCAAAAATCCCCCCAAAATTACCCAAAAAATTCCAAAAAAAGACCCCAGAAATACTCAAAAAAGTCAACAAAAAATCAACAGTCAAAAAATCAAAAGTCAACAACAAAATCAACAATCCCCCCAAAACTACCCAAAAACTCTAAAAAATTAACGCAGAAATACACCAAAAAATCCCCCAAAAATCCAAAAATCCCACCAAAATTACCCAAAAAAAACCCAAAAAGACCCCAAAAATCAACAAAATCCAAAATCCCCAAAATTACTTCAAAAATTCCAAAAAAGACCCCTAAAATACTCCCCCAAAAAAATCCCCCAAAATTACCCAAAACTCCAAAAATGACCCTAAAAATACACCAAAAAATCCCCCCAAAATTTCCCAAAAAACTCCATAAAAAAGACCCCAAAAATATACCAAAAAATCCCCCAAAATTCCAAAAATCCTCCCAAAATTACCAAAAAATTTCAAAAAAAGACCCCAAAAATACTTCAAAAAATCCCCCCAAAATTACCCAAAAAACCCCCCCAAAAGTACTCCAAAAAATCAAAAATTCCCCCCCAAAATTACCCAAAAACTCCAAAAAAATGACCCCAAAAATACACCAAAAAATCCCCCCAAAATTTCCCAAAAAAATGTCCCCAAAAATTTCACCAAAAACTAAAAATAAAACCCCCAAAAATACCCTTTTTTTTCCCCCTCAGATGGCGGCGACGATCGACATGAACTTCCAGAGCGACCTCCTGGCCATTTTCGAGGAGAATCTTTTCTAGCGGCGGCTCCGGCGGATCCCGGGGGGGTTTTGCCCCAAACCTTTGACTCTTTCCTTTTTTTTTTTTTCTTTTTTTTTTTGGGTTCACTTTTGCTTTTTCCGACAGAAAAAAAACAAAAACAAATTACACAAAACAGACAAAAAAGACACACACAAAAAATTCCCCCAAAAAAAAACCAACCCCAACAAAGGAAAAACCAACAACGAAAAACCCACCAAAAATTCCTTTTTTTTGGTCTTTTCTTTCTTTCCTTTCCCTCCCCCCCCTCTTTTTTTTTTTTTCTGGAAAAGCAAAAAATCAACAGAAAAAAAAAGAAAAAAAAGGTTCAGACTCTCCATTCCCAAAAAAAAAATCCCACAAAACTCCTCGGGTTTGGGGTCTCCTCTCCCCCCACCCCAATTCCACCTTTTTATTTGGGAGGGGTTTTTTTTTTTTGCCTCTTTGGACCCTTTTTCACACCAAAAAAGCAGTGGAATTTCAACCTCCCGGGAGGGGAATTTTGGGGGGTTTTGTTTGGGTTTTTTTCCTTTTTTTTTTTTGGTTTTTTTTTGGTTTTCCCACATATTTTTGGGGGTTTTTTTTGGTTTGTTTTGGGTTGGTTTTTTTGGGAGGGGGAAGGGGGAGGGGTCGGGGTTGGAAAATTTCGACGGCGGCAGAAAAAAGAAAAAACACCCCAAAAAAAAACCACCAGAAAAGGGGGGGGGAAAAGAAAAGATTCCCGGTTTGGACTCCCAGATTTTTGGGGAGCTGCTTGGTGGGATTCGGGAATTTCGGGAGAAAATTGGGGGGGAGGGAGAGCGATGGGGGAGGGCCCCCACCCCTCCCCGCTGCCTCAGGGACTCCCCCCCTCCCCCTTTCCCTCTTTTCCTCCTCGGATTTTTCCTCCTTTCCCTCCTTTTTCACCTTTTTTTTTAATTTCAGCCTCATTTTCGAATTCGTTTCTCTTCTGGTTTAAACGAAATTTATTTTTTTACTCTTTTTTTGGGTCCTTTCTCCCCTTTTTTCTCCTTTTTCAATTCTTTCGCCTTTTTTCCTCCTCTTTTTTTTTTTTCTTTTTTTCACTCCTTTTCTTCTCCCTTTTTTCCCCCCCTTTTTTCCAATTTTCCCCTTTTTTTCCCCATTTTTCATCTCCCCTCTTTCCTTTTCTCCCAATTCATTTTTTTCTCATTCTTTGCTCCTTTTTCCCTTTTCCAATCCCCCCCCTTTAATTTTAATTCTCTTTTTCTCCTCCAATCTCCCCCTTTTTTTCCCCCTCCTTTTAAATTTCCACCTTTACCTTTATTTTTCCTCTTTTTCATTTCCCTCCTTTTTTCCCCCTCCTTTCAAATCCATTTTCCTCCTTTCATTTCCCCCCTTTTTTTCACCCTTTTTTTATAAATCCCTCATTTTTTTTCCCCTTTTTTTTTTCACCCCCTCCTCTTTCCCCCTCCCCCTCCCTCCTTTCCCCCTTCCCCATTTTCTCCCTTTTCCCCCAAAACGCCGTCAGAGTCGGGTTTATTTTTTTATTATTTTTAATCGGTTTAATTCTTTTCTTCCCCCCCCTTTTTCCCTTTCCCTGGGGTTGATTTCTCTTTTTTTTTGTTATTTTTTTGGTTTTTTAATCTCCAAATCCACTGGCTCTCCCCTCCCCCAACCCCGGGGGTGCTCCCGGGGGGTTTTATTATTATTGCTCCTAATTATTATTATTAATATTTGGGTGCCAATCGCCCCCCCCGTGGCCGGCGGGTTTTGCCCTGGGTGGAATAAAACGCAGCAGCGAGTTTGGTTTTGTATAAAAAAAGACAAATCCCCCTGTTTGGGCCCCGAATTCTTCCGCCTGGGACGGGGGGAGGGAGCGGAGGGGAGGAGGAGGGCGCGGGGAGGAGGAGGGCGGGAGAAACGGGCTGGGAAAAAAGGGTGGGATAAAAAAAGGGGAATGGGATGAAAAAATGGGATAAAAAATTAGAAATGGGATTAAAAAATAGAAATGGGATAAAAAAATGGTATTAAAAAATAGAAATGGGATAAAAAGGAATGGGATTAAAAAATAGAAATGGGATAAAAAATGGTATTAAAAAAATAGAAATGGGATAAAAAGGGAATGGGATAAAAAAAAAGGGGAATGGGATAAAAAAATAGAAATGGGATAAATAGAAATGGGATAAAAAAGTAGAAATGGGATAAAAAAAGGGGGGAAATGGGATAAAAAAATAGAAATGGAATAAAAAAGGGGGAAATGGGATAAAAAAAAGAAATGGGATAAAAAATGGTATTAAAAAATAGAAATGGGATAAAAAAAGGGAATGGGATAAAAAAATAGAAATGGGATAAAAAATAGAAATGGGATAAAAAAAGGGGAATGGGATAAAAAAATAGAAATGGGATAAAAAAGGAATGGGAAAAAATGGTATTAAAAAATAGAAATGGGATAAAAAAGGAATGGGATAAAAAAGAAATGGGATAAAAAAAAGGGGAATGGGATAAAAAAATAGAAATGGGATAAAAAAAGGAAATGGGATAAAAAATTAGAAATGGGATAAAAGGGGAAATGGGATAAAAAAATAGAAATGGGATAAAAAAATGGGATAAAAAATAGAAATGGGATAAAAAATGGTATAAAAAAATAGAAATGGGATAAAAAAATAGAAATGGGATAAAAAATGGTATTAAAAAAATAGAAATGGGATAAAAAAGGGGAATGGGATAAAAAATAGAAATGGGATAAAAAATGGTATTAAAAAATATAAATGGGATAAAAAATAGGAATGGGATAAAAAAATAGAAATGGGATAAAAAAATTGTATTTAAAAAATGGAAATGGGATAAAAAATAGAAATGGGATAAAAAATGGTATTAAAAAAATAGAAATGGGATAAAAAGGGAATGGGATAAAAAAGGGGAATGGGATAAAAAAAGAGGAATGGGATAAAAAAATAGAAATGGGATTTGGGGGGGTTGGAAAATGGGAGGTTTGGGAGTTGGGGTGGGAAGGGAGGAATTAATGGGGAGGTTAAGGTTGGAAATTGGGGGTGGGGGAAATGAGAAAAACAAAAAGAACAAACAAAAAAAAACCTACAAAAAACCACACACAAAACAACAAAAAAAAAAGAGGGAAAAATAAAAAGAAAATCACAAAAAACAAACACAAAACACCAAAAAAAATTTAAAAAAAAAAAAAAAAAAAAAAAAAAAAACCACAAAAACCAAATTAAACCAACAAAACAAAAAAGAGGAAATTTTGGAGTGAAAATGAAAAAAAAAATGGGAAGGGAAATTCCCAAAATTGGAATGAAAAGAGGGGGGGAATCAATGAAAAATGGAAGAGCGAAAAAAAAGTTGCAAAGGAAAAGATCAAAGGGGGGAAAATAAAAATAAATAAAGAAAGAAAATGAGGCAAAGGAGGGAAAAGGGAAAGAAAAAAGGGGTAGGGATTAAATATGAAAGAAAAAGGGGAAAAAGCAAAAGTTAAAAAAAAAAGGAGTAAAAGAAAAAAAGAGGGAAAGAATAGAGAAAAAAGAAGGGAAAAGAAAAAAGCGGTAAAAAACGGGAGGAGAAGAAAAGAGGTTAAAAAATGTAAAAGAAAAAGGGGGAAAAGGAGAAAAAAGAGGTAAAAAAAGGGTAAAGGAGAAAAAAAATGGGAAAAAAGGCCAATAAGAGACAGAAAGGCACCAAAAAAATGCCAAAGGAAAAAAATTAAACTAAATGAGGAAAAAAAGGAAAAATCAAAGAGGCAAAATTCCCTCTCAAAAAAAGGAAAATCCGGGATCAAAAACGGCCCCAAATTCCCCCCAAAAAAGCTCCTCCCCCACCCCTGGGGTTGCCCCGCCCCCTTCCTCTCCCCCCGCGCTCTGATTGGTCACCTCCAGTGTAGCCACGCCCTCTCCGTTCTGGCTCACGCCCCTTTCCCAGCTCTGACCAATCAGCGCTCAGGGGGCGGGGCCGGGCCGGGCTCGTGGAGAGACGGAAGCGGCGCGAAAAGGTCCGGGGGTGGGGGGACAGAGGGGACCCCCCTGTCGCGACAGAGGGGGCGGAACCCCCCGACAGGCACCCCCGGGATGGGGGAGGGGACCCCCCGGTGTCGCGACAGGGCGGGGGCGGTGACAGAGACCCCCCGTGTCGGACGGTGACGGGGACACCCCCCCAGCGACGGGACTGGGACCCCCCCCCACAACCGCGAGAGGGACCCACCCGTGTCGCGACAGCGGCGGGGCCGAGAGGGGACCGCGGGGACGGGGACACGGAGGGGGGAGGGGACAACCAGGGTGGGACCCCCAGGGTGGGACCTCCCCCGAGAGGGACCCCCCCACACCCACACCTTCTCCCCGGGGACAAGGACACCCCAATGTCGCGACAGGTGGGGACGGGGAGCCCGGCGACAGGGACAGCCCCGGGGACAGGGACACCCCAATGGTGGGACAGCCCGGGACAGCGACACCTCCATGTCGGGACAACACTGGGTGACAGGGACACCCCAGGGACAGGGACACCCCCCTGTCGGGACAACACTGGGTGACAGGGACACCCCAGGGACAGGGACACCCCATTATGGGACACCCCATTACGGGACCCCCCCATGACAGGGACCCCCTGGTGACAGGGACACCCTGGTGACAGGGACACCCTGGTGACAGGGACCCCCCAATGGTGGGACACCCCCGTGACAGGGACACCCCATTATGGGACCCCCTGGTGACAGGGACACCCCTCAGGGACAGGGACACCCCATTATGGGACCCCCTGGTGACAGGGACACCCCAGGGACAGGGACACCCCATTATGGGACCCCCTGGTGACAGGGACACCCCTCAGGGACAGGGACACCCCATGTTGGGACCCCCCTGTGACAGGGACCCTGTGACAGGGACCCCCTGTCCATGATGGGACCCCCTCTGTTGGGACACTCCAGGGACAGGGACCCCCTGGTGACAGGGACACCCCTCATGGACAGGGACACCCCCATGTCAGGGACCCCCCTGGGACAGGGACCCCCTGTGACAGGGACACCCCATGTCGGGGACACCCCTGGTGACAGAGACACCCCAGGGACAGGGACACCCCATTATGGGACCCCCCTGTGACAGGGACACCCCTCAGGGACAGGGACACCCCATTATGGGACACCCCTGGTGACAGGGACACCCCTAGTGACAGGGACACCCCAATGATGGG